TTCCGTATTCTAAGTGTATAGTGTTATAGGGTCGTAGTAAACATCGATGTTTTCCCATTAAACATCGTCCAACCCTAAGTCACACTGCCTTAAACCAGATGCGAGCCATTAGGCTGAATAGGCCCACGATATAGCCCCGAATATCAACTCTAAGAGAAAAATGTGTCTACATCATTAGACGTCAAACTCCGCTCGGCGTCGGTACATTTTTTACTAAGCCACTTCGCATATTGAACTTATTTCCACACGTGTATGTAGAACTTTGCTAAGGTACCCTCCATTAATATTTCGTGATGGAAGATAATGTATATGATATTCTACTTTTATAGTAATAAATTATAAATTCAAAATGTGGCTATTTGTCTGTAGGGTTGCCGTTAAGATGGTTGATAGATCTCTTTTATGACAACAAATATACTGGAAACTGCGAAGGCCAAAGTACTTCTGGCATCCGCCGGATATTGTACACGAATTTAACGACATTTCCAATATACGAAAAAAATGTGTTGTTTTTATGGAACAAATATTATTCCGTATTGTTCCATACCCGTGCAGGCTTATACTAGGACAATGATCACAGCGTGGTAAAGACTAATGACCGCACATGACATTAATTAATTAAATGTCTTTCACAGGACAGGTACATATTTATAGATCAAGGAATAGTAATAACATTTATATTTGGAAATATAAAGTACCATTCTAATGAACATATTCATAACAGGAGGCTTATTCAGAGGTGAACAATAAATATCTAAAATGAATTCATAAGTATTCAGCCAGAAATAAAATTGTAGGTAAGGATTTCAGCTAAATAAAATGAACATTTAAATTCCGATGGCAGACTGACATTTATTACGAAACGTTTTATAATATTGATGTACTCGTATATATAGGAATGTTTCAATGCGCACAAATTTATTACTTTAATTAAAGACATATTTATTATATTGTAACAATTTTGGTCAAAACATTTTTGAAAGATCTACAGATGGACTTTATTCTAGATTAAACGAATAGTTTTTAAAGTAATGCTTTTGAGCAAAACTGCTGGATGTACTTAGTATTATAGTAAAGCACTTATGAATAAAACATATATTACGAAAGGTTCACATGAGTGGTTTGGAGTGAGATTGAATACCCACCTCTTGAATCTAATACATTTTTATGAATATTTCAAGAGTTGGAATTTCGACCTCCATCACTGTCACAGTCCCTTTCTTCTGAGCTATAAAATCTATATATGTATGTATTTAAGAATTTTAAAACGTTACTAATTATGTTTAAGTTTTTTTTTTGTTTAATGTGATTTCCGCATCATAGTGATAACTGTCGCTTATATATGTGATATGCGCCACGGACATCATGTAACATACTACTTCTAGTTACCATTCCAGAAGACTAAGTTGTCGTGTAGGGTGTAGATGCCCTACAATTTCACTACAATATTCCATCCCTCAACACATCATACATCTCCTTACTGGATGAAATAAGTGAGACAAATTCTAGCCTCTGTATGAGTATTTTAACCGCCAAAGACTCTGACCCAGAGGCACACAGACATCGCAGTATATAGTCTACCTCGATAACTAAATCGGTAGGTGAAAAAGAGGATTGCTAGTAATATGGACTGATGATCTTATTGCTAGAAATATACCAGGTCAGGTTGACCTCCACGCGGTTCCTCCTGGAAATTATCGTGATAAATTCTTGATGAATTTGTCACGATAAGCTAACTGACCTGATCTCATGCTCATCTTGTTATCCTCCACTGTTGCCCCGCTATGGTAAACTGTTAGCGCTAGCGTGTGTACAATTCCATTGTCATCCATAAAAAAAAAAAACCAAAGCAGTAAATCGAATTGAATTAAATAAAATGTATTGTAATTAATACTTGTAGCAATTATGAAATTTGTTTAGAATCCACATAGATACTACAGTTTATCTCCTGAGTGGGGATGTCTACTTTTAGCGTTAACAAGTTAACTTTTATTAACAGGTTTTAAAAATAATTGAATGTAGTAAAAACATGTATTCTAGACCCTACAAAGTACCTAATGCAGAATAAATGTCCCTTATTCTTATATTGTAATTGGAACTTAGATTTTTACTTGATGAGTTTCTAAGAGTGGCTAATAAGTCGCAATTTCAATGACGTCCGCAATACGTTGCGTATATGAATAAAATGGGTGTTGCTAATGTCAAGGGTTCACCTCAATTATTTAACGTTCGTGTTTGTATAATGTAGCTAGAGATCTTTATATTTTATGCATGTTTTACACGTCACTGAGAATATAATATAACCACTATGCGGTTTCTAGCGATTATTATACAATATCTAACATTGTAATATTCATAGGACACATACTCTTTTTGAAGTTTCTTTGTTCTGCGTTAATATCAGAAATAATATACATTTCAAAGAGAATGGTATTTTTCGTTTCTAATAATACGATATTATAGCTACAAGATTAAAACTTCGTAATGAATAATTTGTAAATTTTAACATTTCAACTTCAATGTCTCAATCATCACCTAAGGGGTTCAAGAAAACAATCTTTTTATAATTGGAATATATTTTATGAAATCTCGTTTTATTTTTAATCTAAGATCTCTACTTGAAAGATATATACTTTTCAATTACTTATCATCATGTTATGGCTCTTAGGAGTCGGGAAATTATAATAATAATATAATAGTAATTAAGAACGTAGATACAGTGTGATTTACTGATATTATCAGCCTACTACCACAGATAACATAATTTTACATACTACTACTAATCTAATCCATCTGGCATAATTCAGGAAGTACCTAAGATACCGGTCGGTTTTATTTATTCAAACATCAGATAAAACCACAGGTCAATGCTAGTAATATAGAATGTGTGTCCCCTAAATGAAATTAATCATTCGTGACACTATAATCTACATATGTAGCTAAGTGAACATCACGCGCTCCTTTCACCTAATCAGCAATGTTTATAGGGTTACTCATGAAAAAAGAAAGATAGGTCGCTGCCCGTTCTCCAAAATAAACATCCTTAAAGAAATAAACGAATGTTTTCCAACATATTTTTTTCATGTGCCTATAGCTATGGATACAGACAAGTTACTGTATAATCATTCTTTCTTGTCCATTTATGTTGCGAAAAGCCGTAGACCTTTTCGGTCCCTTGGTAGTGTATTGTAAATACAATTTTCTTCTAACAATGTTATGTTATACAAACTAAGTATAATCTATCTTATATCAACCTATAAAACCCAATTTAGTGTGTTTACTGTTTCAAAGTAAGGTTTTGTTGTTTTACTATCGACTATCTACTACCGACCCGATATGTGAACAATATGTACACTAGTTTGTTGTTTATTAATTAGATTACAATGTTAGGTACATTGTGACCGAAACATTACATAATATGAACGTATATCTATTTAATATAGAGAAGTACCATTCAATGTTAAACGTAGAGATCTAATATATTCTCAAATTGACAGCCTATTTGTTTAATATCTAAGTAAATACATGTGAATGATTTCAATTGAAATTCTAAGTATTTTATTTTCCTATAAACGTTTTACTGTTTTTTTCTATACATCGATTTTATATTAATGTAAAAAGTAAAATAATATTTTTACTTTCATATCGTATGAAATTTCATATATATATTTAATCGTATGAAATTTATCAATGAAGTACCGAATATTATAGAGGGCCTGGTCCATTTCATTTGATGTTATTAAATTTCAAACTGGAACATTCATACAATATATTTTTTTATCTTTAACTACCTTACGCGCGCGACATCGTCTGTATTACATTTACTATTTAGATGGATTAGCCCATTTAGCTTTATACATTACTTAGTAGGTATAGATTAAATTGTATACACAAATTTGATAATTGTAAATGTAAATTAAATACAATATATTATAAGGTTTCTATTTACGATTCCTCGATAATATTAAGAAAAAAGTTACGATAAATATGACGGATGTTTTAATGGAGCCTATAAATTAATTGAAAATAATACAACATAAAACTCTTATGGATATTGATTTATAAAAAAATATGTACATTATATAAACTATACAAAAATTGCCTAAATGGCGATTGTTAGATACTACAATACGTGCGAGAATGCTGGGATGAGATTAGTACATAATCGTGACATATGACCCTTTAGTTATTAGTACATAATCGTGATATAAAATGAAGACATATGCGACTATTATCTTCTCATCTGTCTAATAATGTGACTACTGGAACTTGTCCATCGTGTACTACAACCTGTCACAATGGCTTTACTAAGTCAGTGTTGTCGAATACCTAATGAAAATAACATTGCGATAAATATACCAAGCCTACTATAAATAATTCATATTAGTATTAAAGTTGTAAGTCTACAAAAAGTATTTTCAGTTTAAAGATTTCAATTTGAAGATTGATTTTTAATGATCTACTTGAAACGCTACTAGACAATGTCTGAAAGTGGTTCGAAGACCTTAATAATGCATGAGTTGTTATACTTCTGTTGAGAACTGTTATATTCAATGTGCCTTGTCAAAAGCTTTGAAACTTCTATATTACTTTGGTTTAGTTGGTGACTCAAGAAAATTTTTAGTTTTTTCTTATTATACGAAAGAAATGTTACGAAAAGTCAAGTTGCTTTGATACGTAGGATTATATTTTGCCAGTCATTCCACAAAATGTTTGTAACATTTTAAATGGCAATTCTTCAAGTCAATGAATTCTCGAATATACTATCTTAGTATGTACCAATATACCTACTTACATCTACATATGTTAGTCCCTATAAGTAGTAAAGTAAGAGAGGTAGGTATAGGTAATATAGGCGTAAGTAATTGTAGATATGTTTTGTCATATCCACGGAGAATTGATGCGGGTTAAAAATTTATACTTCAGGGAATTCCTACGCACGTTCCAGAATGTATTTGGACTACTTATGCGTTTTAACTAATATGGGGAATATGTTTTAGCACTGTCCGGAAGCAGCACTGGTATCTGCACGGGTATTGGCTGCTGAGGGAGCACCAGCGACGCGTTCTGCGTCAGGTGTAGAGAGACGACCTTCTGCACCGCGGCCGCCTCTCAGCAAAAGGGGGTCAGGGTCACTATTATCACAGGCGCCTCCACAGTCCAGGTAAGATAAAAAACAAAAGAAAAGAAATTATTTATACGTGGCTGACTAACGCTTAGGGAGATTTCAAATTTTACTCCGGTTGATAACTTTTTTATTTGACATTGATTGATTGATGGCTTTGACAATAAATATTTGAACATTACGTTCCTTGACGTATATGTAATCAGATTTATCGAAGAACGTAGTGGCTTAGTAGCTTTTATATATATATAAAAGGATTCCATAAACGAAATGACAGCGAGTAAATCGTAAATTACTTACCTCTGTAAGCATGCAAATTACTTAGAGATGACAAATCTTCAACATTCTATGTTTAATATTATAATCTGATTATCTCTGAATTTACGGCATTCGAGGAGCAATTATTTTTCCCGGGATTTTACTGCGAAGATTTATTAGGAAAATTAAATTGTTCACGGATGCTGCGACATCGTAGCCAGATAAATTTATTTATTACAAATACGAGGTCGTTTATTACAGTTTTCTTGTTTATGGATACGAGATATTGATAGACAGATTTGTTATGTATACTGTCTACGATTACATGTGAAGTTTAATAAGAAGTCTAACTAAAATTTCAATATTAAATTAATCTTCTAAATGTAACGAAAACTTACAGGGCTATACCAACCGATGAATATTTAGGTTTGGTTAGTTTATTGTTTGCGGTAAACATGATTATCGTAATACAGACTTGTCTAGCTACTCGTATATTTTTGTCAAAAGACACCGGTTGGCAAAAAGTGTCATTGCTGTTTATGTATTCAGAATCTAATTAACACAATGTTGCTTTATAATTAATTTATTAAAATTTAATTGCTTAATATCACTGAATTATTATAATTTTGTATAAAAAGAAATAATCTAATTACTTTAAAAATATTTTCATTTTAGTACGAATATTATTTTTTCTGAAAGTAACTATTGTTAGCGTTTACAAAATACTAATGAAATAGTTACTTGTATTTTAATATAACAAAATTGAGAACCTTGCATATCTACACAATACGAAGGAATCATTTAATGAGAGTACACTGTCGTCCGGTGGTAATTCAACCTTGTACGGTCTTGTGAGGGGTTTAAGAGTGGGGAGAGTTTAGTGTGACGTCCGTAGATCTCAAAGATGTCCATCTTACAGGAAGTAAGATGGACATGAAACAAATCAAATTGAATAAAACGTGAACGTATTTTTTTTTGTATTAATATTTTTTCTCTACCCTCCAGTTCAGTATACAGACATAATCGAGAAGAACTGGCAAGAAACTCAAGTGTGAATACATGTATTTAATAATTTTATTTAATGCAGGAATTTAGGGTATTATTATACTGCGATATTATATAAAATTCTCTTGTTTGTAAAATAATTTTCGGGGTATAATTGTCACTTTCGCCGGCGTTCTTAATATAAAAGAACATGTTAAAAAGGAGAATTGTCAAAGAATTAATGACAGTTATTATAGTCTAAAAGTATTTTTTATAATAAAGCGGAGGCGCGATTTGACCCTGTTCGCTACTCAAATGGCAGTTGGGTGCCTACTAACTTATAATTAAGCGAAACTTTTTGGAAGTGAATTTAATGCTCCAGTTACTCTTTGGAATTTTAGGTGCGTGCTTGATGAACTTCTTAGAATTTGTTATCTATATTGTACCAAATACGACGCCAAAACAAAAGTTCATATAGAATTTTCATCGGGTCTGTTTCCTACGATAAGTAAATACTTTTTTTTATTAGTTGAACTTTTTAGAATTGCTGAGAATAAATTAAAATAGAAGATAAATAGACATGTAATTTTTTACTGAAATTGAAAACTGAAACATTAAGTAATGATTTTTTCTTTTAAACTTGAACAAATGGACATGGACACCTTTTTGTTATGTCAATTATTGCTATATAAAATGCGTAATTTAAATTGTGCTACATGCCTGCTTTATTTTATAACAAGGACAAAATATGAGTAAAGTATACTATTAGAATCAATTGTATTGCAGCTTAAAGTAGTAAACATACTTAATTTTATTAGAAAAGTCTTTAGAATTTAAAGCTCAGTACAAAGTCGATCATAAATATTTACCGGGAGCTATAATTTGTTATCTCTGCCTCGGGAGAGGCTTTACGAAGCTAAGTCCGCTTCTGGAGGATTAAAACCCTGAGTTACACGGATCACTATTTTTCATATGCGTTTCATTATACGTATATATACATATTTGATAAATATTATACATTCAATGTAGACATATATGCTTTATACAAATTCAATTATAATATAATTTTCTATTATTTCTATATAGCGATTAAAGTACATAAACCATTCGCCATAAAATATCATTGTTCCCATTTGAATGCAATCAACTGTTTTGTATTCCCATATTATATTAGATTTTTATTGAATATTTTTTCGAGTAGAAATATAGTGAAACTCGGCGGGCTGTACAAAACTAATCTTATTAAGATGTGTTTTTTTATTATTAAAAGCGTAGTATTATTATTCCTTGTGAATAGACAGAATCGACTGTTTGTATTGCTATATAACATTATGTCATTATTCATTTTCATAAACACACATTTTGATTAGTTACATCTTATATTATATTACATATTAACCTTATTATTTCGGTATATTATGTTTTATTATATTATATAAACTAGTCGATGTTAGAAGGGACGAGTGAAACATTAAAGGGAATTGTTACCCCTCATAAACGATTATGTTATAAATAGGTCCTGAAATTTGCTGACCTCTAAATCTTGACCTTGTATAAGTATTATGACATGGGTCTCATGGCTGACAACGCACTAACTATTCTGCTAACTCAATTGTGGTATAAAGCATTATACTCCAAATTAAAGTAATATGTTGAACAATTGCAAGTTTAAAATATTATTATTTATTTTTTAGTAGTGTATAATTACATGATATAAAGTAACTACTTTATATCATTTGTAGGTATGCGCAAAAATACTTTTCAATCTAGTTAAAAAGACTCACTATTTTTGTACGCATACATTTGCCATTTCCATATAGAGTTCGAAATAAATAATGCTGTAATTATTCCAATTTCCTGCAAAACACAATTTACCATATAATATACGCTGTGAGCTCAAAGACATTCCACATGCGATGAAAATTTCCAGTGAATTATATTCCACCGGAGTACCGGGATTGCAGGAAACTTACTAAATTACCTACTCTGATCTTTTGTGAAGGTCGCTTTTTAGACTGCTTTAGAGATTTTACCTTTTTATTGATTATAAGTTCAGGCGAAAGGTCTTAATAGTAAGGTAAAAAAATTATGTGTGGTAAATCTTTAAGAAACTAATTCTTTGGTTAGGCTGTTCAATGACTGATTTATGAGTAGGTTATCTATTTTCCTGAATATGTTCTATATTTATTACACTTTATTTAATTTGAATTTAATATTATGGGTCTGAGAATGATGTACAAATTAATGGAATATCAGTTCAGAACTGATTTTATATGACATGCGTTTTATTTATTGATTATATAATGTACAGACCTACTAGCCATGGATGTTAAATATACATTTACCTACATAAAGCAAACTTTTGATATTGTTACATAACTGTAGCATTTCTTTGTATATATGAGAGTGAGATGAGTGAATTCATATAGATACTTATATTGAATTTTCGTTGTACTGTTTACTTTATATCAAGCGATGTAGGCACTCATTACATCACGTAGGATCCTTATTAAAATCCCAATGGACTCAGAAGTGCAAATAAAAGTATCGGAAAGTAAATAGTCAAATGTATGATTATTATTCTATTTTAGAATTAAGGACATTAGGATGTTAGATATATTATAAACTTACCTTGAAATCAATCCATCAATCAGTCAATTTAAAATACTATTTATATTATACATACAAAAATTTTGTAATATATATAAAGATTTTTTTTATATTGATAACTATTTTAATAGTTATCAATATAAAAAAAATCTTATTACAGTTTATACAAAGTTGTCTACGTGTGGATAATACTATTTCAGCTATTTCTATCTTTAACCAAATTTGCTTTGTAAGCTCTTCACTCTTTTGAAGAGAGAAATAGAGATAGTTAATTAGAGACTTCCGGAATGTTACCCTCTGAAGAAAGAGGGATATGTCGCTGTTTAATTACAGACTATCAGAATGGTGACGACGTGATCTCAGTGGTACTGTTCATGTCTATAGGCGACAGTTACCCTATTCTAATCGGTGAGCAGTCACAATATATTCGTAATGTACATTCGGCCTCGTGTGAAAAATGAAAACATGGCAGCATTTCTTTCTATATTGTTCGTGATTGCTGACATAATATACTTACCTAATTTTGATAGCTTCTTAAAAAGAATTTATAATACTTTTAGGCTGTTACAGTATTGACTTCGTTAAGGTCATTGGTACTTTATATTAAAAATTCTGTTTAATCTTTTTAATGTATAAGTACCTACTTTGGTAATTAATCTGAGCACTTCCGTAGTTGCCGTTATTTCCGAGAGATTTTAGAAAATGGGCGAGAAATTAATCATGAATATAGAGTTTAAACTGATTGAAAATCAGTACTATTTTTTATCAATAGTAAAATAGAGTAGAGACTATATTCCATAAAAATATTTCATAAAGCGATTAAAAATGTAAGTAAATATTGAAATTATGAACAAAGTAAGTAGTAACTATCCTAATTGAAATTATATGGGACGAATCCGAATTAGTCTGTGTGTTCACTAATAAATAATGCATATACATTATTTATTATTATAACATAATTGATATGATTCCGCAAAAGAGATTGCGCATACAGAAAATAGCTAAAAAGAACCTACTTCTTTTTTAAGTTGATTATATAAATATATAGATAAACGAGATAAGTAGGTATTTACATATGTACCTATATTTTTTTAAATGAACAACAAGTTCTAAAAACTGTTCTTACGTACTTAAATGTACATATCTGAATATGCGGAGATCAATTTGCAAAAGAGTATTATCCCACCAATTTCCTTCCAAATCACACTTTTACGTGTTCCGAATACATTTAAGGGGTATAAATTTACATTGAGTCATCCCAATTCTGTTCGTAAAATAAAATTGCGGCGTCGCGTCGATATGTTTAGAGCTACGTTTAACTGGTAATCAATAAAAAATGAAACGGGAGCATAAAATTGAATCCATACTTGGGTACGCACTTATCGGTTTAGGTGTATTTATAAATTATAAATTATATATCAAAACAAAACAGTGATTAAAATAACAAAAATACAATGAAATATTGGTTTCACATATTTAAATTCTATAAAAATATTCCAAGGAATGTCATAATTCGATATAGACTATAGTTATATGTTTATCTCTTTTATGTGTCTTCTCTATTGAATCTGCCTGTACTGGTTAGCAGGAAAAATAGTAATATAAAAAACTTGAATAAACTTAAAAATTATAGTACATTTAAATCACTTATATGTATAAATTACTACAATATCCTGATATTTTTCGTTTATTCATTGGCGAAAAATAAACATAAAATAAAAAGTTAGTAATATAGATTGATCACGTCATAACACGTGAAATTCAGTAATTCACATCTTTTTGGCTTTACGTAATTAGTACCTAAATAATCTTATTATAAGCTTTAATATTAACAGCTAAATGCGAACAATAACATGATAATGTAGCAAAATCTTAAGTTACTCACTTTGCTAGTACTTCGCCGAGCATAATATTGAAATCCAATATGACAGAGGAAGACTGTACAAAGGCGTCTGCACGGGTATACTTCCTTTTCACCTGTGTAATTTATTCTGCTCCGCTAAGCAACTTTGTTACATGTTATATCCAGTTTGAAAGGTAAGATAATTGAGAGTGAAATTACAGGGCACATCGGCTTTGAAATAGCGACTCATGTAGCTTTTTATTTATGGCGTAGCATTTTACTGATCACTTGTTATCACGTTCTACTTTTTTTTTACTACATGATCATGACTTGGGTTAGATTTATGAATTTCATCTGACTGAGTGCTAGTATAGACAGTTTAGTACAATACTGGTTTTCTTCGAGGCGGCTGACCTTATTATTACGACCAGCTTATTACTTACTTAGAACACTTCGATCATATTCTATACATTTAAGTATTTAATATGTCTTATCATAAAGCTGTCCTATCAAAAATTTGGGGCATTGATTATTGTTTACGATCAGGTGACCCGTCAGCTTGCCAATTCAAATTCCATAAAAAAATATCACATGCTGCCGAAGCTAAAGGTACCGTAGACCACGTGGCCACGTCCAGTGTGGACGTAAGAAACCTAACTTTGCGTGTCAAATTATATTTTTGACTGACTCTCCACTGAAGCAAACTTCGACATCAAACCAAACCAAAGTTAACACCAGAGACGACGGTAACCTAGCTACGTTTGACTCAAATACTCATCGAATTGTATTGTAGGCATGTCAAGTGTTACTTTCACCTCGACATCGAGCACAACAACCGTAGTGGTATGTTTGTTTGTAATACTTAGTATCTATGTAAACAATTACAGGGTTGTAATATTGTTCAGTTGTGATGAAATAATTTCACTAGATACAAAATTCAAGGCTACCAATTGCCCTAATCTGAGTGAAACTTTCCACCTAAAACTTCTGCTACTTTCAACTTCCACTTGATTTAATTTGTAACAAAACACAACAATAACAACAATGTCGAATCAGTTGCTAATCATTTTTCATCATAACTTCTGTGTATTTAATTAATGTAGATTTTTATCATTAGTATATTACCATAACACAATAAATATTTGTAAAAGAAGTCTTCTATATTCATATATACATATACCAGATATACATATGATTGCCTGTTATAATTTATGAACATTCATGTCACTATTATTACCAAATTTTGCTTGAGAGTCAAAATTAAATTAGCTCTTATGTTCTTACTAAATTAATGTCGCAATAATTAAAATTTTACTGCGGGAATCATAAATCCTTAACTTTATAGTCAAGTTATGATTACGAGATCATAAAACGACTGCTCGAGAATACTACAAAACAAATATCTGATAATATAATATTGAAAACGTTAAACGTTAAACGTCATTTAGAAATCGTGCCCGATCGTTTTATTGATAATCTCTGTAAATTCAGATGAAATTCGACCCGCAATCTTTATGTATACATTTCATAGTCTTGTATATAAATTTATGACATTGTACTAAAAACCTCGACTTTAATTTTACTAATATTAGTATGGACAGGGCAGCCTGAATAAATACATACTTTCGATAAATAGAACTCCAAAAATAAAAACTGATAAATGTTTGTATCATGGAAAGATATGCAAATTAAGTCGGCGAACCCTTTGGTCAAAGTACAATTTCCCACTTTGCAAGGACTCAAGAATATTACAGTTTCTTTATGAGATTGTTTTGGTTTACGACAGTATTGTATATCTATAACAAGTCCTTGGAATTATATTTGCTGTTTCGGTCTTATATCACAATCATAAAGCGGCTGTTTCATTGGCATAAAACTACGGACAGAGCGGGTGGTTGCCTGTGCTTTCTTTATGACCAGTTTATGGCAAGTCGTAACTAAGCTTGATAATCGAATTTATTTTTCATTGAAGTTTTTCTACCATAAATTGAATGCCAGAGAGATTGATGGTTGTTGTTTTATTTATATAATTAAATATGTAGTAACCACCAACTACGTAGATAAAGAGCAATACAAACATCACATGTGTCATTCATGCGTTGCCATTACACAGGACTAGCATGTCATTTCTCCGTACGTTGTAATTTTACTCTATTATCGCTACCTTTAACCGAAATGCATTTTACTAAGCAAGCTGGTTGGCGATTAAAATTGATGAGACAAAGTTAAACTCTACATCTAGACTTTGTACAAATTGTATAGCAGTAAATGATACTCATTTTGGATAACTGAAATGTAGTCAGGTTGGGCAATTGAGTATTGATGTGATTCTATATAAATTTCTGTATAACATATGAACATAGGCGAACTTTATATTTGTGAATCTAAGGTATTTGCAAGTATTTTAATAACTTGTTAATGATCTTTATACGAGTAATCTTTTTCTCAGAAAATATGTGGTACCTTATACAGTATATACATATATTTACTAATTATTATTGGTGAGTTTGAATCTTGTCTTCGAAACACCAAAAAAGTTTTCTGTTTTATATTTATAGCTGATTTAATTTCGTGGTAATCACTAATAAATCAAACTTATAGCTTCTAATTGGGCACCAACTGATATTAAGAATCATGTAATTATTATTATTATTCATTAACTGATTTATTTCAGATATCTATGGATCCGCATAGCTCTATTCGAGCGGCAACTCGCAAAGATAATTGAGCACTTAGTGAACAATGCTACGAGGTACTATGAACGGGATGCCTTGGTCGCCGATCCAGACTACGGCAGCATCCTTAGCTCGTTACTCGTCGGCCCCTGCGCGCTAGAGTATTCGAAGGCCAAAGCACCGGCTTGCTTCTGGACCGATCCGCCGGCTGACGAATTGGTAAGTTTGTCTTCTATAGTTTTTGTATTTTTTTATGGTGTCCCTGCGCTAGGGTCTTGCGCTAGTGGTATTCGCTGGCGGGCCACCAGTGGAGGAAGTAGGATGGAATGAAGATGTTATAGAATTGATAGATTGGTCAGGTCATTGTGAGAAATTCACGACAAATGTTTTACATGAAGGACTGAGTGGACATCGACCTGGTTTTTTTGTTAATTATATCTATCTACATTTATATTTATGATGATGATTATGATTCGTTAGATACTTCAGAATCTACGACAAGTTTTAAAATTTTATATTATCGTAGTTTTTACTGTAGATGTTTAAGTATATTTAAAAGAATACTATGTGAGATATAGAAATATGTATATCTTAAGTATTATCGGCCGTTCTCCACAGGGCTATTCTTGAAGATTTACCCCATAGTGACAGTAGGTAATAAAAAAGTTTAAAACGTTTAAAAGTTTATACAAACTGCGCTCACAAGTCAACAGACAATGCAATATTATAATGAACGCGATAACGTGGATTGATACTACAACTAGCTAGAACGATACGGTAACTATGTAATAAAACAATATAAACCTATCAAGATTGAGTTAACTTGATTAGCAGTGGTTAGAAATTAAGTAAGTAGTTATACAAACCTTTGATAGTGGAGTACGCACGTGTCATAATAAGTATATAAGAGAAGTAGTTTGTTTTTAAATATAGAAATATATTTTAAGGTTATATTATATTAAAACTAGATTTTTGTCTATTCTCTGAATGTTGTTAATGGTTAATACAAAAATATTTGTTGCGTAGAATATTTATAGGTTTTTTGTAATATTTCAAACATATACAGGTGCAAAGACATCGCATGTCAGCCGGGACGACCACTCCGCCGTCTGTTCGAAGACCGATCCTCAACTTTAGGAGGAGTTTGAATGCTTCCTCTGATGACAGTGTCACTACAAACTCAGGTAGACATTTTGTTTAGTATTATCTACCATACATACATTACTTGAGTTACACAGCAAGTATTAAAAATACAATTGATTGGAATCAAAACTATAATATATACCTACATACTAATTATTAATTTACTCTACAGGTTAAAATACTTATAGATTAGTAATATTTCCGCATTGAATATTTTGGGTCCTATACTTGCCAATGATACCGGAATTAAACAAAATAATATAAATCCATAAATAATTAAATATTGTATTCGGACAGCAAATTAGCAGACTACAACGTTATAATACAATTTACTATAATTATAATATTATTTCTTATCGACTACTAATGTTATAATATATATATATATAGTTGTGAAATTGAGTAAAAATATATTTGAGCATTTTGCTTTTATTAAATAATGCGGAAAGACTTGAAACGCTAAAGTATCTAAGTAAACTTTAATTAATAGCCATTTGGTTGTTTTATAGGTACCGGAAAAACGGGTGGATCAAGTGCCAAAGATTATGTTGAAAGTTTACATCAGAATTCAACAGCTACTCTACTTTATGGGAAGAATAATGTACGAGTGCAACCGGTAAGAAATCGACTCATGTTGGGCGCCATTTTCAATTAAGAATGTTTGTCTCTAATCTTACTACTCAAGATCAGGCTGTGTGAATTAAAATCCTTTGCATGCCCATATAATAAACTGAAATTCAATATGTTTATATGAAATACAATATGCTTACATGCACTGAGATTTCGGAAACATTGCCAATTTAATAACGCAAACCAGTCACAAGTTGGTAGAAAATGTTGATTTAACAACCAAACTTAATATTATAATGAAGGTCGGTTTATAATAGATTACACGATTTTAAACAACGTTCAACGATTTTATAGAAAGATGTAGAGGAATCGATGCCTGGCTACCTCAGCCTGCACCAGACGGCTGCAGGTCTCGTAATAAAGTGGACACCTAATCAGCTTATGAATGGATATGCTGAAAGCGAAGGAATAGACAAAAGGTATCAATACATTTCTATTTTAATTCTCAACTGAATGTACAAACTATATCTATGTTTTATAATTATAATTAGTTACAAACATCCTTTTAATATCAAATGTATATTAAAATTTACAGTTGCACTTTCATAATTATGTATTTTATATTAATATTTTTTAAATGTTGCATAGTAGTTTACATTTTCCATTACATTGTTTTGTTTACATTATTATTTTAATTTGACTGTGATGTGTTAATTCTACAAAACAAAAGTCGCGCATAATATACTATTGCTTCTCGTGTGCGACTTTTGATATAAATTGTGTATTAGAATAACATAGCAGATTTTGTTGTATGTACTATAAAGAGCTTATCATCCTATTTGGAACTTTTTTGTGTAGCAGTAGAGCTGATTTTGTAGTGTGTGTAGCTATCGCTGTCACCTAGTGCATGCGTCTGCGTGTCAAAACACGTGTATTCTGTGCAGCATTGCTCCCGTTTGCACCGTATACAGAAGGCTCTGTTCTGGACCCCTCTGTATAGACTGGTAAGTACAATCCATGTACGTAGACTAAATGCAGTTCTAAGATATACAAATGATTGGTTCAAAAGTCAAAAGATGATACGGTAAGAAAGGGAGTAAATAACGAGATGACTGCGAACAGGGATAAATGGGAAAGGAAAAGATATTACTCCGACTCCAAATAAATGGGATAAGGAAGAAGCAAATGATGATGATTCTTAATGTAATGATATTGGTATTAACAGTTGTGTTGTCTATGTATGTTTGTAGTGTATACTGGGCGATGTCGCTGCAGGTGTGCGTATGGGAGGTGGTGTATGTACACGTTCACCGTTCGCAAGCGAGTGATGCTCTCATACTTGTCGGCCAAGATGGCGTACAACGACCACCTATACAATTTCCAAAAGGTATAGTAAATTCAAATTTTAACTTTGAATAGAACATAAATGCATTTATTAGTCTATTTGTACTATTCATTTAAATAGACCATACAAAATTAAATCATATAATATTATTATAAAATTCATCTTAATAACAATTTAATTCTTTCTGTAGTTGAAAAAATAAAGATTGTCCTTAATTTACTTACAGCTTTCTTTGCTTTAATTGTACTTCTTTTACTTTCTTCTGACAGGTGGTCATCTGTTGTCGTTCTTGAGTAATCTAGAAACTGGGTTACTACCTCATGGTCAATTAGACCCACCATTGTGGTCACAAAGAGGAACAGGCAAGGTCAGTTTAAGATATATTTCGAGCTGAATAGAACATTTATAACTTTACCTACCTTGTTATCCGTAATATAAGTTCTTACCTGGCTGACTCAGATTCAGTGTCTGAATACATGTGACTTTAAAATAAGTTATAAGTATTCAAAGGTGCTTGTGCCCATTAAAAGTTAGGTTTATTTAATTAAAGATTATTTCTTTTCTATATATTAAAATATTATTCTAGGTTTTCGGTCGTGGTAAAATTCGGAGACGCCCAATGCCGAGTCTCTGTGAGAGCGGGGAGACCGAGGAAGCCGAGTGGGAGGAAGCTGCCGGAGATTATGTTTTCCGTATAGTCAACAATGCTATTACAGATAGAGAAGGTATATAAATGTTGATAATAAACATAGTAGAAGTAAAACAAAAACCCAGTACAGAACATATCACGCTATATGAATGCAGTAGTTATGTTGGAAGAATAATGTAACAATATTTATCGCTAGCAATGCGTCGTTCTCTCTTGGAGCGGTCGATACAGTCGCCGCCGCGTACTCCACGCCGCCCGCTCGCATCCACTTCTACCACATCATCGGACTCGTCCACAATGTCTGTGGACTGTCCACCTTCGGCTGGATTCAATGGACACCCTCCACAGATCCTGCCACCGTCTGTACAGTACAACGAGGAGGTAAACTATATATTTTAATAATTACATAAATAGTACGTACTTTATCCTAACATGATCTACTCTGACTGTATGGGCTGGCGCGGCAACATTAGACGATCAGATGTTGATGAAAGTGGGTCACCTTATAAAGAATTCTGCTAGCAGTGGGCCCAATGGTGACTTCAATACTAACAATCCCATTCCATAAATATCACTTTGACATATTACAAATCATTATTGTTGTAACTGGCTAATCAGATATGTATTTTATATTCTAAATTTGTATTTGAATTTATAGTTCTTTTATATTACATTCTTGTTTTTGATACTTCAATTCCTTCATTCTGTTCCTAATTGTCAGTAGTCTATATTAATATATTTTCTCCATTTACCTAGTTTTTTTTCTTATTACTACAACAATTATGTAATCCCAAACTAAGCAGTGCTAGAAATCATAATCATTTGGTCATATTTATAATTTTTTAGTACTTATACGTGTCCATTATCACTTGTAGTATCGGTACTAGAACCTGAGACAAGATAGACATACAGGGTAAGGGTACTGGAGAGCTAATAGACGTAATATATTTTGTGACATGATTATACAAACAACCGAATCAATCGGAACAAGGTAATGCATGTAAATGTTTGTGGTGTGCTAATCGGCGACCATGAGGAGGCCAAGAGGAATATGAAACAAATAGATCAAGGAAGTCAAATATGTGTGGACCTTGTCTTGATCTTGACTTGTCTGCGTAATAGACATTATTAGGCCAGTTTATAGCACTAAACATATGTACCACTGTATATAATTATTTATTCTAGAATTCACACAGCGCCGTCTAGTCTCAAAATAAGCAAAGTTTTTAAAATGGTTACTGAAACAACTGATAAAAATACTTAAATATATTTGTTTAATAACAGAATGGACGCTGACTAAGCTACTCCTAGCTTAGTTTAATAATACAATAATTCATTATGTATAAATAAAAAAAAACCTGTATTTTCAGCCTGCGTCAATTGAGTTAGTTTGCAGCACGATGCGTCGTCAGATCATATCGCGCGCGTTTTACGGCTGGCTTGCATACTGTCGACATTTGTCTACGGTTCGAACACATCTAAGTGGTTTAGTGCATCCAAATATCGTCCCTAGAGGTTCGTGGTTTAATTTTACAATTATTACAAATAATAAAAATATAACTGTTAACTGTCCATAGATAAGAGATATATCAGAAGTACTATTATTAAACTTAGTATTGTTTTTATTCAATTGCTTCACCAATAAAAATCCTATGCATGTGTAACGTAATGGATTAAGCTATTTTCTAATATATGTATATATATATATATATATATATATATATATATATATACTATACTGGGACAATGAATCTGAAACTAAAAAATTTAAGACAATAACTAAAATATATTATTAAAAGGAGTTCCTTTAGGCAAGGTTCCGAGTTCCGGTATACTATACTACTACGAATAGCTATACTAATTTTTTGCCCGAGGTAGCCAGCTCTTCGAGCTTCTGTAATGTCGGCTAACCTTTTCGCTATTTCCTTAAAAAGCCTTATAGGGCTAGGACCCCACGGAACATGGCGTTTATATAACAGTAGAAAGAAGTACAAAATTTTATGCTTTTAAAATTTATGGATATACAATATTGTCAAGTAAATTTTACTAGTATAATTATTGAGATGTAGTATAATTAATGTGAATTAAACAGAAGAATATATCAGTAATAATTTTCAAATACCTATTAAGTAAAAACTCTATAATCTCCGTCTGGTAATGAATATAGGAAATTCTATTTTTTTTTACCTGAAAGAAGTATCTATGATATTAATGACAATAAATATTTTATTTATGGTTAAGTAAAATATGTAATCTTCTTAATCTGATAAAATATATAAGTTATTGTATAAACATTTATTAGTATTTATTGTATAAACTTATGATTAGGCCAAGATTATTATATTATATTAGATATCTACATTATAGATTCATCTATTATTTTTTATATTTCAGAAGGGACAGAGTCTGGTCTATCGGAAGAACTTTGGCGATCTATGACGGATAACAAAGGTGTTGTAAGTGACAAAGACGAAGTGTACCGACAAGTATATTACCACGGAGTACAACACGATATAAGGCGTGAAGTGTGGCCTTATTTGCTGGGATATTATGAGTAAATACTAATTATACTATTACTTTATTGCAGACCAAATAATTATTTACTTTAGCGGTTACTATGGCAATAATTACTCGTAAAAAGAAAAGAAATATAAACATTCATTTTATTTGCTAAAAGGTCGTTAAATCTATACATTTCATTATTATGTTTTTTGTCTCGAAACTGAACATGAAATCCCAATAATTTGTTTATATATTTTCAAAGGATTCATTTATTCTAGATTCGGATCAACAGAAGAGGAACGTATGGAACAAGATGCTGCGTGTCGTCGTCAGTATGAAACTACAATGTCAGAGTGGTTGTGTGTAGAGGCGATAGTGAGGCAAAGGGATCGTGAAGCAACTGCTGCGTCTATAGCACGTCTATCTGAAGCTTCTGGCAGATTAAAGCCTGTGGAGAATACAGAACCTTGTGAGGTGAGTTTAAGTTGTAACTAAGAAACATAAATATACGTTGACTGCTATTGTACCAGATGAGAAATCAAAAGTGTTTTCTAGAGTCGACGTAGGGGTGGTGGCAAAATTTCATCAAGCCGACATTGCGACCTACCTCCTACATTCGAGTCCAATATGAAATAGAATGTGGGAGGTGATGAGCCTACCACTGTCTTACGGATTAATTTAGTTTGTTATCGAAGTAAAGAAAAATGTTGTGCAAATATTGCTTGCTTTTAGAAGTGTTGAAACTATTCTCTTTTTAACAGAAGTAAAAGACCAATGATGCAGTTATTTTATGTTTTTAAAGGTGTTTGAAGATGACTATAGCGTCATATCAGACAATCCTCCAGTCGTCTCACCAGAACCAAGTGAAAATGAACAAAAGCGACTGGACAACAAACCAGTTCTGTCTCGAGCACCTAGTATAGATGAAGTAGATAACATAGAGCTGGATTCTGAAGGAAAGGAGAAAGACATTAAAGTTAACGGAGAGACTGAGACCGGTGATAATAGAGATTTAGATATAGACAGTCTTAAAGACTTAGATGATGACGAGGAAGTGCATGTTAAGAGTTTAGTAGAAAACCCAGATTTAAGAAGAGAAAGTATAGCGGAGATTAAAAGAATAGCGGAAGATATGGTACAAAAAGGTGATGGAAGGGGATTGTTGTGTAGTGTTGATAGTGCGAATGTTAATATAAATGGAAGTGATCTGAGGTCATCACTAGATGAGAACCAACCGAGTCAACAGCAACCGAGTTCGCAGCAACATACTAGTGTCATTATAACTAATCCATCCGTGGATTTGGCTGCGTCTGGGTCTCCGGCCTCTGGGGGAACTACGGGTAAGATATTTCATATTACCTCGGAAAGTATATTTTTTGCTTGTTCTCTACAAGCAAATAAATATACTTGGCTGCTTTGATTACTACATTTTATTTATTTTGCTACTCAACTAAGTGTGTCATTATTCTAACTCTAATGAAATCGTGCTATTTCACACATATACGTAAATGTTTCGACTTAAAATTATAAAGTTGTATAACATTTCTAAGTTTCTTGCTCATTCTTTTTGGCTCAAATGACATTCGAAATGCGTGGTTAAATAGATCTGTTTTAATTTAATTCTAGTAAGTTAATGTATATTTATTTAATGTTAATTCTTCCAAATACTCAAAATTGGTTTTAATGACTTATGCCAGTAATATTCTCTTAATCGGCATCTAAATAATATCTTATTCACTTTAGCAAATGTGAGTCCAGCCCGAAGTCCGCTGGGTGTCGTGAGAGAAGAATCTCACTCTGCGGGTGCATCGTTCGATACTTTAGAACCGAGTAATGATCCGCGCCCAGATAATCGTTCTAATTGTGTATCACCTGCTAGCTCCAATGGTGGAGTTTACTCGGTAATTACATCATTTATTATTATTTTAAATCTCAGATAACGCGATCAAAGCCTGACCCAGTGTTCTGGGTAGTTTCCCCAGTAATTTGTGTAGGTTAACACAAATTACTGGGGAAACTACCCAGAACATTATAGACCTAATATAATTATAAGAGAGTTCGTTTTTTAAATGATCAAAGCATCTAAAATTGACTCAGGCCCTAAATGCCTAGGTAGACGAAATATTCAGGTTCATTTAATTTATTATTTTATTACTTAACATGTAATGTGACCATGATATATACACTTCACAACGTCTTGTTATCGAAATTACATCACTTCATTTTTTTAATATCATACTTTAAATTTCAGAATGAGCTAGTGGAAAGCTTTGCTTTAAACCTACATCGCATAGAGAAGGATGTGCAGAGGTGCGACAGGAACTACCCGTTCTTCACTGATGATAACCTTGACAAACTTAGGAACATAATGTGCACGTATGTTGAATACAGAAACCATATCATGTCAAATTTACATTTAAGAATTTTTATATAGCTTATAAAGCAAGCTGCTTATCCGCAAAGATTTTCGAGACAAATTTTTACTCATTATTTAGTGTATGTATGTATAAACGATAAACTGCGACTCACTCAGTTCTTCTTCAAAGTTAGTAATTGTTTCTTATAACTACACTAGAGGTAGATTGTAAAAAGTCATCTGTGTCCTCAGTCCATTTCAGCCATTGAATACAGAATAAAAGGCGTGACATCTTAATCCTCTAAAAAGGCAACGCTTGATCATTATCACGGTTGTCACCTGATAACGTGATGTCCGTAGTTCCGTCCGATATAGGCAACCGTTACCACTTAACAACAGGGGATGTCAGCTTGTTTGCCATTACACATATATAAAAAAATTACAGGTTTGTATGGGAGCACCTAGATACAGGTTATATGCAAGGCATGTGTGACCTGGCGGCGCCACTGCTGGTGATGATGCGTGAAGAAGCGGTCGCGCATGCGCTGTTCGCCCGATTGATGGAGCGCGCCAAAGACAACTTTCCATCCGGGCAGGCTATGGATGCTCACTTTGCTGATATGAGGTAGGAAATGATAATTAGATACAAATTGCTTAATTTAAGACAATGTTCAGACAGGTCCAGAACAGGTGGATATATTTTTTTAGATAAATAAAAGTATAAGTTCTCAATAGACTATAATAAAAAATAAATTGAGATATAACTATCTTGAGGAACAGTATTTTTTTAGTGATATTTTCTATTTGATTTTATGGCAAGCGTTTTTATACTATCTGTTATTTTCTTTTGTTGTTTGATTTTGAGTGAAAGAAATTTAAAATAAATAGAAGAAAATAAATTTGCAGCAAAATATTTTGAAATCACATGAAATAGAAAATATAAATGAACAAGTTTTACCGCACACACTTGTTAAGGCCGCCAACTTTGTTTTGTTATTGCATTAAAGTATAATAAATAATTTTTACGTGCATATAATTTAAAATGTCGGAGTCGTTCCTTTCAGGTCCCTGATTCAAATACTGGACTGCGAATTGTACGAGTTGATGCACGCGCATGGCGACTACACACATTTCTACTTCTGCTATCGCTGGTTCCTGCTAGACTTCAAACGGGAGTTGTTGTATCAAGATGTAAGTCTTATCCTTACAAAATATTATTCAAACATAATGTTTAATGAAGTTCTTATAGTTATATTGTAGCATGAGGTGGATTGGTATAATTTGTTATTTTGTAATAATTCATACAAGAAAGAAAATCCTTTGCATCCTGAATTAAAATTAGATAAACACACATGACATAAATTTGCTGCTGAAATGATATATGAAATTGGACAATGTTATAAAATCCCGACATAATGTTTTTAAATTTCTAATTCAATTAAAACTTTTATAGTAAACAATTTTATGTAGCTATTTTTATTCTACTACGTAAACGAGGTTTCTTCGACAAATAATTAGAATACAAATTGACATCCCTATCACTAATGTATAAAAATAATTTATATTCTTTACTTTTTGCTTACGTTTTTATGTAACAAATACATATATTTTAATGATTGTTATCAGGTATTCTCAGCGTGGGAGCTGATTTGGGCGGCGCGCCACGTTGCATCTGAACACATGGTGCTGTTCATGGCTCTCGCTCTCCTCGAGACCTACCGTGACGTCATCCTCGCAAACTCTATGGACTTCACGGATATCATTAAATTTTTCAATGGTGAGTCTACCTTTTCCTGGTACCAAACCCATCTGATGGTAAGTGGTAACCGTCGCCTACCTATACAAATCAAATAATCTTTATTTATTTAGGTTTATTACAGACTCTTATGATATGTCAAAAATTACATGAGTGGAACTACGTATATTACGTTATCATGCGTTGCAATTCCGGAGGACTAAGATATCCTGTAATTTTCACATCCGAGAACTGAAACACAGTTTACAAAGCAAACTGTTTTGCAACTTAAATCACCTATACTCCCCATGTAGACGACCAAAGACTATCTCGGTAGTACAGTCATATCGGTGTAACTGTACTTACTGAACAGGCATCTATATTGTCTCCTATTGCTATTTCCGCATTAGAACATGAATGCATTTTTTGTTTTGCATCGTTTTTAATGGGTGATAACGAAATGCACCTGCAATGCGTAATGGTATAAGCTGCTGAGGCACCTGTGGTGATAGAATGTGCATGAAGTCAGATCCGTTAGCACCTGACCGCGGATACACCAAGAATAAAAAATAATTATAAGTATAATTAGAGTATCAAACAATCTTTTCTTATTTATTTATATCTAGCTAATTTTAGTACAGTAATGCACTATAATTAACTTTTCGCTACTGTTTTAAAGTAATGGATATGTACTATATTGTTATATTATGTGTTAGTAGTAGATATGCTTATAGCTGTGTAGGTAAGTAGTATAATCATAGTAAATAGGTACTCATGAAATTTGTTCTCTATTTCCGTTCCGAAATACGCACATAACCAACAAAATAAAAGTGAACAACTGTAACAATAATAAAGGCAAATATAGCGGCGTTGTTATACACATATCTCTAGAAGGATTACTATCTATTTTATAGTAGTTGGCAATGTAACTAAAATAGATTGTTGTTTTCAGAAATGGCTGAGCGTCACGATGCATCTGCCGTGCTATCTCTCGCTAGAGATCTCGTGTTGCAAGTTCAAACCTTAATAGAGAACAAATAATGATCATTTTAAAATAATAGATATATTTTAATCTATGAAAATGACAATCATCTAGGTATATAGTTCGTAGGAAGGATGATTTCGATGTCGAATAATGAAGCATAATTAGTCAGGCGTAGCTGTGTGCGTTTATCTTCAAACATATACAAATGTGTCTATATCATATTTATATGCTTACTGTTTGTTTGATATAGAAATATTTTGACCACAATTCGCAAATCCTTTATATATTCAGAATCAATTTGCGATGGTTTCAAAATAAAAAAACATTATTAAAAATAAAAATACGTAAGTATTTTATACACCACGCATACGACACCTACATTTATAGTTCGAAAGTCCTCTAGAGTTCTTCTACATTGCCTATATTTTTTATTGTGTATGATATTTGTCTAATTTATTTTGATTCTTTTTAAATATATTCCAATTTAGATTGACTATGAACTATACATAATATTTTTTATTGTTGTCATAGTATTTATATTTATCTAACGCTTAGTTCATAATTAATATTATTTGCGTAGATATATTCGCAAAATATAAATGGAATGTTTTAACCAACGCCAAAATAATATATAATAATTCTTCATACTAACTATGCAGAAAAGAATGTCGACTAGCACAAATTATTTTTTTTTGTAACTGAAACACATATGACGGATGAAATGTGAGTGTGGGGTCATCGGCATCTAGTAAGAAAACTGATAAGTATCGGAAATGGAGAAATCTTTGTAAAACGCACTCACCTAATTTATAAAATAACTTAAATATATTTTGTAAACAATATTTACTGCTATCATTGAATCATAATACAACGAGGTGCGTATTAATATTGATTATATACTTATTTGTGTGATTAAACGCAAATTATATTGTACCTACATCAATATTATTTCAGAAAGACATAGTAGACCACATGTCTTTAATAAAATTAGTGAAAATTTTTAGAACAATTAATTATTTATAAAATTATAAATCTATCTAGATATGAAATTTAATGAGAACCTTATATTTCGTATATACATTGTTAATTGAGAGTGTAGCTTTAAATTGAGTGTTAACTATTTATATATGTATATTATAAAACTGTCTCCATATTTACAAATTTTGTTAGATGTATATTGAATTTGAAATGTTCTATTCTTTTTAATAAAAATCAGATAATATATAATTCATCATAATAAATATTTAAATTATGATTAATTTCAAATTATTAGGTATTTTTGTGGAATCAGTATGAATGAATAAATATTGAAGACGTGGGAAGAACCTTTTCAAACTTATTAAATGTTTTGATACTTATAAGACACAGTAAGATGCCAAAATACTTAGGTAAATCTTGGTGAATCATTAAATTAATTATAAATTTAAGTAAGCAAATACCTCAGTAATTTTTGGTACATCATATCGGTATGGTGATATTTACGACTTGTACGAATTATTTACAAAATATTGCCTACGGTATTTTATTAATCTGTCCTATAAATAATCAGGTATAAATAATGTTAATTGATCACATACTTATTTTATAAATATATTCAATATATTTCTAATAATGTATCATTATTTAAAAGGACTCATTTTTAATTCGTTTTTATTTTCATTAGTATTGCTAGTATTATTATTTAAAAAATACGCAAGAATATAAGAAAAATCTTAAAGGCGTATTATGAAGAAGTTACTGTAATTCTAAAAATATTTTTATGTGATATAACAATATATGTCAAGTCCAGCTTCTAAAACCTTATATTCCTACATTTCATATCATTAAAACCTCCTTACCCTGTGCCTTGTCTGTAATAAGGAGCATATTCTCGAGTAAATATCGAATTATTTGAATTAACCTATTCCTATAATTAAAGATACCCACTCAAATGGATTATTATTTGAATTTTAAAGAACTGTGCGATTAATATGAATTAAATTACCATTAACATTAATCAATTTAGTTAAATGTCTATTTAACAAATTAATATTTTAATAAATTAAGTCAAGTTACTGTCCACGTTACATGTATTACGTCCACATGGACGTAGATTCACGTAAATTCTGAACACATTTTAAGTAAAAGTATATAATGTATAAATCTTCTTATCTTTTCATTGTTTGAAATATATAGATGAAAATATTATTTATATTTAAACTATAATATTATAAAGAATTTTTATTATCGATGTCAAAATATAAGACGCAAAGCAAATTTATTGTGGTATCCTGAAATAGATATTGTGAAACTATAGTCATCTACTACTACAAATTATAATTATGTAATCGTTATCTTACTTATATGATAAATTAAACATTAATTTGTTTAAGTAATATGTTACAAAAGAAATTATTTATTTATTTAATTTTTTACGCAACATTGATGTATTTTATTTCAAGCTTATATTTAAATAATACCGTGAATTGCATGTACATATGTGTCAGATTAAAATTAATGTTGTTCAGACCCACGTTATTAGAGCTTCCATTGTCTATTAAATAGAACATTCAATTTGATTATCTAATTGTCAAATGAGATTAACATTGTATTAAAAGATGTAGCTCTATGTATTTTCCTTTTTATTTTTAAATAATATTTTTTATAAAATATATTTATGTATAATAAACATTGCTCTTGTGCTATACATGTTTATAAATTTGTTAAATTCAAAGAACGAAAACTCTCATTGAGTCATAAAAATTTATCGAAACACGTTGGGTTCATTGAATAAATGCATTACACAAATTTGTTTTATGAAAGTAAGAGGTCAGGGTATTTTTTCTGTTAAATTGAGTATGAGCTTGATCCTTTTCTCGAAGCAATTCACGGAACTTTTGACTGCAGTGTAAATTCCTCGTGGTTAAAGCTTTGAATTTCTTTTGATTATGGTAAAAAATAGTCACTCTAACCATATTATCTGTGTTATAACTAAGCTATATAATAGCTAATAATGTATCTTTGGAAAAACGACACTGAACAGCGAATTGCAAATGTTTGTTCAAACGTTGAACACATTGTCTGAGCTCAAATACTCGAGTCACACATTGCGTCTTTGCAGAATTTTTCATATTTAGAGTTATGTCACACATCACATAAACACCAAAATATATAATATTATAAAGGTGATAGCGTTCACTACTGTTTGGTAATAAATAACCCATCGTGGACGCATTTCTTGCTTAATGACTGTTGTTGTTTTTTGAGTGTAATTAATAATCTACCAAATTAATTATAATGAATGTAGCTATATACTTAATAGAAATTATATTTATTTACTTTTTTATTGAGTGTAGCTCCTATATTCTGATATTGTCTTTATCAAATAAAATATACCTAAGTATATTTAGATACTAATAAATTTATCGTTAAGGCTTCATAGATATTCCTGTGCTAAAAGATCGATATCCAACAAATCTGAATAATTGTGATTATCATACGCTTATATTAGATATTTTTCATCCAAATACGTTTACAGGCCTAAGTCCAAAACTATCCAAAAGCTAAGCTTTATTATTAGGGTTCTATATATACACACCACAAGCGAATGAGAAGCGTAGACTATCTACGTTTGCTTATCATCATTCGTAATATATATCAGTATTGTACATGATATAAGTACATATACAATGACACAATTATTTCACTGATGTAATTTTTATTTTTATATAATGTGATTTTTGTATACAAACCAATCCAATAGTCACGAAAATCGCTAGTACAAATACATATTATAAAATTGAGAAACAGGAATATACCTAATTTCATATAAATTTCAACTAATAAATAACGTTTCTGACATAGAGAGTGTGTATGTATAGATACCTAATGTGTTATAAACACAAGTCGGTATCAAGAAATAATAATTATTTAGTAGCATATATAATAATTATTATCATAATATATTAGAATGTATAGGTAGGTACTAATGTGTTTTTAAATAAATGTTTGTACGAACCTGTGTAATTACCATTTTTAAATTCGCACTTGTTAACATATAAGAATCTAATAAATATTTAGTGTAGTATTCAACAATAAAGTATTGACCGAGTTGAAAGCGGAACTCTCTTTCTTTTAATATAGAAAAAGTACCGATCTCAGAATAGTCAATACTTTTTTGGTAGATTATATGGTTATATTAGCGATAAATATTATTTACCCTATATTGGGATGTTGAAAACTTCATCTTTCGTATATGTAATACATCTATTATATTAAAATGAACCATAGAAAATACATGCTGTTTACATTATAGGCAAGAATTGTTAATTAAAAATCCAGAACATAAATTCATCTAACATTTTAGAGAGATTCTTGAAAATGTAGAGCGAGTTCGGTGTAGGAATATGATGTGATAGCATTCTTTTTCATTCCTAGGATGTCAACTTCATAACAGCCAATTATAAATAATCCTAATTTATAATACTGGCCATTAGTAGCCTGAAATAAATAAATAATTAAAATAAATCCATAACACGGATACTCCGCAATAAAATGAAAACTTAAAAAAAAATCTATTCTATATTAATTTCAATATTAATTCAATTCGAGACCTGCCCCGTTATGCACGAGTATTTTTATTTATTTACACAAAATATTAAGGAATTATATAACTATACTCTTCTCTCAGAAATCTGTTGATGAAAACCATTTGAAGTATCCTATACAATTGGTTCAATAGTTTTGAGATTATCTGGAACATACAAATCGAGGCTACGATGGGATTTGTTTTTCAATATGTGTAGAAGATATCTTGAATATTGATAACTGCCTGATAAATTACTTATCTTTTAAATGATCTACTGGTCTACTAACTGCTCTACTTGTTTGTGTATTTTCTGATGTCGTCACAAAACTAACTTTAGTCTATGTTTCTACCAAAAAAATCTAAATAGTCTAGTATTTTCGCTTTAAAAACGATAAAACGTTTAAAAGCTTAGAACAAAACAAGAAATTAACCTGAATTCCTATACTATTATTAAGAAAAATTAACAATAAACATGTCTCTGCCAATGCTCACAGTCAATTGTTTAATTTAAAGACGTATGAATGTATTAAATAACGACTAAAATAAAATGTTTATATTTTATGATATAATTAAAATTATTATTTGCTGTACCTATATACAGAGATTCATAGGATTTGTGCAAACGATAAGTTTTTATTGCATTGATTTAATTTGATCTGACCAGCCCTATATAGTATTTTATTTATTAGATAAATTAAACTAAATAATGTATTGTTTATTGTGTATATTATTAAATACTATCAGTATCTTTCCATAAAATATCATTATACACATACTTAAAATTAATAGAATGTTATAATACACCAGTTTTTGGCATAATGTACCTAGTTACATAAACATTTATAACATAAGTAGGAACCAATTTCTTATTCTCTATGTCCTGTGTTGTGCAACCAAATTTATAGATGCAAACTGTTACAGATTATTAGCAACGTCATGTCATTAAAAGTATGTTTCCATTTTAATGTGTTTTCTTCACTATTTCACTTACCGGTATTTTACCTGTCCCAGATAAAATACTGGTGAGATGTTACCTTATTTAGCTATCTATACTAATATTACAAAGAGACAAATGTTAATGAAACGTTTTCACACCATTTGAAGAACACCTTAACCGTGTCTCAAAGAGAATACCTAATAATACATTACATTTCGTAATCTAATTCAACTAGGGATTATTAGAAGTGACTGGAGATGGCAATGAACACTATTATTAGGTTCAACTATTTCAAAGAATACATTTTTGAGATTTTCTTGTTTTAGGTATAATGTCATACATCAGATGCTACGTTTGGTTTGTTTTGTCAAATTATTACCACTTAATTATATTGCATACAAATTATATATGTTAATATTTCAATAATTAATAACAACCATAACTAAAGATAACTGTCAGCTTCGTATAAACAGATCATTGCATCAAGAAAAGCCAATATTATTATTTTATTAAATGTACATATTAGAGAACACCAAATTAAAAGAAAACAACATATGTATACCATATAGTTCTCTTTTAATTTGGGCATGTCAGTTAATTACATAATTTAATTTCAATGCCGAGATTTATATGGAACTTTTCCTAGAAACATATTATTGACCACTTTGACATCTGACACATTTTGAAACTGCCTATACTTAGATACCGACTCAAACTTTGTGCAGTCATAATATTTATTATTTTATGCTTACAACTATAGTCTTAAACACAAATATCATAAATTATAAATCGAGGTAGTCTTTATTAAAGTACTTTGTCGTTTGTTGTAAAATTGGTTAATAAATGATTAACCAATTATTATTAGCCTACAGTCAAGGTAATGAGGACGAGGATGCATCATGAGGAGCATCCTTAACCCAGACGAGACTCACAAAACAATCAGGATCGGCAAATCTTATCGGCGATTATTATTGCATGGCTGCCTATATTAAACCAGGATTACAACTATTAGCATTTGTGAGACCATAAACATACGTAGTCTGGTCGCCGAACAGTACACAAGACTTCTAAACTAATCTAAACTATATTTATTGTTTGATGATACTTCATTTAGAGGCGAAACACGTGACGCAATAATTTGATCACTAGTGGGGAAGGTCGTAATTGTAACGCTTCTGGTAGCGGTCAAGTTTCCGCACTGAATGTAGTCTTACACATGATAATAGTACCGGAATTAAAGAAAATAATACACATCCATTAATTAATTAAATAGACTTCCGCAAAATAATACTTAATTCGATATAATTAAATCAGGATAAATGATTTCAATGAAGTTGTGGGGTGGGATGACACCGAAGTATTACAAGAATAGCTCGACAATAGCAACTCATGTGGCGGACCACGCGTCACGAGACGACAAAATCACTACCAACATTAAGATGTTGGTAGTGATTTTCATGTATACAGGCAACGGTTACACCTATTAACAATTTTTTAGTGGGACGTATATGTAATATAACAAAATATTTTATGAACAAGACAATACGTATTGTAACTTGATACTATAGTAACGATCAGTAGTAATATAAAATACTATTTGTATATATATCTAAGTAATTAACTGTGTATAGTTAAAGTTCAAACACAATGTTACTATTTTATTGACGTTTGAAAAAAGAATAAATTAGGAAATATAGTTATTAATTATTTCTATTAACTAACTCTTGGTACTATTTCTTATATCGTCTTTGACGCTATCAGACAATTCATTAACAGATAATAAATCAGCTGATGAATGTGGGAATGGGGAATAGTGATCCCAATGCGTAATCTCGCTGTACAAAGCATCGCCGGGACATTCTGTTTGGCGTACTTGTCTGTGGCCAAGTAATTTGTAATCTGTCTTTATATAACCTTGTTCTACACCAGCAGCTATAAGAGATTTCACTGTTTTCAACTGTTCTGCAGGCGGTGTGGAATCTGGAGAAGATAGAATTAGGTATATAAATTTATTGGCTATATCTCACTGCGTTGTCCATGTAAATTAGAGTAAAAATATGCCATATACTAATCTAAAATAGGTTATATTTGTGTACGAAACTGATTATAAAGTTGCTGTCCCGACGGATTCATCCGCGTGAAATTTATATCCTATGTGTTATTCTGAAGTATATACATTTATATATATATACATTTAAACCTAATATTCGTTGTTTCCCGCAATTTCGCCTACATTTTTTAACGTAAAAATAGTATATTAATGTATGGAAGTATATATGTAAATGTGTACTTACTTCTCCAATCTCCTATAACACAGATGCCAATGCTGACTGAATTAAAATGTAGAGCATGTGCTCCAAGTGTCCTCCAGCCGCGGCCTTCGTACGCTACGCCGTTGCTGCCCACACCGAAACTGCAAAATTTAATAGTCTCAATAAATAACTAGTAATCAAAAATAAATTTATATTTATAGTAATTTTGTATGACTTCTCCCTCAATTCATCAAGTTCGATTGTGTTTTCTAGTACGGGATCTCTATTAGTAAATTTGAATTTTCTGCAAACCTCTCATTTTTTTCAAATTAACATTATTAATAAATAATAGTCAATAGACCTATTATTATAGACAAACTCTTTTGGGCCAAAGATATTTATTTATTTATTTATTTATTTAGGAAGATTAACGGTGTAATTTTACATGTTACTTGTCATATAGAATTGTCCTATGCCAATTAATAATCTTCGCCAATAGTATAAAAGACTTCAAACTCCGCTTTTATCAGAGGTAGAAAAGAGTGGGTACCTGAGTCTCATCTATTTCAACTGCAAACAACAGCTTTGTAAGCTGTATATCGATTGCAGGTTTTACACGAAAAAGGCATGGCTTCTTAGTCCTACGGCATGGAAGAGTACCTATGTATCATCCCGAGTGTCATACAATAATATAATGTTCTTGGCGCTGTTCGTCATATATATAGGCGGCGGTAGCCACTTATGAATGTACCGTCAGCTTATTTGCCATTTAAATAAAAAAAAAAACGGGAGATTTCACGTCCACACAATACATTAGCACGCGGCGAAACTTCTAGCATAACGCACTCCTTAGCCCGCTGAAAAGATTGGATATTTCTCATGATGGTGACTATATGAGAAATATTACTATCACAACTATTATGTCCATTCATAATAGTTGTGGTCCAAACATGACTCGATTCAGTAAATTATCATTTACTCACTATAATAATTATCTTACGTAACTGTTTTGTAAACAGTTATATATAAGTAGGTACATTGTAGTTTTGATTTGAAGATATTGATGCGACCTTTGACATGAGACATATCATTCACAAAATTCCAAGAGTATACATACATCCTATTGCAAATATAACTACAAATAATGTTTTAGGTGTTTATTACTTATAAGAAAAATTGCAACTAAATATATAATATTTGACTTATCTGTTTTTCACGTTACTTAGCGACAATTCGTCACACATCCATACGTACACTATGTACTATAATTTGAGAGATTTAACCGTGACAGGCTTCCACGATATAATACAATTATTATATTATTTGAACCCAGGAAGAGTCTGATATATATAGAGCTGAAAGAAACATTTCAGGGCTTTACATTTCAATACGAACACAGTGGCACATGATATGTTTGTCACGTGTATTTAATATCTATCATACGAGTATACGATACTAGTTAAACCCGCTTAACTTCATCTGCGTCACATAAGAAACCCTGTTTATGCAATATCTTTTTATGTTACGTTTCTTTATATCGTTATGTTATATAGCCTATTGCTAGCTAAATAATCTGTCCAATACTAATTTTCATTAGGCGTCAGTTAATATGTTAAATAAATTATAAATTCCGTACCATTTGTTTTTAAGTCTTGGAGGTATATTCCTATTGATAATTTCTTTATGTTATTAATTTAATATAATGCCTTACCTCTTTTCCATGTGTCAAAAAGTGAGTGTCAGTAATATCAGTAAAATCTAATGATGAAATAATTCTAAGTTTTTAATTTACCATCACGAACAAAGCAAATCTCATGTAAACATCACACAACGACTAAGGAGATTTCATTATTAATTATTAAATTAAATGCACTTACTGATAACCTACGTCCCACCACCGCCTGTCGTCCATATGGTAGTCTTGCATGCTTTTCATAGCTTTGCAACACTCATCGTCAGTGTAGCATGCACCTGGTGTATAGGAGTGATGGATGACCACATAAGGGACTGGTGTTACTAGAGATGTTAACTGTTTTGGAGTACGGGCGCGCCATTGTGATCGCGGCACGAAAGGAAAGTCGTAAGTGTTAACTTCATTTTCCGATGATTCGTTACCTGAAATATATACACTTCATTAACCTATTATATCGGTATACGGATATAAATATGTAAAATCAACCTGAACGAAAATGAATAAGATCATGAGTGTCATATTATGACAAGATGTCCTTTGCGCGCTTATCATCAGGTAAACAGTCCATTCGTTTATCGTTGCAGTTATAATAAAAAACAATATAGAATATTTTAGATATTTTTAATATATGCACTAATATACTGTTCATCACATTTCGATAAAATAAAAAAGCAGGTATTTGTAGGAATCTTATAGTACAAATAACTTATAGTAGATGGCGCGCAAATCATACCGGGAAATGTATTTGAGAGAACATTTCTATAATTCTATAATATACTCCGGCATTATACTAGTAATTCGCTTGATACCAGTTACTCCAATATGTATATTATACTATAATTATCACTGCACTGACTAAAACAAACCTTTTATTAAGACTACATAACTAAATATTATAAGATTATAATATAATATACTAGAACTTACTTGGTACTGAGGCTGGTAGAGTTACTGCTGATTCTATAACACCGAACACCGTCATGGCAAATATTAATATCATTTTTCATAAACAGCACAAATACTTCTTGTTATCCAACCACGTATTTCCAAACTGAAACAATATAGCTAGGGTATTACTTGATAATAGTCCAATTACACGAGTGACCGACTGTTGTAGGCTGACTGCAAACTGACAATTTACGTTTCTTTTGAGATTTTATTCTTAATGAAATGTCGCGTATAATTAATTAGTAGTTATAATTTTTTTTTAGTAGTAGTAGTTAGTAATAAGTAAAAAGTAATAAAATTACAAGAGATCAAAAACTAAGTAAGCCTAAAGTATTATATAAAGATTTGCAGAAATCCGTACCAGTTTGATGAAGATATCAACATACTATGAACTAATAAATAAATGAAGTTAAAAAATATCTTACATCGTAATATGAAATAACAAAAAGACACTTGTGAACTATAGATACATATGTCCCACTAAAATCCACTCATATCTACTAGTTTAATAAATTCTAAAACTAAGTAAATATTATGTTTAATTAGAGACCATTAGCGGTTATTTACCTCAGATATTCTGATATCATCTTTGTTGCCATGTAACATGAGTAATAATCGTATTTTATACTTAAAAAATATAGTCAAATAAAAACATAACATAATTCAATAAAAAATGAATAAAAAGACTAAAGCTACGATAATCATTATCTATTGTATTGAAATTAGAACAAACAAAATTAGACACAAATATCGGGTTATGGAATAAATTCTATTAATTTCTATAGAAATATATTGAAATAGACAGTCTTATGGTCTCATTCTTAGGAGTTATTTTATTACTTGCAACTGTTAAATGGTTCATACATAATAGCAAGTGACAATTATTACAACTATGTATGTTTCAGATGTGATTACATATGCATATTCTAGGATTTGCCTACGTGGTGCTGTTCAATTCTATAGGCGACCATTATAAGTTACATCAGATTGCTATAATGAATTTTTAAAAAAATCGTTTATGTGTGTATTACCCTAAAAAGATATAGATATCACGTTTTAATAAGTTGTTATCTTCTATTTTGATAAAATGATCGAAACAATGACTAAACATTTTGACGTTTTCGACATAATGTCTCTATTAGAATAAGTATGACCCATTTTGATTATTAAATGTTAGTCTGTACTCAATCCTTACTAATCAAAACTATATATACTGAGTTTTTATGTAATCTCTTGGTGCTTTAACAAATCAACAAGAAAATTTACATAGCGAGGTAAATTAATTGTTATGTCAATGAAAACTATAACTATAATATATCACGGTTCACGGTATCACGCAGAGGAAGTGTAAAGTTGGTATTTATGTTAATTGCCTCTCTCTTATCTTACGACTAATTATTAGGTATGTCAGTAATAGAAAAAGAAATCGTAATAGAAGATTCAGTCAAATAGAATAAGCAAGAAATTTGGTGCTGCTCGTTTGAACAAAATAGTGTATTAGTTTTACTTGTATTATAATCCAAAATACGATCTAATCGCACCTAATGAATTCATTGATGTGTACAGATAAAGCAAAAATCAATTATACTTTATATTATCTTGAAACTAAAATAATTACAAATCTAATCTACTACATTGAAATCAAGATTTGAAAAATTATGATTATGACCTTACATAACAAATAATACGAGTAATGTGTGAATATAATGGTACAGAATGGTTTATCATATTATTATTATATTTGACTGTAACAAAGAGTTTTATGGAACAAATTCATTATTTTAAGGCAAATATTTGTGTTATATTCTAAGGCAAGGAGTCAAATACAAAATCTAACGAGTAGAGAAATACGTACCTATACAAATTATTATAATTGTAATTGTTATTTAAATACCCAATTTTCCAAATACCCACTCGTAGGTACGGGTACACTCCCTACGAAAATTTTTTATATACAAATTCACTAACAGTTGAAGATTTACATTAAAATTGGAGTTAAATCTTTAAAAAAATTCATTAACTGTGTAGGGACATTTATTCAAAAACTATTTTAATATATCTAGAAAATTATTTTGATAATTATTTATTTAGTTGCCGTTGAAACGAAAGAAGAAGAAGAAGAATGTGTCTAGTAGTTAATAATAAGTTTGGAATGCAAATAAGTAAATAAAGTGCTCCTTGCTTATCGGGGATGAAATGTAGAAGTAATAATGAATGATCTTTCAGTTCAGTCAATATTCTTATATTATTATAAATGCGAAAATAACTATGTATTACAATTGTACCTTTTTCCTACCTAAACCAAGCAGGGAACCAATTTGAATTAATTTTAATATAGATTAGATCTTGGCGAAGAAAAATAAAAACTATGAAGAAAATAAAACTTGAAAGTGATGTAATATACCTAGATTAAATATATATGGTAGCAATATGTAGTACATATCGAATATGAAATATTGGGCATTTGTCTTATGGATGATAATGGAACGGCACATCCGCCTTACGGTTTACGCTGACTGGGCACCAGTGGTGGTTGATGAGATGAGCATGAGGTCAGGTCAGTTAGCCCATCGTGGCAAATTCGACTAAAACGCACAGGTAAATTCACATGATGGTTTCCAGAGGAAATCGCATGGAGATGAACCTGACATGGTATATTACTAGCAATGGGATTATTAAGCCATATTACTAATAATCCCCTTCCCCTAATATCGGACATTCATTAATTAGTATTACATTTCAATATATAGTATTACTTTTATAATTTAAAGTTTTAGATAATGGACATGAAACTGGTCTTGTTCCGCCGTGGCAACAGCCGCATGGCAAGCTAGTGGCGAGGTTCTTTTTTTTACATCTCGTTATATAACTTGTTTCCTTTGTACTTACCCGGATTTTACATACCTTTCGAATTAGGTATCTAGTATTTGAATTACAGGCTGAATCATTATACCTATAGGTATACTACAATGGTGGTGATAAATATATTTTTAACAGAGCAGTCCTTCATAAATGAGTCAAACTGTTGTCTATACTCGTACATGTATACCTAATAGATTATTTAGTAGTATGCATCGGCCATTTAATTTTTCAGTCTCATTTATTATTGAAAAAAAGATGTACTTTATTAGTCTGTATGGAAATACTTCTTTCTACAAAGTTACACAGAATAGCAGAGAGTGTGAATTCACTGTCCCATCTGAGTTAGACTGTTTTGTCTCATTCATTACTTTTAAATTTTATTATTATATATAAGCAGCAATTGTGTTATTTTTAATTTGAGACAAATAAAGATGATTATTATTATTACATGGGTTTTGTTTTTAGTTTAGATATGCACCTCTATCTCCTAATTCGCCAAGCTGGTTGCTTAATGCGTGGTGTATCGGTTCAAGTGTGATATGGTAGAGAAATTACAGGATACAGAAGCATTTCACCTTATTCCTTCAGAGCATGAGGGATGTTACAGGCGCGTGAAGTCCGTTCTACTTTTCACGTATACCGCCAGCGGAAGGTTACCACTTCCCATTCGGGACAGCCAGCTGATTTTATTAATAATTAATTACATGGATACAATAGTTATTACTTTACATTAATTATTTACATTATTGGATTGGTATTTTATTAATAGTAGTTTCCAAACTAGGTTCAGACCTGTATCTCAGGGGCTAGGAGTCATTGCAGTTATAAAAATATAAGCAATGTTTTTTTCTTAAATCTCAATGACAAATTGCTCATGTGATATTCACCTCTTTCAATAGAGAAAGATAATAAAACTATTTTGTTTAATATTTTTTGGAATTGCTTTCGAACAGTTTTATGCCGCAATAGTAATACAATCAGTATTTTTGTTTATTGCAGACAAAATTGAAACTAAGTAAAGTTATTTCGTGTACATAGGTTTTCAATAATTTTCCTATGACAAAAGGTCTCAAAATTTAATGAGAATATGTAGTGTATAGTAGGTGCATATAGTTTCTACCTTCGTTACTACAAACAGGACAATTATTGTTACTATTATACCCTAACTAGGAAATAAAATTACGTATCTTGGTCATATTCTTATTTTTTTAATGGAATTCTGATAAAGTCTTTAAAAGAATTGTAATAAGAATCAAGATCATATCTACTACACTAATCTTATAATAAATCATGATGACTGCTGTCTGTATAATAAAATATAATATTTATTTCGTTTTTTTGGCATTAAACCATGTAGGTGGGTTTCACGAATGTATTGTGTTTTATGCAAACCTAATAGAGTTCGCTCTCTATTGACTTATGGATAATATCATATATTGATAACTTTGATATTAGGTAAAAATATTTACTTTCTTTGATTGTTTGCTTTAAAGCCTGATAAATAAATTATCTATGTATATAAATAACAAAACAATTTATTTATTTATTTTCATACGTAACACAAATATTATTCTGTTGCCCCTCCTAATCTTATTGCAGTCATTTTATCAGACAACTGTTTGACTTGTTTATATGTTTTATTTAATCCTTAAATTCTGTATTTTTAAATGTACCTAATCATTATAATAATGGCATAGTTACTTATATGTATGTTAAAACATGGTGCTTAAACTGATTTACTTAACATTAGCATAATATTTTTATTCTTTGATATCTTAATAAAATAAACAACACCTTTATACGCTAAATGTATTAAAGAAATTGTTGTTATATAATAAATTTATATTTTATCTAAAAAGTATAAGAAGTAGAGATCAAAAATTTTTTACTATACCTTATCCTAAGCAAAAACGTCAGCATTAGATAAAAAAATGATATTTAACACGGTATACAACAACAACTCACCACAGGATCGGATAAATTATTAATTTTAATATCCCAACACTGTTATTTTAATACGTGAAATATTTTCTTCAATATTGAAGACACTTCTTGACTGGGTCGTGGTGTAAGTACGCGACAACGGTGTACTATGTTACGTTTTTACGTCGCTATACCGTTATATAGCCATTCTACCAGCTAAGGGGATTCACCGATGGTCAATGAATTAGCAATTGCAAGAGAAAATAAAAAGGCTACCTGTGTTTATAAATTGAGTAAAATATTTTGCCGAAAATACTACATAATGCTTTTAAAAACATATATGTAGATGAGTAAGTAACAAAATGAAAAGGAATCATAAGAATATTTTACGATAGATTTTAAAAAGAAGCATCTTAAATGGACACATGAAAAACAATTCAAATCAGAAAGCATTCCATTATTATACTCAGCCCATTTTTTACTAATTCTACATGTTTTATATGCAGTCAACGAGTGAACTACGGTTTTTATAATATACTTAGTTTATTCAAGAAACAAGTCTATCAATAATTTCATTTGTAAACGAACTTAGATACGACTAATTTAACTTGTTACTTTCTTTGTCGTTAATCTGGCAAAGATTTTCTTTATATTTTATTGTACATAGATACAATAATTAAACGTAAATATTATCACAAAAATATTATCAAATTGATGTGACAATACCAGTTGTCTAAATGTTGACAGTGAATTACAACTTCTCACGATGTGCCATTATTTAAACAATGAAGATGTCTTCAATTATAGTAAATTTTAGTAAATACTCTGTAAATACCGCGTCACTATACAGTTTACCAATATTAATCAAATAGTGTGATGTAATAGATACCTATATATGTAGTTAAGCATACATAATATTCATAATATTGCATCAGATCCTTCAGAACAAATCTGTAGAAGTCGTGAGTTCACTTTTTGTTCGGTAGTTATTGTGACCTAGTGCATCTAGGGTACTCCCAGCATAATAACATACTCTTGTCAATATAACTAGAATATTTTTTTTAAAGTTATATAAGCATAATATTTAATAGCGTTATATTTTAGAAATACGAAATAATAAGGTATAACACACATTTTACTAATTTCTTCTTCCATTACTACATATATAACACAGGACTAAATTTTAGAGCTCAGGATTCTTAGAAATACTTATTTTATTTTCGAGTCTTAAAAAAGTAAAATCATACCTAAAGCAGAATATATATATCTATAATATTGCCCTTTTTATTTTATATTTATTTTAATTACTATTTTCACGTACCCTCAAATGGGTTAAAGCTGAAAATCAGTGTTTTGTTCCTTGAACAATGTACCACGCTGAGCTTCGACCTTTTTGTATTGCTATAGATCATATATAATAACACAATTTTATAAATCTTATGTCGTATTATATATTGTCTATTCTTATGAACATGTTGTGTGTGATTAGTAACAAAGAAATAAACGATATATCTATCTATCTATCTATATCCCACTTTTCTCTTAAGTTGCTCAAGAGAAAAATCCGATATAACTACAGTTGGTAAATACACGAGTATGTAAACAATACAGGAAAAATAGAGCAGTGTTTATAACCAGCATATTTTTTACGAAATTATCTAAAGCCTTTCGCAAGCAAACAAAAACATTTAGTTCACATCAGGCAAAATTAATTTATAGTTTCTGATGCGATTTACACCTAACTAAAATTATTCATACTATTTATCTAAATAGCATGAATCCACATATCAACAACTAATACAAATATTTCTAGAAACCTTTATAATTTCTGGATAAATAATACAATATAATATATGTATGTGTGAATAGATGTAATTGTACGGGGTATTAAAATTTATAATTAAAATCGTTTGATATGTAAGATTTATATGCTCAAATTTCACATAATATATTATTTTATAACGTCTTTTTCTTTTTTTTTTCTCACGACAATTCACACAGCTCCATCTAGAACCAAGTTAGGATAGTGTTATGGGTACTAGATAACTGATATATATATATATATATATATATATATATATATATATATTTGTGAATAAATAAATATCATATATAAAAATCACCGAAACTGATACAAACAATGATATTCATGAATGCAAATGTTTGTGCTGTGCGAAGAATCGAACCTGCAACCATTGGAAGTAAGGTGATATACTAAACCGCTAAACCACCGAGGCCATAAATATTATTGTATGCCGTCGATTCTTTAAAACGTTAATTTATTTCATCTCTTACTTACTGGATTCATATATTTACCAATGAATAAGGAAAGAAACCATGCTAATTCCCATGACATAATGGTTTAATATATTGCACGTCAATTGATGGAAAGTAGTAACCGTGGCCTATATACATAATCAAGACCATGGCCACTGCTGGCATTCAACAAGTGGCAAACGATTAGGTCTTTATATTCACATACACGCATGAAAAATGCGAAACAGCAAATAGATTCTAAAGTTTTGTTGCTTAAAAAGTAAAAAATATATTCACGTAACTGTTTTACATAGCATACTAGTAAATAAGAATAAATAAAATGTAAATAATGGAAAGTATGTGTTGGAATCGATACAAATAATGAAATCTTGGTTTGCGTTTTGTGTGTGTGTTATGAAGTAAACATATTTTCTGTTATACATATATTTTTTTGTTAATAGATTGTATTATGAGAGAAACAAGCTAGTCGGTATAAAGATGTAAAATTTTATTCTCTCGTAAACAACCGTAACTAATTAACAATTACTTTTTTTCTGTGTAATGTTGGTATAACTATGACTGATAGAGACATTTTGTCTAAAAAAGCACACGAAGTCCCGAGTAGCAGTATTGTATATATATTGAATTGAAGAAGCCTTGTATGTACATATAGTCCTACGTCTTTTAATCAACTTGCATATCACTGTGCAGTTATGTCGAATAGAAATGTCTCTACTAATAATCTCTATCTCTCCTAGTCAGGAGGAGATGATCGATTGTATTGTACCCCATTGTTAGCCATGTATCATATCATATACACCAGGGCCTTTGAAAACTACGGTTGTAAATTCTTGGTGAATTCCCCACGACGTGTTATCTGTCCTGACTTTATGCTTACCTTATAAACCTCCACTGATACCCCGCCAGCATATACCATTAGCGCAGGAGAAAGCGACCATTCCGTTTATATATATATATATATATATATATATATATATATATATATATATATATATATGGTAAAAAAATATAAGCGCCTTATTGGTTTAATACTTATATGATATACCTAATGCTTTACTACGAATATATTATATTATTGATAGTACCTATGTACTGTTAAAACAGTACGGCATAGATATATATAATATGAATAACAAAAAAGATATTTAGTATAATATTATATAATGTAAGAAACATTTAAATATCTACAATTATTATATAATAACATACGTTAAACGTACAAAAATAAATTGATTATAGGTATCAAGATTTGAATAAAATATTTTAATAGAATTACTTAATACCTAATACAATATAACTTAAATAATAATAAGTAAATATTTTTTGTGAGTAACTAATCCATTTAAAAATAAGTATCATTATACTAATAATCTCCACTTTACTAACAATCTTTTTCACAGTAATAGCGTACCGCCTTAGAACGTAATCGATTCGATTTTTTATATACTAAAAAATATTACATTTAAATTAAACAACCTAGTTTCAAATTGGCGATCTTTATGAGTACACTTTATAATATATTAAAGTAATATCTTAATATTTATATACTTTATACTTATTACTAAAATCTCACTTTTAAAATTGTAGTTCTTGTATTATATGTATATTATATTTCATGTATTTCATGGTAATATAGGTAATACAAAAAATATGTTATTAGATAACTTGTTTAGGATATCAGCTTATACATAATCTTCACTTTTTGGAAGCTTATTAAGATTTTTTTATTAATCTGGGTAGGTACTACTCTCTGTTGCGTACGCGCCCACTATGTACAGACGCATACTGCCTAATAAAAATATGTAATCTATCAATCTGGTCTTTCTTTATCGGAATCAATCTTTATCGGAGTCACCAGCGACCTACAGGATTAATGTCGCTTATTTATATTTAATCTGTTACTTCTAACTTAAGGTATATTTGTATGGAAATAACATTTAATCTCATAAATCTAGATTATTCGAATTGTGGCACGAAATGATCCCACGTTGAAATATGGTTAAAGAGTGCAGTTCCTGGACATTCTGTGGGATTAGCTTGTCTGTGTCCTATAAGTTTGTAATTGGGGTCGATGTAGCCACGCTTTACGCCCTCCTGGATGAGCGCTTTTGTTGTTTCCAATTGTATTACAGGTGGTAGTTCCTCTGGAACAGCGAATACAAATTAGTATTTAAAAATGTCTTTGTTGGCATGAGGTCGAGATATCTTTAACTGTTTATTTCATGGGTAATACGTTTGTTAGCCATATGCGAGGGTGTGCATAAAAAAGGCATATAACGTAAAAATATATTACGTCTTATTAATAGATGATTGTTACTCTTTCACACAAAAACTACTGAATGGATTTTGAGGAAACTTTATAGTAATATAGCTTATACATCAGAATATTATTTAAACAATATGATATATGTTAAGTAAATGTGATGCAGACGAAGTTGCGCGGGCCATTAGTAAACCATGAAGTGAAATGTGCTATAATTTTAATGTAACTGAGATGCACCGAAATTTTAGTCTTATAATTTCAAAATGAGTTCCATTGCTTCTTCACAGTGCATATATTGCACGAACCTTACGCCGTTGTATAAAATTTTGACCGTATTTGTTGACTAACATAAAACTCCATATATTGGTTGTATTTAATTTTATATATTATTACTTACCTCTCCAATCACCGATCAAGCATATTCCAATGCTTACGCTGTTGGCTTTCCCTGCGTGTATCCCGATCACCTCCCACCCTCGACCTTCATACGCTCCGCCTTCACTGCCCACGCAGAAACTAACACAGAAATACAAATATATGTAAGAAATAATTAATAATTTAAAATGAGACTAATTTACTTTAAAATTATAAAAATTTTACAGGCAAATTGTATTAATTTTAAAATGATTAAAATGCATATGAATATTTGAATCTCATTGCATAGATGAAATCACAAACGACACAGATACAATCCTTACTGGTTTAGTCGTAAATGGAGTATATGTACATCAAGCTTAACAATGGCACTTTTACTAAAGTAGAAAATCTTAATCTTAATAATATTATAAACGCAAAAGTTTGTGTGAATGTTTATTACTCTTTCACGCAAAAACTATTGAACGGATTTTGACGAAACTCTATATTACTTAATATGTATAGTTTATGCAACAGAATAACATATAGGCGTCGAAATCTAACCGCGCGTGAAACCACAGACACTGTTAGTTGAAAATCTAATATAATCTAAACTACTACAGTACCATCATGTTTGTTTGTCAACGTCGTAGTATAGAAAAAATCAGAAGTGTAGTGTCTAATATATCTCAATGTGTGTCAATATATCTCGTAATAATCACAAGCACCTACATAAATATACTACAATATGTGAGTATACCTGGCTTTCAACAGAATTATTTCACCCTGTATGTAATATATTAATTTATATTTAGTGTTAATATAAATACACAAAGGTAATCTAATGACAATTTATTTTTTAATCAGCTCTAAATTATTTATAAGCATTTAGTTTTTTAATTCAAGGGTACCGGATGTTACCGAAATCGCAACACTTTTTACTACTTATGTTGTTTTTATATATGTATTTATAATATAAAAATAGAATCACCTCGGTTGTTCCCCGACCACCATTAGTGTTAGTATTTATATGGGTATAATATACCAAGCAGATTTTATCTTGCATTATGCTGTTAAAATAATTACCACGAGTATTTCTTATAAACGTGGTACAAATTAATGTTATCGTTTCTGAAGCTTGTTGTCAAAAACAAGGCTTAGATTACAATATGAGTACAAAATATAAAAATATTTATACACATATGCTATATTTTATATTGAAATTTAACGTGGGTGAAACCGCAAGCACAGCTCGTATAATATAAAATAAAATTAAACACACAATAATAATCTAAATAAGATTTATTTACTAAACGTTATTGTATCATACTGGTATATTATATTGACTCAATTCTAGAACGTATATTAAAATTATTAAGATATTTTTATACCTCAATAATTTCTTGATTACGACTATCCTTCATTGTTTCTGTTACATCTTGAATATTATTGCGTGTGATGATATTTACTTGCATTGAGAAGTTACATTATATTATTGTCGTTTATTTAGTTATTTCTTACTGCCTGCCGGTATATTTATAAAAAAGGGTTATTTATAAATAAACGTGCTCACTTTTATATAATAATAATGCATATATGAATTAAAGGTACAAATTTATATAATGTAGGTATAATAGCCAGTAATTTTCCAGCTCTAAACTTTTCCATTTCCATGCATAGTTACTCTTATAAATCGTCACAGTTATTATAATACGTAATCTAAATAGGTCTATTTTTTACTCTTTTATTATTAACTAGTGGCTCGCTTCGGTTTTGAACGGGTGCATTACAAATTTTTGTATTTCTCAGCTTTTTGTACCATAATACGCATGTATTACACATATATATAAACCTTCCTCTTGAATCACTATCTATTGTTGAAATATGTATTAAAATCTATATAGTTGAGTAATTTAAAAGATTTAAGCGTGACATGTAGTGACAGCGGTAGGGAGTTTTTTATACTATGTAAAAATAAAATTACGTGAGGTATTTTCCGCATTTCCACACTTCTATATTTAGGTAAATCCTGTTCCAATGAGAATTTTAGTGTCGATATCATAAAAGGTTTCATCTACATGCAGCGGATTTTTCGATATGTTACTTGATAAACTGATACACATAAACATGTTTTAATCTAATTTAGGAGTAGTTTTTTATGTAGGTATCTGTATATATTATATACGGAACGGGTATCTATAAATATTACATACGGAAGTAATTAAATATTTAATCTCTCGTCAGAAGATGACTTTGATAGACTACTTTACGGAATCTAGTTGATATTTAATCATTCATAAGTATATACGGTCAATCTATATCAATAGATATTTAACTATCACGATGTCTAGCAGTTTATTAGTTGCGGGTTCGATTTCGCACAATGCAAATATTTATATTCATGAGTATCAATGTTTGGATGTTTATAAGAACATTTCTAAGAATGTTAACCAAATAGGTATTATAGGTAAGTGTATTAGTGATATTGGTATCACTGTACATAATCAGCGCGTAGAAACTTTTTATATTACACATTTACACCCGAGAGGTCACTGACAAATAAATAAACTCGTTTTATCTTTATTTACATATTCGTATGTTATTAGGACGTCACATGTTGATATGAACTAAATGAATGACACATCACAAATAGTACGTAGACCTGATACAAGTACCTAGTACTTTAATCGTAGAATCGAGAATGGTAAGTTTGATATCAATTCTCGAACACGTCACGATTGTCACGGGAAATTACCATAAGTCTATGCAACTAATATTTTTAATTAATTGAGCTGATTATACACAATTTAGAAAAGTGTTTTATTAAGTTTCATGCGTAGATGGGGAACGGTTTATTACTAGGTCAATCTACACGCGGTCGCTCTTGAAACGATTAAACCCTAATGAATTCGATACGATCCTAACATCATTCACTGGTGCCCCGCCGTTAAGGCAGGTACCTTCGTCCATACAAAAAAATAGGTTTTACAATTTAACATTTATTCTTCTCATTATTATATTAAAAATAAAGAATTAAAAGAATCTATTCAAAGTAAAATATATTATTTATGTTGCTGATTTAAGTTTTAAATTTATCAGTGTAAATACTGTCAGTTTCCTATAAATCATAGGACTGAATCTAGTTTCGCCTCTATAGGAACAAAATATATTTTATATAAATTCATTTAATAATTATTTTTCAGCATAGCATATTGGTAATTGTAATTGTAACACAGTAATTGTTTGCGTAGATTGTTTTTATTGATTCGAAGGTTTCGTACAAACCCATGTTATTAATATAAAAAATAATTGTGTGGTACCAATTCTGCAATTTTGGTTCAATACATACACTACATCCTCAACTATATTCTACCCACTATAAATAGGGATTATAAATACAATATTAAAGTATTTAGATGTACATAGCTTGGAGCTAGATGGTGCTGTGTAAATTGTCCTGGTTTATTATTATTAGGTACTATCAAAGTAATCATAACAAGTCTAAATCACAATCCATTTGTCGTCAGACATATTAAAAATTTAAATTGCTGTTCACTATACAATAACACCTTATTATTTATATAATCGATAACCTATAATGCGAAGAGTAAATATTATTTGTAATTGTTTACAATAACTAAGTAAATAAATTGTTACGATAATTTGTCATTTTACTGGATCTACCTACTGTGTGTTATCTGAAGATGCAATATTCAATCGTAGAACCATAGACATTGATTACGCTTAAGAGTTAGTATAGACTCTATGCCACTGATCCTACAGCCCAATATTTACTATATTATTCAATACCTATTTTATTATGATTTTATTATATTCATGGTGTCATTTTCGGCATTTAAACGTATACGTAAGTAAACATATACAATGTTAAAATTATGTATTTGGCATATATATATATATTATTTGTAATAATAAAAATGAGTTTCCAATATATTATTATATGCCTAATACAGCTCTAAATAGCTCGACGATATTGTTTTTTTATACTTTGTATATTAGTTAAAATCGTATTCATATCATAATGTAAAACTAAGTACTATAACATGTACATATACCTACGTATAACTGCAAATCAAACCTTGTAGAATACTTGGGAGCTATTTTAATACTCACTTGTATCCAATATCGCCCCATTCCAAAGTTTTATGGTAGTTCTGCATAGATTTCATACTAGCTTTGCACTGTTCTGTGTCGTTGCACGCTGCCGGCAAGTATGTATGATGAATCACAACATATGGTGTAGGTGTTGACAATTGTCTTACATCTGTAGACGGGTCGGCGTTCCAATCCGCTCGAGTGTAGAACGCGAAGGGATATTCATTTTCTGGATATTTAAATTTTCATTATTATGTTAATAAGGAGAAAAAGGGAAAAAGCTGAACTTGTAAAACGTGAGTCTACCGGTATATCTCTTATTAATTCAAAGTAAAATTCAAAATAATATATTTATTTACGATATCTTCTGTAACTTGTGACCGTCTCTATATTTTTATCATTAATCTGACCGTTATGATAGCCACTTCAATTGAGAATTGGCAAGAACTGTTCAGTTATATTACAAAATAAAATGGCTTGTTGTCGATGTTTCTGTCGTCGGAGAGTTAATCAGAAATATATATAAACACACACACAGTTTTTTATGTTTCGAACCACTAAAATTTTTTTATCCTAACTGTTCAGTTTGGTTGTCTATTTCAGCTGAGAAGAAAAGACATTAACTCTGTTGGTACAATAAAAAATAATGTTATTGTTGTTACTGTCACCAGAGAGTTAATCAGAAATATAAATTGATACACAAAGTTTATTTATATTGACCAAATTCGAACTCACAGCCCTTGGTTAAATCGTGGTATTTATTTTACTAGTATAAAATAATATGAAATTATGTAGTTAGTAGGTACATAGATACTTACCATCATTTAAAGAACTTGGAAAACTATTTACGGCATTTATGCTGACTATTATTAATATACAGCAATTAAATATAATTTTTAGAGCACACATAATAAATTATTCACTGCCTCAGATTTGTGTATTAACGGTGACAAGTATATCTCAATTTGAGTTGCATTATTGGACGTTTGCTATATATAGTCGGCTTGCGGTACTTTCCCTGTGTACATACATATAATAATAATGATACAATGTTTTTAATAATTTCGATCTTTCCTTCACACTGCAGTTCCGAAATAGGTATATCAGTAATTTAAGAATATATATTCTTTATAGTACACACACATAGGCAAAAAGCAGTGATATTATACAATAACTATTATGTACAAGTGCGAGCTTGTCCCTAAAAAGGGATTTCTTCCAGCAAACCTAGAAAATGTTATAAAATAGTGTATTGACTAGATTAGCCATATACACGTGTACAAAAGAGGAGAGAGAGATATTAAGATACAGTTGTAATAATAAGAACTATAAAAATCAATTAGACATACATAAATAAATTATGAGACTTAACCCTTAAGTTCATTTTGTATAGTATACCATACATACAACTTTATAAAATTCTATGATCACTATAAATTAATTTTTAACTTCGTTTTATTAACACATAACATTTCTGGACGTTTATTTATACTTCAAAAATAAAAATAGTCGTTTATCTGTCATAATTTTAAATCAGTTGTGAAAAATAACCATCAAGATGCGCCGCTCTGGTTTAACTAAGGTAAGTTTAATTTTATTTTTATGTTTTTACCCCTAAATATGTATGTTTATTATAAAATTCGCATGCCTAAAAGTTTGTTCTTACATATTTTTATATATATGCTGTTGTCGCTATGAGAATTAGCATGTTTTTGTCGTGTTTTTTACTAACGTATATTATACTATACAATGCCGCAGCTGCAGTAATCTACCTTTCGTCGATGCTGTATAGAATAATATACATTGCTAACTTCATGGGATCATAATGTTCTTGGACTTTCCTATAAAATTTAAATTGCAAGTAAATTTAAAATAAAGTTGTAGTGATATTTGACTGCCTCGTTGATATAGTGGTTTTGGAAAGCGATAAACAAAGTTGTGGGTTTGATTCCCACAAAAAATACTACTATTATTATTACGGCATGACTATCTACCTATATAAAGAGACAAATATTATTACATACATTATTTACCTATCTATAATACAATGTAGTATGGCTTTACTATGGTGATGGTTTTTTGCATGTTTCTTTTGCTTTGGTTTTAGACTGCTATGAGTGAAAGAGCTAGGCGTATTTTATCTTTGGTGCCTGAAAAGAATGCAAATTCCGACACAAGTGACGGCGCTAGTAGCGGTGATGAAGCTGGAATGATTGGATCAACAGAGAGTTCTCCAGCGCCATCGATAAATTCCAGTCTCGAAAGGTTAAACCTCCTACAAATCTCTGATGATCAGATAGGAACGCATGTAGATGATATTTATGTCGATACAACCGATGTGCCTCTTACACCTATTCTTACTCAAGTATTTCCTAATCCATCAGAAAGTAATTATGACGCTCTACCCTCAATTTCATCTTTGCCATCTTTGCTTTCGAATCAACCAATTGCATCCACGCCTGTCAGGACACCTTTGACGCGCGCTCAAAAAATGAAGCGCAAATCTCCAGAAGCGCAAAATCTTGAAGCAGAAAAATCTTTTCGTTTGCAAAGAGCTCAATTTCAACACAAGGCTGAAATAGCAGGCCCTACATTTTTGGAACCTGTACCATCTGATTGGCCACCTCTAGATTATTTTTATAGATTTTTTACCGAAGAATTAGTACATACTATTACCATTCAGACAAATTTATATAGCGTACAAAGAACATGAAGATCTATAACAGTTTCAAGGGAAGATATACTAGACATTTTGGCAATAAATGTTATGATGGGTATTGTAGTTTTGCCATCATACAAAGATTATTGGAAAAAGTCCTTTTGTTATGGCAAGGTAGCACATGTAACAGATCAGGTCAGATCAACGATTTTTACATTTTACCAATAATTCTGAAGCCGATACATTAGATAGATATTATAAACTACGTCCTATAATTGATAGCATTCGAACACAGTGTTTATCCGTAGAAGAAGAGAACGCTTTTAGTATTGACGAAATGGTTATACCGTACAAAGGGAAGAAGTCGTCGTCAATATAACCCAAATAAGCCTTGTAAATGGGGCTTCAAGAACTTAGTCAGGGCTGGTGTATCTGGCATCATTTACGACTTCTTGCTCTACGCGGGAGATGACACTTTTAGAGACATTACATTTACTGAAGAAGAAGAGACTGTGGGTGTTGGAAGCAAAATAGTTTTAGCATTATCTAAGGCCAGGCCAGGCAAGGACAATATGTGCACAAAATGTAAGGTTCACCTTTGTTATGTGAAGAATCGTAACTGTTTTTTGGAGTACCACCGCAAGCAGTAGGATGTTCAATTATTACAAATTATTATTAATCAAGAAATATTTTTTTAATAAACATTTTTTCTTCAATCAAGACAGTTATTTTTATTTAAAATCATGTAATAATCAAATAATAATAATCTTTTGGTATATGTTAAAAACTAATAGTAACATTCCAACTCTCCCTAAACATAGCAATGTATAGCATAATATACATTCCTAAAAATGCGATAATCACTACACGTGTGGCAATGTATAGAATAGTATACACCTTGTTTTTCCGAAATTATTATGTCACGATTTTTTTATTTATTTTTTTAATGTTTTATATAACCCAAAGAAGCTAACTATATACATTTTTTTTGCTATTTCTAAAAAAAACAATCTTGCCACGATAAGGGTTAAGTTAAAATATAATTATAATTTATACATATTATAATTCTATTATATTTTAACACATATATATTATAAGTATACTGTATTATTTATTATTATAATAACAGATATTTTGGTTTATAGTATATTCATATACGAAAATATCTACTATACAAACTAATGATGAAAAAGTATGGAAATAATTTTTAATGTGATTCGGTAGGTAAGCAATGGTCGTCTCATCTGGTAGTAGGTGATAACCGTACAGTTTTATTATTAGGATATTGCCACGTGCATTTTTATTATTGCCCTGTAATTTTAACACAAAATCTCATCCTCTAACAGACTTTAACGGAGTTGCTGGTCATATTAGAGTGTAGAAACAATACCATATGTAATGCTATTGTTTCTACACTCTAGGTATGCAATTTCGTCCGTGAGACCGAGGTAAGATAGGTTTCGTCTATTTTCCAGGATAAGTGTTACTAGGCTACCTGTTTGCAAATTTAAAGCTGACTTTAAAGGACGGAAATTAACGACGAATGTAATGAGACGTGAGGAAAAGAGCCGTCTTTGCAAATATTTTACTGGCTAATGTCACATATAAAATAATATAATTATTATGAAAAACATAGACCATACAAAAGATATTTAATACTGTGCAACAATGGCGTGTTCATCATCCAGTCGTTATAAGAAGTCAAGATGCAGCAAAACAACTCAGTTTTTAAACAACTTCAAAGAGAAGATGTGTCAACTACAATTTCGCATTTTTGACATTAATATGGTTAAGGTTTAAATATTATTATTATTATACAGTCATCTACGATGATATTGATATATCGCATAATTTTTAACTAGTTTTCTATAGATGTTGTGTTTTGTTTTGATAAATCGACACTCGAGCATCCCTACTGACCTTTTGATTACCCAAAATTGACTTTTAACTTTCTGAATATCCATAGATTCCATCCTGTTATGATTTTTGAAAACAGCGGTAATGTTTTTCTTTAGTAATCTCGAAATGTCCCCAGAGCAGTTGGCAGTATCAATTAATTTCCTCAAACTATTTGTTTCGTAGGCATATTTGTTTAGTTGACCATAAAATTCCGGGTATTAGTGTACTCTTGAGTTATTTACAATAAATTTATGGTTACGTTCTTATGTATTTGTTTCAGTGTTCGTTCAGGGGAAATACATATAATATAAACCACTTTGCATGTCAACGACCTATCTTGTGTTTTTTGTAACCGTTTTTTTTGGGTATCAGCAATTTGATACTTGAATAAATCATTCGGTTATCTGACCTTGTCTGTATTTTTATTGCTTTAGGGAGGAGTACTTTGATAGTCATAAAGAGAATCATTTTAACACATTTTTTTTATTAAAGGACTCTTAGAGCTACCTTTGTAGATTACATTACACTGCGACTATTTCAGCTGATTTGTTACGTATAAGAAAATATAATTCTTAACTATACATAAATATGTAAAAAGCTCGTAAATTTTGAATATTTGTTTATTTGATGAAAAAATACTGCAAATTCTAATTTATAGAAAACATATAAATCATTTTGTGCTCTGCATCTTGTCTTTATTTGACACCGTGGAATGTACGAAAAAACGTATTATAATTTACAGAAAGAAATAGAACAAAAGCGCTGTTCTATCTTCGACGTTCAGATTTCAAAATGTAGCATTTTATTTAAAAGAAATAATCGCTACTTCAACCACAAACAGTTACACATACCGATATACAATTTTAGAATATTATTTATATAAAACAATGTCATACGTATAAATCCTGCTTAATAAGAAATAAGATATAATTTAAAAACAATTTGTAGTTTACGCCAGTGTCAATCACACGTGGAAACTTGAATAGAGCAGTTTCAGTAAATACAGAAATTTAGTGTTAAATTCACGTCATTGTTTTCAATAATGAAAATTTATTAACACATAAACGTTAAAGGATTTGAGAAATTGTTGAGTTAGAAATTGTTTGAACATACATAAAAGGGATACCTAACAGTTAAACTTGGTTAGTTTAACTCTTAGGTATCCCTTCTAAAATTATCAATGTGCAGCTTTCAACTTATGTTAAACTGGGTTAGTTTAACTCTTAGGCATTCAAGTCAAATAAAAATAAATATCTCTAAATCTGGAGTGCAATTTTAGTCAAAAAGAACTAATAGGAAACCGATCTCTTACTAATTTTTTTTCACGTAACGATTTTGTACCTAGGAAGCTAAATAGGTAACCTAACACATTCTATTTAAATTAGGATGAATGTAGTGGCTACGAGCATATGATATTGTATTTATGTTAAAGTGACACAATTTAATCATTATATTGTTTTGCATTGACAACATAATTTGTTATCTAATCTTATTGACTTTTTTCTTATAATCTGACAAACAATTCAGGGGAATAACTAAATATAATAATATCAACATCAGAAGCTATATACGTAATCCGAAGAGGAAAATAAACAAAAATAAAATACTTGTGTAAACAGTAAATATAGGTAATGAGTATAAGTTTCTATCGGTTGTTTTTAATGCCCTTTTGTTATTGCGTGATGTTATATAGCCTACTATTCCTAGTTCCTCAATGAATGCGCTATCCAACGCTATAATAATTTTCAAAATGGGATCAATAGTACCCGAGATTGCCCCGGAAATTAAAATTTTACCTTTTTATAATATCATACATAAGAAAGTGGTCATGGCTGTCTAATTTATTCGCTATAATTTTTATGTAATAACATCTCTACTTTTTTAGGAATATATAGCTAAATCTAATTGAAATATGTTAGATAATATTAGTATATTTTAATATTCTTATTAATCGATTCTATTTTACTAACCTACAGTATTGTTTACGTGAAATAAAAATAAAATTAGTGTAATGTCATTCGATCAATTTCATTTACATATTTTCAATACTTAGATACTATGTTGTAAGACTTAATAGCTTTAATAAATTTATAAATAAGATTGACGGCTTCGGTGGTCCAGCTATTTAGCATACCGCCTTAATTCCGATGGTCGCGGGATCGATTCCTCGCACGGCACAAACATTTGTATTCATGAATATGACTGTTTTACGTACATAGTTATAAAAAAAAATATGTATTTGTAGCAGTTATACCATTAACACAAACTTTAATTAGCTTAACTTGAGTCTAGATGGCACAGTGTGAATTATCCTTAGATTATTAGCTGCAGGATAAATTTTCACATGATCGAAATAGGATCTAATCATAATCATATCAAATAAGTTGCAGTGCAGTGTTAAAATCAATGAAAAATACGAATATGACTTTAGTTGAAAAATAAAAACATATTCAAATACATTTTTCAAAATCATTTTTTTATTTAATTTAGTCTATTATTCGACGTACAAATATTCTCTAATGATTATTGCACTTTACGTAGTAGCATTATAAATCCAAGGGCTATTTAAAACATTTAGCACTGGCTTACGAAATAGATACGAGTATGTTATAGGTGGCCTCTTTATAATTTGGTTTCTATGACATCACATCTAAAATCTTATTTATATTGTATAACTATAATTCTATAAAATTTTGGGGATTGTAACTATCTAGTATGTAGGTAGGAAAACATATTGTTAATGAAATTACGTTTGACTTACATTTAGTTTATTATTGTCTTATGATATATTTAACAAAACTACGAGTAGGTCTACCAAGTTTATTACAAACTAGCAACAATGTTTATCACTTTCAAATTATTAAATAATTAAGCAGTAGAAAAATTATTCCACGTTGAAATTTCTCTGAAGAGAGCGTCTCCTGGACATTCCGTGGCTGTAGCTTGACGGTGACCGATCAGTCTGTAGTTTGGAGAGATGAAGCCTCGTTCGACGCCTGCAGCGATCAACCTTCTCGTGTTTTCAAGTTGTACTTGTGGTGGTAACGCCGCTGTTAAAATAAAAGATCAAAATTTATAATTTTACTTCTTAGTAAGTCTACTGCATAGTTATTTTCCGATTACTTACTAGGTACATAGGTATATAGAAAAATGAAGAAGAATTAATTATATTTGTAAGTATAATTAGTAAATCACGGGATAGTTTTATAGATAGTTTTATTTTTATTGAGTTACCGACATTTATTATATTTCATTGATGTGTAAAAATTGTATTACTTGCTGCAAAGCTAAAGTGAGTTAAACTAGTATAGTTAAGTGATACACTTATATTATAATATAAGTGTACAAGTTTCTATAGGACTTTTAAAGGTTTGATTAATTAATACTCATACTAGTGAGAAAGAATATGTGTGGACAACATCAACAGTTTTACTAAAGGTAGGTTACAAGTGAATATTTAAGTAAAGTAATCTTGTAGTCGCAGCATTTGTTGAAGACTATAAGGGACATTCTAAACACCAAATCATAGGCAAAGATCAAAAACAAATAAAAGCCAACCGTCGCGTCGTATAATAGATAGACAATTCTAATAACAAATAAAAAGGACAAATATATGTAGATAACAATACAGGTACGTATTGAGAACCTATAAATAACCTTATAAGCGTTATCATATCATACTAATGTAATAATGGATACTTCGATAAAATTACTTTTATATGTTACGTGACGGAGTACATTCTGTTCTGATACGATCACATTGTTGTCACATTTGCTCTGTACATACTGATGGATCGGTATTTATCTTTAATAACCAAATACTATTAATACACTAATTATCGACATAATTTTAGCTATTATCAAATCATTATATATTTATATATACTATACTCCGAAAGTCATACTTTCATATATCAGACTATAAACAAAGGATCTAGCATTAAGTATTCCCCGTAAATTTACTGCGACTTCTGATATTAGAAACAAAACAAAGTTTACCATATAAGCAGCTTATCAATTGAAATCGGCGAGACAGAAATATCTCTATCTACATCAAAAAAAAAATTGGACATTCTATCCTTCTTACGATGAGAAATCCGCAATGCGAATTTTAGCATGCTTAATTTTTTAGTTTCATAAGTGAACACGCATGTCTTTCGTCTTCAATATTGCTACATTTTACATCAGAAGACTATAACAACCAGCAAAGTTCTTGATGAAGATGATTATGGCAAAACTAAACGTCTACCGTCCATATTACTCCTACTATGTTAGTGGTTGGTAAATGAAAATATATATTGCACTATATGATAATAGTACTTACAAACCCAGTTTCCAATGAGACATATTCCAATACTGAGCATGTTGTAACCAACAGCATGGGCTCCCACAGTCTGCCACCCTCGACCTTCATATACACCACCGTCGCCGCCGACTGCAAAACTAATTTACAATAATAATATGACGTTAGACAATTTGCACAGCGTCTTAAGCTAATCAGAACCTGTGCTATAGGTACTACACAACTGACACATTTTTTTTTAAATACATGCATAACATATATACAGAAGACCAAAACAATCATACGTATAAATACAAATATTTGTATCATACGAGGAATGTTATCCGCGACCATCGGAAGTAAGGCGGGGCACTAAACCGTGTACCACCGAGGCCGTCACGAAACGCTGTGAATATAATTTTGCTACTATTTCTAGCAAATCGGTTTGGCACAGAGTTTTCTTCTCTTCAAATATGTGCTGCAGTAGTACGAGTAGACTTGATTTGAAGGTCACTCTATCGTCTTCTATTGGTACCCCGCAAGCATAGTATGCCGTAAACACTGGATAGAAGACTATTGCATATCCATCTATTAAAAAAAATAGTACGAGTATAAGAGTACGTATGTATTTACAATACCAATAAAATACAATAAAAATAATGAAATTAAAGGATAAGAGGCATGACATCTTAGATCTCTGGAATAGTTACGTAGGAATATTCTCGCAGTTGCTATGAGAACGTGTCTCTAGTGCTGTTCATCTATATTGGCGATGGTTACCACTTACCATCAGATATGTTTGATAGTCATTCCAATTACATAAATATAAAAAAAAAATGGTATCTTACTTATATCCAATATCTGCCCATCCTTGACCGTTTTGATGGTAATTTTGCATAGATCTCATAGCAGCCTTGCAGTCGTCTGTCGTCCAACAGACTCCTGGCTCATAGCTATGATGGATGACCACATGCGTTACAGGAGTAGGTAATACTGCGACACCAGTTGGTGGATTCGCCCCCCATTCACTTCGAGTTATGAAAGGGAAATTGTAAGCTGAAATATGTAAGCTGATAATGAATATATTGTAGTGTATAGAGTTCGAGTAGAGGATGAGTATCTGCAACAAAACTTATACAGATACATGTAAACGAAGCATGTAGTGTATGCCCCTCTCATAAACTACATGCTTAACTTTAAAGGATAAAATTAGAAACAGGAATAAGAAAAAAGTGTGGATTGAAAGATGACGTAATGACAAAGATCGAAAAGTGATACTGCCAGTATCCCTTTGCCATCTATGTCATTACGTCATCAGAATGTCTCAACCAGTATCATTCTGGTACATTTGAAACGGATGGAGAATAACAGAGATAGGTACATCAAACGAGAATGATTTCAAAGCTAGCTTCTGCCCGCAACGTCTACAGGTATTGACTGGGATAGAAACTAGCCTTTTTCTACTTTGAATGCATTTTATGTTGTAGTATAAGCATAATAATTAAACTTGGATTAATTTTATCTCGGAAATTATATTTTCGGATTACATAAGATATTTTTCAATATCATTCGAATTAAAAACGATTAGGATATACGGCATACCTAAGTAAATCACTATAGTATCGTACTATAGTATAATCAATATAGATTGACAATTTGTATGTTAGGTACTTACAACTACTCTCCTGGGATCTGGGCATAGCTAGTGTGCTCATGAGCACAGAAAATAGCACGATACAGATAGCAAGGGCCATGTCTGAAAAGAAATTGTTGGAATACATAAATATGATATATTAATAATAATAATAAACTAGACCACACAGCGCCATCTAGACCTAAGTTAATCTAGCTAAGGTTTGTGTTATGGGTACTAGATAACTTATCCAAATACATAGAATATTTTTTTCATAAATACATACACATTATACATAGAAAACACCCAGACTGATACAAACAATGGTACTCAGGAATTCAAATGTTTATACAGTGCGAGGAATTGAACCTGAGATCATCGAAAGTAAAGCTGTATGCTAAACCGCTAGACCACCGAGGCCGTCAAATATCAAATTAATGTTCATTAATAAATTTTGTTATCTACCTGTCAAGTACACATAGAAATAAAAGGATATGCACTTGAAGAGGCAAAACACGGCAAGTCGTCTAATTGGCAAAACCTGATAAATAACGGTTTTTTTTTATCTTAGAAAATCACAACACGTCATAGGCGAAGCCGGGGATAATTCTCATCTGAAATTTTCAGAAAATATATAATATTAAATATTAAAAACTAAGTCCCGGTATAAAAAGAACTGACTTGTCCCCTTGTAAAAGAGGCGCTGTTCACCGAATACTTTATTTTGTAAAAATGAACAATTTGGTTAATTTAAATCTTAAATTAATTTTTATTCCTATTTCAGTATTACAGAAGAATAAAAACAGTATGTAACGATCGAGAATTATAATACTTATTTTTAATAATAACAATGTAGCAAGTACTAACAGCGAGTATAATTTTAAACTAAAGGGTTATGTTAGATGTGACCATATTTATATATTCATAAATACCACATTCGCTGGGATTATGGAAATCCCTAACACATAGGTAATAAAACAGATGTTAGAAGTAGTGGCATTTCATAGATAATGCTGCTTAATCTTTTTGTCATATATTTAATTTCGATTCTTTACTATTTGATACATCATTTAATCTTATCAGATGTAATAAAAATAATAGATATTTATAACTTCCTACAGTTAATAATAAGTGGTCACATGATCAAATGTGAACTTAACTCTAAGCTGTTATCCGCAACTTTGTCTGCATTTGTTTAAATTATGTAATATTATATTATCTGTGGTTTAAATAAAAGATAGCCTATTTCGTATAATACTTATAATACGTATAATACCTATAAAGCAATTACAACTATGAATGATAGATCTGCAAATAATGTACAATAGAAAACAATATTTTTTACATTTATAGATAAAAATTACTAGGTGTTTTTTTAAGATGCGCTTTTATTCATAAATAAAAAATAATCTTTAAGAATACTATAGTATATACAAATAATAGAAACTGTATAATCTATATATACTGATACTAAACTTCTGATACTGATACTAAAATTAATTTACAGAATTTCCTTCTATGACTAAGATTTTGAACGTTCCGCATTGCTGAACTCTAGGGAATAACTCTGTGTAACGAGTAAATAAAGTATGTTTCTGATTTCATGTCGGTTTTAGTCATTTTCACGGCAAATAAGGGGGATCCTAAAACAGTAATTCACACGTTAACCCAAAAGCTAAAGAGCGTAGAAAGTAGTCCTATATCATATGTATAACTTTTATAGGTTTTCTTAAAAGTATTTTGGTTTAAACTTGAATAGATATTATTTAATCATACACACGACTAATTTGCTAATAATTACAATTTATAAAATATAAATAATTATAAAGAGAGAATAATGTATAAATTAAAAATAAAAAGCGTACCTAAATATAAATTTGATTACATTTACAATATACCGAAATACATTATACACATGGATTATAGTTGTAGCTATAAAAACATGAAGTCTTCTAGAGCAGTGGTTCCCAATTAGTTTTTGCTGCATACCACTTCAAAATAGACCTCAAACCTTGCGTACCTACCCCATATTGTAGCAATCACACTAATATTGTAAATGCGAAAGTTTGTGAGTACGAGTATGTTTGTTACTTCTTCACGCTCAAACGCCTGGACCAATTTTGATGAAATTTGGTATATAGGTAATTGACGGGAGATGTGACAGGCGCAGGATAGCGCACGGTCGGTTATAGTGCTTGGTGCTTCGTGCTTTTACGATGATGATCGTTATAAAATAATATGTTAGAAATTGTTCTTGTCTTTACTGACAGCCGCACGTATCCCTTGATGCAACCTCACGTACCCCTGGGGGTACGCGTACCGTAATCGGGAAACATCGTTCTAGAGTATTTCAATATGAAACTAGTGTAGTTTCAAATAAGAGTACAAATATAAAAGTATTTAATAAGTACTTACGTTCTCAGACTGCGTTGGTAAGTAAGTATAGGTACTAAGACTAATAATTGTACTATTGACGAAACTGAGCATAGCTCACGTGACACACGTGAGTCGGAATTCTTACTTATCAAGTACTTTCAGAACATCATATTATTATAATATACTATTATTATTCACTAGCGACCCGCCCCGACTTCACACTTATTTATTTTTTATTTTGGTATATTTTTCAAAAGTTGGACTACATCATCGCAGTTTTTATACATATTCTTTTAAAAATATCATATCGCGGATGTTTTTGTAAATATTACGTATGTTCATTAGAGACAATGTAGGATTATAATAGTAAAAGAATTTTCCAAATCAGTACTGTACTTTCAGAACCTATTCAATACAATCATACTTACATTGAATTTATAATATTAGTATACAAAATATTATTGTAAAATTATAAGAATAGTGATCATTTATCTACCAAGCATATATAATCGATTCTAAGTATAAAATTATCATGATATCAACGACAATAGATTAATCTATTCAATATTGTGATTGATGATAAAAAATCGACTCATAGTCACATATATATTCATACATATCGTCACACATGTCTCTTATTGGGGTAGGCATATCTTTATTTATTATTATTTATTTTCGCTGTACAAATAGTAATACATATTTAAACGTTTTGTAAAATTAATCAATGTGTCTGTATTGATGATAAAAAATCTGACTATTAGTGAGTCATATATATTCATCGTCAATCATCGTCACACATGTCTCTTATTGGGGTAGGCATATCATGCCACCTAATAGTAGAATTTTGACAAATTCTAGAAAACGTGAACAAAGAAGATTATATATTGGACTTACTTTTCTTAATAATAATAATGCATTTGATACTATTTTATTAAAAAAAATTAATAATTAGATATATAAACATAATATTTCTATAATAAGTTTTATTTTACGTGTATAACAAAAAAAAAATATAAAATTGGCAATTTCAAAAGTAATTCAAAGATAATAATAATAATATCGAATTAATAATATTATGATATAGACACTGATCAGTTTATTATGGACACTGGGGAATAATCTCTCCGAGTACTAACAAAATCATCACAATCGTTGTAAATTTGTAAATATATCTGTATATATACACTTTAAAATAATACAGTCGAATGGAGAATCGCCTTCATTTTAAAATTAGTTAGATAAGAATATCTAGAGTAAGAAATAGAGACGTGAGAGAAGATCTTACCTTATTTTGTTCTTGTTCACCGTACAATTTAGAATTTCTAACCTCAGTTCGTCCGCAACGGCGAAAATTTCGTCTAATAATGCCATATTTTCAAAGAACAAGGCTATTTAAATATATTTAATGAGCATTAATTTGATAAGAAAAGGTTTTTTATAAGATAATTCAGCTGTAATAAATCAGTAGCGATCATTTGCACTGATTCGTTAGGTAATGTCATACGATTTTATTTATGTAGGTATACACAGGGAATTTACCTTTTACATGACACAGTTTCTCATGGAATTTGTTCTCATTTGCTCTTATTCTAATTATTTATCAGTTTCTAAATTGGAAAAGTATTTATTGATTTTGAATAAATTTATGGCTAATATTATAATAATTTATATTTATATATATGGGAGGAAATAAGCAGGGATGGATCAGTGGAAGGAGATGACATACACCGCAAACAATCGGATGAAGTCTAGTATAAACTAGTCTTCATCCGATTATTATAACATACGATGATGATGTTAATATGTTAAACTTGTTTATAAATTTTGCATTATTTATTAACCTATGAACATCTTCACTAATGTAGATGTATACCTTCACAATATTAAACAGATAACGCATAGGTAATAAATTGTACAGAGGTCCATATCCATATTAATACATAACTTTATTTACATAAAATAATTGTAAAACTAAGAACCTAAAATTAAAAACCTTAATAAATATAATATAATAACTAAAATATATTATTAAAAGGCGTCCCTTTAGGCAAAGTTCCGAAGATACTGGCAGCGTTTAATACCTACATTATATTAATTTTGTTACATTCTGATCTGTTACTAGTTTCCCGGGGTTTCACGGGTACAATTAGTTTGGCATAGTTCCGGTTTTCATGGATATTTCCCGTCTTTATCGGGATTTTTAGAAGTTTTTAGGTTAGGTTAGTAAAATTAAAAACAATATCAATATTTATTTACTTTTAAAGTAAATTAATTCAAATATAAAATAAAATTTCAGATTGAAATTCCAGATTCGATAAAAATTGCAGATACTTTTTGATTAAGCGTAGCGTTTTTTATATTAATTTTCAATGAAATTTAATAGTCATTGAAAAATATTTAGCCATTTTCTTATGTTGCTGCTATAAATTGATAAAGGTCTTATCTTAAAAATGTCTACCTCAATGCACAATACAAATTATTCCTCCCTCGCTAATAATTTTCGTACGATAATAAAATATATTTGGCCCTAACTTTCACGGTTATCAATTTATTTGACGTCTATCGACAGTAGGTTTTCAAAATAGTAGATGTTTAGTACGTAATATCTACATTTAGGTCGCAACTCCAATAGTGCTGAACAGGAGTGGCCCAAAATCACAGAGATTAATCTTATAGTACATATGTTGGAGGTGCGCCGAAGGCGAGCGGATGTAAGGCGCCACCAATTAAATTGTATTAGACATGACGTTATGAACCGAAGACAATGGAACAAGATTTAAACATCGATTAATACACTAACTTGTCATTGCCAAATTGTAAAATTCATCCTAATAAATGTTTTTATTTATTATTACGAGTCTTACTATTTTTTAAAAATCAAGCAGTTTTGTGTTATACGATAGATTAACCAGAAGTAGCAGTGGTTCATAAAAAAACTCTTGGTATTTTCTTGAGCAACATATAATAGACTGAGTTTTGAAAAAGACAAAAAAGAGGGTAGACAATTTTATCTGTTCATAATAAAGATTGCATTGCACCCGCATGCATTCACCATGCGGGTGCTGGATCCATCGTGTGGCAGACTCCGAGTAGTTCTCGGAACTTGTGACCCGGATGTAGATTTAAGGACCCTAGTCACTGACGTACTCACCTTCACCGCTCGGGTTTCTTTCCCTGATTAGCCAAATCTGGTACAAGCCTGCTAGAGCAGCCTTAGATATATGTTATAGTATAAAACCCCCTGCAGTTCTATGCAAGATCTTTTAGAAGATTATAGAGAAATTTCGCTAGCATAGATACCTCTCGCTCCCAAATCGGCCGCATATAAATTAACCATATAGGCACTTTTAGTTAATCTGTTTATTAGTTCGTAATATCTATTCGTAATACCAATTTTTTATTGATGCTTTGTTACTAGCATCGTGCCAAGAAGTGGCTAGCTATAGCTGTAGTTGCTTGTAGTTGCTTTTAAATTCACTTCAATATATAACGATACATACTATCTTTCTATCTACATAGCATCTTTATCAAACGACTTCAAAAAAGGATGTTCTAAAGTCATGTATATTTTTCTTCTTTTTTTTTTGTAATATGTAATAATTCAGATTTTTCTACGTAAACCAATTTCGTATTATTTTTTTGTTTTAAAGCTGTATTATTATAATATGAAATTAAATTAATTTCGTATTATTTTATTTCCTAGATACATTTAATCATGATCTGAACACTTTATTACATTATTATTATATTGGTCATTATTACTACTACTGGTCAAATCTATATTTAATATAATACAATTTATGTGAGCTTTGATCAAGCTTTAATACCAATAGACTAATAAGGTTTTTATTCAATTTATTGCATTGAATTAAAAGTACAATTAATATAATGGTATGTTTTGAATATTATACCTAATAATAATCTTGGCAATTATTTCTATCCCACTCTAACTAATTTATTACATGATTAAAACTAACAAATATATCTCTTTGGATAAAATTATGTCTATAGTACAGGTTCAGAACTGTGCAGGGTGGGATATCATCGAAAATAGAACATATGACGTTGGACGTACCATTTTATTTAAAACACGAGTTGCGATGTGTGTTAATAAGCCGCGGCCATAAATTTCAATTTACTGCCTATGATGTTTTTGTACACAATTGATAGTAAAAATATTTTTCCTTTTATATACTTGTTTTATCCTGAATAGATCGTCAAAAACTTTCATTTAAATCAATTTATGTCAATTGTAGTCGAGATTACAACATTACAGCTTTTGATTACTCCTGAGGGAACTTTTTTCTATTCCATGTTGGAAGTCAGTCCATGTCCGTTTTTAATATGTTTGTAAATCAAGGAGACATAATAATAATTTAAAAACCCTGAAAATTTTTCAAGCTTAGCAAAACTTGGTTCATTGGTACTACATAAATACATTACATAGCATAAGTAATATACATATATAGAAGACACCCAGACATATACAAACCATCATACTCATGACTACAAATGTTTGCACCAGGCAAGGAATCGAACTGAAAGTAAGGGGTTGTGATAAAGCCGCAATATCAGTAATTTCGACATTATTACGAATATAAAAACAACGTCTGTTTGTATATTCGGAATGGATTTAGTGTTATAATTCTTTCATTGTCGCGCATTCAAAGTCTCATTCATTTATTATGGGCTGAGTTTATTACGTTAAATAGGAGGTTTTGCGTATACATATTTGAATTTCTATCACATATATTTGAATTGAAAAGAATTTCATTCTTACTCAATCACCTGGAGATGATCAAACACAATGGTCGCGAATTACATTGATTCATACTAGGTAGTCACAAACTATATGTTAAAAGGAAATATGTAAGAACTGCTATTTATATAAATTTAGAGTAGATTAGTAGATACAAAATATTTACATGATCAAATAGTGTCGTTAAGGTAGGAAAATGAGAAAGATCTCCATCTTTCTTTTTGCATTATACTTTCACAAACTATAGAATTTCCAACCTATTGTAGAAATAACAAGTTCAATACCTTTGCTGAATAGCGTTCGTAACACAACGACAGTCTTGCCCATCCGTATATATTTACCGTTGTCGATAAAAGAATAAGAATTAATAATGAAAGACGACAAATGCTACTTTAATTAAATGGAGCGGTAAGTTTTTGACATACCCAATATAAAAAAAAAACTAAAATAAATAAACGAAGAATACTCTCTGATTTTGAATATGTTACGTATCTGTAAAAAAAAGTGAACTCATTCAAGAGCAAATACGAACGTTCACGGTACGTGGTGCTTTGACGCACCTATTTATAAAGTTCCAGAGGATTGTTCACAAACGAAATTCCGATGGTAGTCGCGGGCTACGCGCGCTCACAGACGCGCCATTCCTCCAATTATCTATCTGTTCGGGTTCCTCCAAATTTTCCAAGTTTCCGACACAAAATTATGACCAGCTGAGTTTCCGTGTTTATTGGTGTGGTCAAAATAAGTGCGTAAATATTTGTGTGAAACACCAAGAGCTTTACACACACATACATAATCAATGTAAGATAGGTAACAATCACATTATCTTGAATCAGATATACTTTTACGTAATTACATACTTTCACTATTATTTATCTTCCATGATAAACGCATTATACGAATATGTCGCTGGCTTATTCTGGTTGGAGCCAAAGACTTATCACCTAATAAATAACAGACAATTTCATGAAAATATTTTATTTTCGTATATTTCCTATTAATCTTTAAGGTCGTCATTATTGGTTAAAAATATGTTGCACGTGTTATTTTAAGAAGAACTTTGAAACTTAATATAGCTACATATAATTAGAAGCAGTTACATTATAAAATTATATACTGACAGCGAGGCCATGTACAAAAATGTATACTTTTTTACACAACATTTTGATATTGAAAAAGTGTATATGTATGTTAAAAAAAATAAAGTAAACATAATTAGAGCTATTGTATTATATTCTTAGAAAATACTGAAATGGTAATGTTAAGGTTTTAATGTAATTTCCAGGTAAATTCGCTATCCCCATGATATATTGTATATCTATAAATAATAATATATATAGCAGTTAATATATGAGGTACTTCCAAAATTAATATCTTTGAACTGGTAATAATCCGGTTTATGTATGTAAAATCGAAAAACAATTAAAACATAAGCTTTTACTTAACGATATATACTTCTTTTAAATATAATAGTAATTAACCATGTGCCAAACTTATAAACCGTCTTTTATAGATGAATGAACTAAATAGATACTGATCCCCAATCCTACATTAAACAATTTGATCTGAAATATCAAACAAATTGCTTAAATGAATATTAATTCATAAATATCAATAAAAATATATTTTATTAAAAATATATTTTTATTAGAACTGTGTGCTGTATCCTATAAAGTAAAAATAGTCAATTAAGTATTGTGGTATACAATCGATTGTGGTAGATAAAAAACAAATTGTTATGACTATTCAAAAGTGCTTAAATTAAGTTTATTTGAATAAATGATTCTCTATTCTATTCTATTGCGAGTAAATACAACATTTTAAGATACCAAATCGAAAATACAGCAATGCTTCTAAAATTCTAATCTTACAGTACTGTGTCTAAGAAAATTCTTTATATTGTACACTTTAGATTTTAATACCCACTAATGGGACATATCTATTGGAAATACCAGCAAAAATAATTGTTAAAACCTTTTTAGTATTTTATTAAAGTATAAATTTGCTTTTATCTTGCCGCCTTATGTGATAAAAGAAAAGTTGCGTTGTATTGCCTCTAAACTTTATTTAACTCTAAAGGAGACTGGACACCACAACCATTATTTGATATAGGTATATGACTATTACAAATATTATAGCGATAATCAGATTTTTTTTCGAGTATGATGTAATGATATCAATATACCTAAGTAGATATTATTTTCTATAGTCTTTTGTAACATACATACCTATTATACGTATATAGGTTCAGAGTAAAAGTTGTATACGTATATAAGTTTGTTTTGGTTGAATACTGCTTCTGATTAATAATGAACAAATAATAAACTTTTTGTCGATATCTTCTCTAGAGACCAGATAACGTGTGGCAATCGCTTAAAGTTAAATCTTTTACGCAATTTCGACATCTATATTTTATGCTGCTGTATATTAATGTCACTATAATTATAATCTTTATCAGTTAACTATCTAAGCTAAAGCTAAAACTTCTCTTATAGCTATTATTTACTCCTGTAATATGGATATACCAACATATAAAACAATTCCTTACTGCCAAATGTCAGTCCAATAAAAACATAACAGTTAAGAAATAATTATGAAATTCAAGTAAGTAAGCGCAAATGTGATAACAATTTATTGTAACATTAATTACACAGAACGTAAACTACGAACACGACTGTAAATTGTACCTTGCACTGGACATAAATTGCGGTAAAAATATCTTGCCAAGTTGTCTCCCTGCGGTGTATCTCTGAGCCAAACCACAGTATTCAGTTAAAGCTGTCTTGCACGCATACAGCCATTAACATAGATTTAGGAATATAGTTAGCCCTATAAATGTATAAATACATAAAGAGGAAGGCATTGTTAAAGAGGTATATGACACTAATAGTAGGTAGTTCCAATGGTAGCAATATACATATTTTAGTACCTACAGTTCAACCTCTATAGTTCGGATTGGAAACTTTTAGGGCATAATTTTTTTGTGAATTCACCAGTATAAGTGAGGGAATTGAATTGATCGTCATTCTTCCATCATTCACTGGCGTCTCGACATCGTATACCACTAACATAAGTGGAAATACCATTCTGATGATAGAATGGCATCACATAAAATATATACAGATAAAAATTTTGTCCGTCTACACTCTCTTTCCACATTACATGATACTTAAATTTCTTGTACTAAATTTAAATATTTAATTACGTGCTTGCTATACATATTAGATGACTATATTTTTTATTCGTCTCTTGTCCCGACTTTTACCTTTCATTTATTCTTCATATAGATCGGTGAAGAGCATGATGTTAGCATAGTCGAATTGATTCTGATAATCATTTAAGGAGATTTTCAGCATTCTTTATCAGAGTGAAGATAGCAGACTAAAATCATGAGAGCTCATTATGATAATCGAGGAAATATTTCAACTAGATTTGATGTAGATACCGAAACAATGACTTACTACAATACAATGACTTTTAGAGTGATAATTACAAAGGCGTAGCTGCAACTGCTGCTGTTTTGAACTAAGAAGTAACAGGACGCAAAGTACTCGACGTAACTGACTGACAAAATGACTAAGTTAGAGTAAGTAACGAAGAACTAAAATCTAAGAAGTCATAGTTGATCTAGAAACAGATAATCAGGCTTCAATTGAACCGAAAACCGATGTTATTGTGGTAAACAAATGAGATTTAACACTAGTTCATACAGATAACATAATACTGGCGTTATGAATAGACCGTGATATTAAATTTATCAAATCAAAGACCACACTCTCATAAAGTTTTATGAATTTCGTCATTTCCGTTTAGAGAATACTCATATAATGAGAAAACTAATGTAAAATGTAACTCGTGGCCACATATTGGTTGGTATTTGGTTCTTTTCATTAGGATGTTTCTGTATACAAGTATGGGCAGTGCATATTCTAACGTGATGGCAAAACTTAACCGTTCAGTATTATGGATTGATGGCTATATTTTTTTAATTAAATGGCTTTTGAAACCTTTTATTAATATTTGATCAAGAGTCATGTATTGAAACTATTACAATGATAGGAAAATATTAAAATAAAAGATCAATTGTAACATATAATTCACACAAGCGTATTATAAATATTACAAGACGGAACTCATACTGTGTGCCATTGGAGTTATAAATACGCATCGTTGTTGTTGAATGAACGGATGAGCGTTATGTTTTGGCAATTCTTAATACTACGCGAACTTGAATATGGTTTTTAGAAATAACTAGCGACTCGCTCTGGTTTCGAGTGCAAATATTGGAGGGATCTCTAATCTCTAAAAATACTAATTACTTGCTGATGATGTACTTTGATAGGTAATACAGTTTACCAATATGATACATTCAATAAAAACATCCTAAGTCTTCCTAATATTAATTTACATAGGCATAAAATAGTACGATAACGTGAACCATAAAAAGTAATTAGTAGTTAATCAGCTTCAGGCTTCAGAAGTTTTGTCTGTGCGTAGGTAGGTATATCAATAATGAAGTTCAACTAGTTCTTTTATGTTTTACGGAAGATAATAATATTTTGTTTATTGCAAAACTGAAAAAAACTAGAAGAACTTTTTAAAGGACAATCACCAATTCTGATAGGAAACCAAACTTCATCCATTGTAACGTTCGTTTATTTTTTTAAATCGAGCCGAGTGAAGAGTTCATTCCAAACCCCGAAATGACTTACGGAACAGCTAAAAGTCAACTGTCTGAGGATTATAACTTTAGTCTGAGATCACAGTGAGGAACATAAATCTCAGTTCAGGTACTTGGAATTTCAGGCAATTGAATTCATAGGAATGGGTCATGAGATCGATCAGAACCTACATATTATAAATTTTAATACAGTAATGAATAATAATAATTTAACTAATCATTTGAATTAAATAATAATTTGCACAGTGTGCAAAATAACATTTTCTATTTTTCTTGGTTTAACTACACGAATAAAATGACACGAGAAAATTTATGGCTCAGACGAGTAAATAAGCAAATTACATCTGTTTTGAGTGATTATTTCATAGGATATGACTTTGTACGACATTGCAATAATACCTACGTACATATATAAAATTGGGATGTGTTCAAATCTCTGTTCCTCATAGGATATTTTTTTAAAGGTACCGAAATAAAGTGTCTTCTTACATTAAACTGTTTGTAATAATTACTCCGAAGTGGAAGTATTTTTCCGGGTGTCGTAATCTGTAAATAATTCTGTAATCTTTCATAGATACTCCACAGTTAGGTACGTGAACGATTCAAAGTTAGCTGTGGGCGCTTGTATAAAAAGTTTCAAAACTATATTTACTAATCTATTTAGCTCTGGACTCAAGTTCATATATTTCATGAGTACCAATATTATCAATTTGATTCACCTTATATATATTAATCTAGTACAGTCACAATATTTAGTGCCTAATATATATATAATTTGTGCGGGATTCCGATCAAAATTTAATTTATTATAGTTCATTCTAAAGGCTAATTACTCTTAGTTACATTTTAGTTAATCATCATCAGTCTACTATGCAGTCCAATGCGCGCCACTAAACGCGTATTTCGATTATTCTCTAATATATACTATATTAGATATTACATAATTAAGATAATTCAGTAACACACTATATATTTATTTTGAGTAGATAAGAACATACACTAAATATTTAACATGTACACTGAACTTACAGAACACCACAATGCCAATCGGCAATGTTAGTAAGGACTCTGCGTCCAAACGAGACAACTATAGACCGCCCTGGGTAAAAGACAAGGATACAGAGGCGCCCCCTCCGTGGACGCAGAAAAAACTCAAGCCTGTGGATCCTAGTAAAGCAGCAGTAGAGGGGGATGAGCAACAAACTCCAACTGTGAAATCAAAACGTAAGTATTTTATACAAATTACTACGTAGATACCTAAAGCAAGTTGTGAAATTATAGCAATCGGAGAATCATGCCTCATCTTTATTAGGGTTAGAACACAGCTGTTCGATATTAAGGTTGAATAATTTTACGCGCAAATTGAAAAAAAAAACACTATTATTATCCAGAATTTACTAAAAAACTTGTTATGTACCTATATGTTAGATATAATAAATTCATCCATCAGAAACCAATAGAAAATATAAAAACAACAATAACATATATAATAATGGTTGTTTGTTTTATATTTTTTAACAAATTTAACTTATACATGCATACATACAAATTTAGTACAGCTTCTATTATATCAAAATTTAATGATATACATCATAAAATCAAATTAAAAGGACCATTACTTATATAAAAGTACGTAGATCTTAGTGTCGTTATTAATTGACATAGCAATAGAAAACAACATCTGTAAAAAGAATTCTTATTATTATTACAGAGTTTGTTTCAAAAACTTTCCATTGACATTTTTTTTCCCATATTCGTCCATCTCCTTTTCAGCTTTCCATTAACAACAAATTAATATTAATATTAGGGAAAATCAGTTTGGCTCCTTAAAAAACGTCATATCCGCGCTGCCTGACATGTAACGTTAGCAAACATGACTGATTATTATTTTGTAAGATATAAGCTAAAGTACACGTCCGCGTCTTTAATCTATCTCTTAAATTCATGCACATATATGTATGAATTTAAATAGAATTTTTATAAAATATTGAATATGGCATGTCTACATATTACCAGTATAATACTTGCATATTTATTATTTGAACTTCTTTGAGTTTCCTAGCCTGTATGAATTTAATTTACCACTAGAAATAAAATACGATTTATTTCTGATACATTTTTAATTAAGTCATATAATATAACAATTATTACTATGCATATTTTCTCCATTAGAATAGACTGAATGAAAAGTGTATATTGTGAGTTGTAATTATAATTTATCCATATATACACATAGTAGCTGAAATTTAAAATGATATATACATACATAATCGTTAAACTGTCAATTCTAATATGTTTTGAACGTGAATTTTTGGCAACTGAATTACATAATTCAGCCGTTAGTGTTGACCTCAGCAGTTAGCAACAATAGGTACTTAACGCTTTAATAAATCTTTTTCCGTACACGGAAGTGTGTTCAGTTAGTATTGGTTGGTAATTTTTTTATTCGATGTAATCTTCAGTCGACTACTATCTTTCCGAGAAGAAAGTCACGTCACTATTTGTGTGTGCCAAAATGGCAGAGGCGGCAACGCCTTCCAATGTTTTTATTTTAGAAGATATAGCAAAATTAATAGAACTAGTTGAAGGTAAAGAGAATTTATTGCACGGACACTTCTTTTATATTATTGTTTGATTTGTAGGTTTCCATTGTAACGGAAAACCTAATTTAATTATGCTTTTATTGACTGCTAACTCTTACCTACGGTCAATAATTTTCGTGACTGGATTTGATTATATACTATCAACATATAAACTAACGTATACAGGAAGAATGCGAAAAATCCTGTTATGAGTCTTTTAAATTTTGGATTTCATTTCTGTCTGTATGTGTTCAAAATCATTTATTTGTTTATTAATGACAGATACATAAATTAATAATAATGCAAGCAACAACACTAACAACGAATTTTTGGTAATCTGTTATTCCTCTGGTTCCTCTTGTATAATATACAAGAGGAACCAATATATTGCCATGGCATGTCAAGTAAATCAATGGCAATCCTGCTAAGGGCTTACCTGATGGTATGTGATAACCGTTGCCTATATACATACATAAACTATACCAGTATATCTCGTTATGATGTGACAGCTGTAGCACTCATGCGTCGGCATTCCGGTGAACGAAGGTGAAGGACATGCTTCCACATGTTATAATTTCAGAATTCGGAAACGTAACATCATAGTCCTTCTTAGTATAACAACATTACAAAACACACTGCTTGGCAGCTGAGATACGTGACGCAGGGTACCACAGTCTACCTCTACTATTTTAATAGAAGTTTATTTGGTTACAGGAACCTAATAGAAGTTTGTCTTTTAAAGGCATACACATTTTTTATAAATGCCACGTCAAGTCATTGTGAATACAAATAAACAAAACTGTTACACTTCGTTATTAAAACTAATGTTTATTTTTCTACTGACGCTACTTTGAAAGAGGGCCGTATTTCACACACTGCATATTATATCTTCGACTATGTTTGTGAGTAGATGTGTTGATAAATATATGTGTATATGTATATTATGACGTAAACACCTGCTGAAACTTTGGCAGGAGACACGAGTTCTGAATAATTGACTCTCCCAAACCGTACAAAAGTTAGTCTGGAGTTTGGTTCGGTGTGAATTTCATGTGTCCGTAGTTCTACAGGGAAAGGAGCTGAAGTGACTACGTTACTTTGAAGTGTAGTGAACGGTCTAAAATATTTTCATATAGATTTTTTAACAATCCATTGATATAAGGTATCTTTCTGGAGCAGTGACACATAAGTAATAAATATTATGACGTATTAATTATATTTATATGATACAGTGACTTATTTCTTCAAGAACTGACAATTTCAGATTAAACAATAATATTCTTGTGTAGATATATAAAGTATATACAAAGGTGTGTATGACTAGTTAAGTTATTTAAATTGTAAGAACAATCGCTGATATGAGCTGGTATTTATCTAATAATAAAGAAAATACTGACTGACATGGCAGATTTTATTAACATATTTTTATTTCTTTAGCAGTTTTACTAAGATATTTTTAAAATTGATATATAAGCGGCTGATTCCGTATTGACTAGGATTGAATAACAATACCTACAAATGTCGTCCATGCTCATAACCACACATAATTTTTCAAATTGTGTTCTCAAGATTGTTTTCGAACTTTATGAGTTTTAACAGTATTTTCTCTATATGTATACTTGTACCCAGTAGTGATATTAGTTTATAGATTTTTCTCAGTGCCTACCTCATAAGGGCTGGAAGATTAATTATTACAGAAACGAATTTTCTTGCTTTTGTTTCATGGTAATATGAAATCATTCTTATTAAAAAATTAAACTTGATTGTAGTTCGTAAAATTATAGATTTACATATGTGTAACTAGTTGCTCATTCCGTATTCGCTCCGATTACATAGTATAAAGATTGTGTAAAATATAGCGTATATTAAATTAAATAGCATGTACTAAATTAATGTAAGCTTATTCCAATTGCTACCAGAAATCTTCCCGTAGGTGCAGAAGCAATATATTTCCGATTACACTTTATAAACAAAACTCACAAAATTGTAACGTTTGTTTTGTAATCTTATGTATGTACGTAGCATCTTTATGTACGTAGATAACTATAACTTATAACTTACTGGTATATTAATATGGTGATGACTTTGTTTGTATTTAGAAAATATAGATCGTACCAACGTTCTAATATGTTCTAAATACAATCTCAATCAATCAAATCAATATGCAAATTTTTGATTAGGTAAATGTTGCGAATAATGAAACAATTTTCTAGAGAAAACATATGAAATGGTACGAAAGTCGTATCATGACGTGTTCGATAAACGTTGTAGTTGTTAAGATATTTCGGGCGGCCGACGCCGACGTACCGGTATTTATAGAGAGGACAGACTTTTAAAAAATAAACGAAGATGTTAGGATCATGAGTTGATTTATAAGAGATCATGCGATGTACTCTGTTGCAATAGATATATTGTTTATGGAAAGTGACGAGCAGTTTATTACCTTATTATTTAATATCTATAGGTTTCATAAATTTAATTGACATGTATATACCTAATATAAAAGCATAATTAAATTTTGTTGAAATGAGAAAATCCCTTATATACCTATAAAATAAGCACTTACTGTTTTTCTATTAAAATTAAATTGTGTTTATTGTATATTTATATAATAATAATAATATATATTTTTATATTATAACAGATATTTCTAGAAGAAATTCAGACTTCATAATGTAAGCGATTTTAACTAGAATTTAAATATATATAATTAAAAAACGTATCAATTCGGTATTTAAAGATTTTTTAGAGAATTTGTGTTCACTAATCTCAGCAGTAGCTTAACCATTTTAAAACCGCGTTTCTCTAATATATTCAAGTTTTATTAAAAAATATTGTTCCATTCATTTCACTGCGGTAATACATAAAAAAAATACTAGTATGAAGTCAGCTTGTTAGTAAATAAGAGGAATAAATAGAAGAGAAAGTCATGAATATCATAATGAAATCTTATCCACTCTAAAATATTTTCATTACTTATTGAAAATCTCTTTTTCATTATACACTAACTACTTCTTTCACACCTATTATATTCGCCATTTAGGTGGGAATTTTGACTCATTACTGCGTTAAAATAGCGAAGGTCGGCCATCTTGGCAGCAGCCATGTTTATTTACGTTCTCGCATGCCATCAAAAATGCACCGCTCGCGTCGGGGTCGCAGCACGTGCTTCCATCAATTTCACTGTCCTTCCCAAACATTGTTAATGGTCCTTAGACACAGCTGAACTTTAAACAAGAGTTTAAGATGTCAGAATTTCAGAATAATTGAGTAGTTATTTGATTACATATGAATAATTATGTAATTTGATACATTTGGTAGATTAGATTCATTAATAATACCTACCTAAAAATAAGTAACAACAATTATCATGATAAACGGAATAATTAGGCAACTTAATATTTATACTATTATGCTTGTCAAAAGAATAGCTTTAATATGTCATATGTATATTGTATTGTATATATATGTATAAAAACTAAAGCATGGATATATTTGGTATTTCAGCTGGCTTAAAAAAACAAGCAACTGTTAAGGAAAAAAGTGAAAATGGAGTCCCGGAACCCGTTGAGGATAAACTAGTAAAACCTTCTGCAGCAAAACAAGCAGATAAGGCAACAAAACCAGCTGATGAAAAGCCACGGTTTACAAAGTCAGCTTTAAAGTCTACAGATAAGACACCAAAGTCTGATGATAAAGTTGCAAACAATAAACCGACAGAAAAATCTGCTTTAAGAACAGTTAGGACTATAGATGATAAATCTAAAGAAAAGTCAGTCACAATAGTGGATAAAAAGACTCCTGAAAAAGTACGAGACAATAAAGTTGAAGAGAAGTCCGAAAAACCTATAAAGAATGGTCAAACAAAAACAAACAATACAACAACGATAAGTGACAAAACTACAAATGGTAGAAGTACTACAAATTCTACTAAAGACGCTAAGCCAGTCCCTAAGGCTACTGATACATCTAAAGTAGAAGACAAAACTGAAAACAAATCCAAAATGGCAACTAAGCCCCCTACACCCCTTGAAAAGACTCCCTCTAAGGTCAGTATTTTATTTACATATATTAAATTAAAGTTTTATAATATAAGTTTCAATGCTATACATAGTAGCTATATATATTTTTACGTATCTTAATTAATATTTAAACATGAAACAATGCCTAAAAGCTTCAATTGACATACACTTAGAATTAAAAGGATTTAACTTGATTAAAAAATTGAATTAATTTTGGTATATTATTTTGCAGCTTCCGCCCCGAAAACCATCTCTACAAAAACAGCCATCCAAAGATGAGCCCGTAAAGAAATGGAGAGATCCATTACACGAAAGAGTCAAAGATAATATAGACAAAACTCTCGCAAATGAAGTTCCTAAAGGACATACACTAACAAAGAATGAAAGCTTAAGAAGTAAGTAGAAATGAATGTACTTAGAATGAATTAAGTAATAAATTTAACTATAATAATAATAATCTCAGGACAATTCACACAGCGCCATCTAGTCCCAAGTTAAGCTAGCTGAAGCTTGAATTATGCGTACTATATAACTGATATAAATATATAGATATTTTTTTCGTAAATACATATATGTTATACATAGAAATCACTGTATTTTCTATGTATAATAAATAATAATCTCAGGACAATTCACCCAGCGCCACCTAGACCCAAGTTAAGCTAGCTACAGCTTGTGACTAGATAACTGATACAAATACATAATTTTTTTTTTTGTAAATACATATATATGTTTTCTATGTATATTACATAGAAAACACCCAGACCGATACAAACAATCATATCTTATAAATATAAATGTTTATGCTGTGCGAAGAATCGAACCTGCGACCATCGCAAGTAAGGCGGTGTGCTTAACCGCTAGACCACAGAGGCCGTCAAATTAAAAATATACAAATCGACACCCTTAAAAAGTATTACAGTTTATAAACCAAATAGATATTATTTACCATTAGTTAACATAAGCAGCTATCAAATCAGTAATAGATCTATTGGCGTAATCTATTTGTTTAATTGTGACACAAACATTGACACACTAGCACTTTCCCCTTGTTTTATAATTAGCAAGGCAACATTGCGCACTCAATCAGCGCAAGCGCAGTCCACAATGTCGATTAATGAGATTCGATTTTGGCAAACGATTGGAAGTCTGCTAATAATGAGATAATTATGCTGAGGATAATCTTAAAGATTCTTATTATTGTTCTTCCTATTTATGTTTTTTATATAATATCTTCATTTCATAGGACAATTACTACTTAAGTTGTTATAAGTAATGCTCTATCTTGATATATATTGTTCCATATTTTTGTTAGTGTTCAGACTATTTTTCTCTAAGGAACTGTAAATTTAATACTAAATATTGACGTTACTTGTTTAGAATTAATTCATGGTTTTAAGAAGATATTCTGGATTTCCTAATATCTTCTTGGTACTTCTCTGCTTTTCACTTAGACTAAAAAAGATTTTTCAGGAGCCCAAAAACGCCTATAAAAATGGAAACTTTTTCAATGCAATAAAATACACATTGTAGAATATTTATACCTTATTATTATTACAAATAAAAAAAACGATAGATATAATTATTTAGGCCCATTAACTATACTTTAATTGGCATAATTCGCATTAAGAAGCGTCGGATATCATTACCTTTTGATCTCTTGTGTGCCAGACCAGTTTGTGGTCTAAATACGATCCAAAATAGTAACGGATAGTTCCGCATACGTCGCCTGCGCATCAGGTGCAAATGCATCAGTTAAGACCAGTACTGAACACACATCATCAGTGTTACGAATATTTAAATCGAATGTATTTGAATTTCTAAACAGTAGTTTAATTAATTACAATCATGTGTCATTTGAAACTGCAGTGTAACAAAAAGTGAATTGTTTAGGTCATATTCATAATATGTTTTCATTGTATAATAATAAAAGTAGCAGTGTCTGTTTAAGTTAACGATAATAATACAATAACTATTGTAACTGCAATGGAAGACACTGAAGGAGAAGGCAGTTTATTTAAAGGTGAGCATAGTTAAGACATATACACAAATTAATTCGAAAAAAAATCTCACTTCATGCAATCTATTATAAATGCAAGTGTAACGATTAAACGGAAGTGACTGATACATACGAACTTTAATCACTTACATTCATATAGCGTCACCAAAAATAAAAACGTAGAAATAAGTAAACAAATGGAAGAACTAAATCTAAGGAAATATTAAACTACAATGAATATCACGCCGCCATCCTTTTTCATTAATAAAAATATAGTCTTTTGGAAAATTCCAACGTAATAATATGCTATAATCCAAATACTCATAGATGCCTATTTGTACCCGTTACAGTAGTTTAATTGTCCTACCTGTTATTTAACTTCTTCGGATAAAATGGTACATCTTTTTTTCCTCTATATGTACTTTTCTATTTTGATATTGGCTGCATTTATTTTTTATTTTAGTAAAAAAAATTCTTAGAGTTACAAATAATATGCTATTTTTACTAGGTTTACTCAAACCTACACCACCGCCAATGCCTCCACCGATGCCACCGAAAATGCCACCTCCTCCCGAGTTCAAGAAATCGCCTATAGACCCAACGAGACTGAAAAAACTGGAACAACTCCGCAGTAGACCTAGGAAACGACCTGACTGGAGTGACATGATGAAGGAAGTAGAACAAGGCAGGAAGTTAAAGCACGTGGTTTGCAATGATCGGTAAGTTCGATGCAATTAAAAAGATATACGAACTAACTTTGATGTATATATATATTTAATGTAATTGCAATAGTAAACATGCTGACGGCCCATCTAATAATAACCGTTTTATGTACATATACATGAAAAGCGCTACGGTAATAACGTTATCGTACCTCTCATGGATGACTACTACTATCGAAGCTGTTTGGGGGCTGTCATAGGCGAAACTGCGATACCTATGCATATGAAATTTAACAGTCTACCTTTGTTTTGGTCTGGATGTTATATAAAATAATGATGTATGGATAACCCACATAAATTTTTAAAATACACTACCATGTCTATTACCACGCCTGATCAAGATTTTTTGGTAATTTCCATATTAGAATTAATAGGTACGTTTTTTTCTAATTTATAGAACAATATTTTAGGTAAATAACTTGATTTTCAACATTGACCGACACACGGTATTTAGCTTAACAAGCTGATGTATGTATACGTACCTACATATACATAAAATGTATACAATTTAATTTAATTTTTCAATTTTTTTCAGATCAAGTCCAATCATAACCAAAACAGCTGTTGTAAAGAATAAAGATCAATTCATTTTTGAATCCGAAAAACCAAACTCACACAATGAGCTCTTAAGAGAGATTTCCAAAGGTATTAGACTAAAAAAAGTAAAGTGTAATGACAGAAGTAAGCCTAATTTAGAAGGCTTAAGGAAGTTTAGAAGGCAAATGACTATAGAAGAGCAAGTTCAAAAATCTATGTCTCAAGCAAATATACAAGCATCGCCTTCCGGAGCTTCCGTTGCTGAGGTACGTATTTTATAATTTCGATATCTTTATATTTGTAGCTAATCGATATATATATATATATATATATACTATACAATCGTTCTTAAATGTTTAAGATGTTCCAGACTTGAAATAGTTATATGTTTTAGGTTCCCGCAGTAACGACAGAAGAGGAAGAAATCGATGAAATGGATGACATAGATAAAGTTCGGGATGATCTTCAATCTACAAAACAACTTTTAGCTATTGAGCTTAGGTAAGTCTTTAGATAATTTAAAAATATAATGCTAATACACTAATATTATACATTTGAAATCTCTTCTAAATAGCTTTGGTAAATCGATATTCATGTCTATAATTATTAGACATTGACTTACTCCTTGGGTAATTTTCTTCAGTTTCATAAATATAATCACTGGCCTTTTCCCTTCGTATATGCCTCACTTTTAAAAGTTTTTAAATTGTTTCAATGCTGTTCTACAATCTAAATTATTGTATGTATTTATAAATACTACAGAAACAAAGAGGCTCAAGAGAGAGAAAATAAGCGTCTTTTGACAAGAATACATAATTTGGAAGCAGAATTAGCAAGAGAACGAGCTATAATTAGACAGGAACAACACAAAACTGTTATTTCTGTTACGGATGCGTATGATGAAAGACTCGTCAATAGCCTTAAGTTGGAAGTGGAAAAGACAAAAGAAAATGCTGATAGTTTAGAGAAACAATATTTGGATGCTGCAGAAGAGAGAGATACAGCATTAACAGAATTAGAAGAAGTAAAGAGAAGGAATGCAGAGCTAGAAAAAAAACTAGAACAGGCATTATCAGTAAGTATAAAGTCAATGCAAATATTCTGCAATACTGTTTAATTTAACTTAAGTATTTATTACATTGCAATTAACAATAAAGCTTTACTAACAATTTTCCAGAACAAAATAGAAGAAATGTACATATCGGAAGAACCGCTCTCCTTTTATCAAAAGAGGCAGCTTGATTTCGAAAAGCAGTGTAGGTTACTAAACATAGATATCAATTCTCCTGAAGCTCAGGAGCTAAGGAAAGCTTCTAATAATATAAATAATAACATTGCTAAAACTAATATTGCTTATGCTTACGGAGAAGATGAGGTAACAGCTTATATAATTCAATTATAATGTACTATAGACCAGAAAATTATACTGAACACTTAATTTAATTATTAATATCCTTTCAGGGAATTATGCCTACGAACATTGGCTCAAGACGGTCAAGTCACGCAATCAAACAGCTATCCGTTACAAAGGATGACAGTTTTGAAGAAGAAGAAGAATCAGAGGAAGAGGAGGTAACGGGTTTTGAAGCAGTTTTTTTTTAATAGATAGATTCTAGAGGAAGGTTTATATATATAATATATGTACACCCGTGCGAAGCCGGGGCGAGTAGCTAGTATACAAAATAACTTACTGAAAAATAAAATTATCATTTAAGTAATAAAATAACATTTAGAAACTTTTATTGTGGTACTACTATTTATATATCGGTCTATAAATCGGTGTATTAACATTTTAATTGAAATAATATATGTACATATATACAAGTAATAAATAGCTAGGTCTCTATATACTCTGGTATTACCATTGTTATTGAAGTTAACTAATAATATAATAAATAATTGTAGGAAGAGAGTGAAGAAAAGAAACAAAAACGAATGGAAAAAGAAGTACGTAATATGAGAAACAAAATCAGACATTTGAAGGAAAAACAAGACCATATGAAGAGAGAAAGAATGGGCTTTAAAATGTCTTTGAAGAACCAACAGGCTGCACTTAAGTCAGTTTTAATTATTATTTCTGTTGTATAGGAACATTCCTAATATTTCTATATACCTTTCATGAACTTCTTTATGTTTAAATTTCAATTACGTAAATGTTAATTACTTACATTATCCATAAATACGTATAATTAAAAATGTGTAGGTATTTTTAATTACAGGTATTTATGGATAATGTAAGTAATTAATATTTACGTAATGTATCTAATTGATAATTTGTGAAATATAATTATAGGAAAAAAGCAAAGATAATATAATTATAATAATCTTTGTCATAGAATTCTATGTATTTTTTTACTTTGCAAGATCAAAGTAAAAAAAACTATCTTAGCTTACATTTACAAATTTGTCATGTGTTCTTCTCTAATGCTGGATAAATAGATTTGGGTATTTTCACACTCTTAGAGAAATGTAGGTAGCTTGGCTTCATCACCAGGATTTACGATTACAGGACCTTACGATCTGTGGAAGCTTCGCCAGCTATCGGCATGCTACCCTATTTTAAAACTTAACATTATATTATATACTAATGAAATATGTATTTTAGATTTTTCTTCAGCCGGTATTTGCTCTTTGTTAGTTTGTCTTCTTTTAAGACTTCCTAGGAAAATAAAAGATTAATTTAATTATGCATTTTGGGGTAGGTGCTTATCCATATGCAATGTTAGTTGTATTAAGAATCTACCTATATAAGTAGATTCTTAATACAATTATAAAATAATTCGTGTCAATTAAATCCCGCGATAAAATACATGAAAAAAGAGTTCTTAATCGGATAAAAATTATATCAACATAGCACAAAAACTAATACAAGGGAAGCTGTTTTTATTAATTACATGGCTACATTTGAAAAGTGATTGTGTAATTTTAGAGATGAGAAACGAAAATACAAAGAGTTGAAACGAGAAGTAGACAAGATGGCGTCTATGCTAAAGGAAGTTGGATCTGATGAAGAAGACGAAGAAGAAGAGGAGGAAGAATCTGACGAGGAAAAGAAAAGCGAAACAGAAGAAGAAGAAACCGAAACTGAAACCGAACAAGATACTGAAAGTGAAACCGAGAGCGAGAGTGAACCTGAGGTATGAAGTAATTTACGTTAGTATATATTATTATAAAAGGGATAAATAAAACAAATAAAGTATATCTTTAAACTCATGTCTGCACTTCGGTGATCTGTGAAAAAACGACAAACGTGTATACTCTTTTTTCTTCTTTTTTATTTAAAAGAATGTTCGCTTTAATAACGGCCAGTTATATCTCACATAGTTATAGTAGTTATATGTCACAACCAGAGCTTATCTCAACAGGTGACCGATAGGTAATAAGTATCAGACTGATATCAAGTAAAACATTAGTAGTTGAAATTAATATCTATGTATGGCCAAACTAAATACTCAAAGTACAAGCGTTACCTAAATACTAAATGGCATTGTGGGAATTGTCCAGGATTATTATTATTATTGTTAAGTAATATAGATTACATTACATGCGAATAGTGCCGCAGGTTGAAAGTAGTCAAAAATGTAAAAGGGTGCTGGGCATATTCTTGCCTGAGCATTTTTTATAATCTACAAAGACAGCAAAATATTTGTCTAATTTATGAACATCTATTTTCAGGAGGCTCCATTGCCTAAAAAGAAAGATAATCTTACGAAGAGAGTCAAGAGACACGAGACTAGGGTGAATGCTTTGAAGAAAGGCAACGCTCTTTTGATGGCGAATGTAGACCGGTTGAAGGACGACGTCCTGAAACAAAGGGAGGAGTCTGTTACGCTGCAGAAGGAGTTGGATTCCTTAATCGAAGATCTTGAGTGATACGAAATGTGATGAGTTCCGAAAATACCAAATAAATATTTTATAATTTTATTCTAATTCATAAGTGAACATAACATAAAATAAACATCGCAAGGATAATAACAGTTAACACCTTGGGTCCCAATATAAATAGATTTAAGCAAATATTGTATGCATTTCAAAAACTGGTTTAAATAAAAGATCAGGTCAGTGGATAGATCGGAAGCTAAAATATTTACTTGATGATGAAATTTATTATAACAAATGATAACATTATTCGACTTACCTACCTACTTTTATTTAAAGTACCAGAAAGTACCTAACCATCTAAACTCTTAAAAAGATAGGTATACGTACTATATTCACTTAAGCACAATATAATTAAGTATATGCACAATCGATATTTAAATACTTATAACTGTAATGTTCTTTATCCATAGATATTCTTAAATAAATATGTACCAGGATATTAGGTACATATTTCGTGATATAAATTTACCTATTTCTTACAAAAAAAAACATATCGTCAAATATCCTGAAATCTAACTACATATGTAATTATATGTAAGTAAAATAACTACATTTATAAAATGGTATTTATAAATGTTGTTAGATTACTACTAGGTACTATTTATTCAAACTATGTTTTAATGTGTTTTTATAACTACTCATAACATAATTACAGTTCGGCTTGTATTTAATATTTTTTTTAAAAATGTAGGTAGTTCAATAAGTATTCGCAGTTTTATCACTCTATAATTTAGATAGATAGACCTTTTGTAATATTCAATTGGTAATAATGCAGTACCGCATTACTTCGGTAGCTATTATATAACTATATAGTTCTCAAAATTATATTTAATCTCACATAGGTACAATTTTTTCGCTTCTACTTATATCAATTTTGATTTGAAAAGAAATTGATAATGTATAAAAATGCTCAATCTTTTATTTTATTATTCTTACCCGGTGCTTGAACAAACTTTAATCTTTGAAAATAAACAATAATATAAGCTTTACCACCGCCATCAAACTATGTAAGTGCATCCTAAATAGGTGCCGTATTTTATTTTATACTAATTCGTATATAATCATATTGTGATGTGTACATAATTTTATATTTAAGTATAATTTTCACTATTTATAAGGTCAAATTAATATCAAATTACATATGTTTAATGCATTAAACTTTTACACCACGTTGGTCTTTTACATAACTACTAATAGGTATTACGTATCTACCTAAAACCAAACCTATCCACCTACTAACTTACCTACCTGCCAAAGTGGACTTTAAATAAATATAATCTTAGCTATTTCTACCATCAAGCTGCTTGCTTCGTGAATAGTTCACGAAGTTGTAAAAACGGCAAAAATGATTGAATAATAACATCAGAATTATATCTGCATTTGCCAATTTGATAAAAATTTGTAAAGACGTTTAAATAGTTGTAGGTATTACTACATACCTACTAGTATTCTATGATTTCTTCATTAGGTACATAAAGTCGCGGATAATAATATCGCTGGTATTGTTTATACCAGTAATATTATTCCTCGACTTATGTCATAATAGCGAATAATTTTCACGTGTTAATGGTACGCACTATTGACTCAAAATTGAAATAAAGGAACAAGCGCAAACATATTAATAATAATAATAAAAAAAAAAGCTAAATATGTGATCCGATAAGAGTTCATTATCTTCATTTAAAACATGTAAAGTAATTAGCACTCGAACTGGAAATGTCCTTAAAGGACTTGTTGATGATAACAACTTTGTTCGTAATTTATGCCTGTTTTTGTATAACTCGACACATCGAACGCAGCCATTCGCATAAAGTTGCACGTCGAAAGTTAAATGTAAAAAATAATGGTTTCGTGAAAACCGAACTATAACGAGTCAAAACAAACCATAGAGTTAACATTTTTGTTGGTTCGGTTTTATGGAGTTAACATTGTGGCGAATTTACTTATAGAATCTATGGGTTTCACTGTCACCGATGACATTTCACGAGGACTTGACATTGACATTTCTTATTAAGTTAAATTCAGTTTGAAATTTAACGTTACGCTTAAGAAGTATAAATATAAATTGTATAGTTTTATTTGTTTATTTACATTGTAAAAGAATTACAACGTCTAAATATAAAATTATAAATAAATATGTCACCGAAAGACGCAGAAATTCCGCAAGCTCCTGCTCAGAAACCCAATCCACGGAACAATGCTACAATGTTCAAAATATTTCAAAACGTCCAATACAATATCGTTCAACATAAGAAATATGTAAAAGAGATTATTAAATTATACAAGAAGGTAATTATTTTTTTCTCAAAGTTATTTTACTATATTGGCCCTTTATTTTCTGAGTTACGCATCTATGAGGAATGACATTTCAATATATTAAAATGTAACAGTTATAAAAATTCAATTACAACATTAAATTATTTAATAATGTTACAAAGTTTGTTTTTTTTATATAACTGGAATGGTAAACAAATTGAGAGCCAGTTGATGTTGGTTGTCAACCTTGCCTATGTGAAGAGTGCTATAGACATATTACTAAGTATGCAATCTCCCATCGACAAGTTCTCATATTTGTACTCTTTATAACCTGTAATTTAACTACTATATCCTACCGTTTACCAAAAAATAGCTGTTTTGTAATTGGTGAGACAGACATACACATACAGATGATGACTTTGTAGGAAGTCCACCTTTAGTTACTATAATAATATTATAATAACTGAATATTTCTTTACAGTTAGATCAAGATACTTTTCGTGAAAGTTTTAAGAATGCTCTACACTACTTGTTCACATTTGGAGACACCAGTGCCAATATAGATCGTGTTATACAATTTGTGGCCACATTCTGCACTTCCCTTGATGATGAAGAGGAATTCTTGTTATTCATATTTGATATTATATTTGATGTAAGTACTGCAAGTTTACACATATCATCAAGATGGTCCCTGTAATGTATAAACTTTGTTAGTCTAATAGGCTTACCCTGCTTCTTGTATGAAGAGGTGAAGGGGTATAAGACTGATATGGTTTTTTCAAAAGTATGTGCTATATTAAAGAGAGTAACTGGTTCCATGGTTATATTGTAATAATAATTAACAGATTCATCATACATTTGTACACTTAATGAGTTTATATGAAAGTATATCATTAGTCTATCCAACCTATATTAAACTCAAATTTATTTTATATTTACTTTATTAATAAAATTGACATCCATATATTGCAGTGCCAATGTGTGTCTGGACAATCAGTGAGGTATCGAGCCAGCCAGCTGCTGGCAGCTGTGTTGTCTGCTCTTGGAGAAGATGCCTCTCTTGATGATGACCTCTGTGATAAACTACTCGCTTCACAGGTACAGGAAATAATTAACTTTATACACATATCTCTTAATTGCAATTTTTATTTATTAACTATTATTCACATTTTTATTTTACAAAAAAATACTTCAACATAATACATATGTGTCAATGTGGAATAATACCCATTCATATATATTTTATTTCTTATGCTTCTCTCCTGCGCTGACAATAAATACTGGTGGGGCACCAGTGGAGGATGATATAATGAGCATGTGGTCAGGTCGGTTAGCACAGTGTGGTAAATTCACCATGATTTTATCACAATGGTTTCCAAGGGCTCCACCTGGAAGGTGGAGGTCAAGCTGACATGGTACATTGCTAGCAATGGGGTTATTAGTCCACATTACCGAATATACCTTCCTCCCGCCATTCATTTATTATAACACTAGTCTAGGTTCTGTATATCCAAATGTAAGGTAAAATGTGAAACTAAGAGACTATTTTACATTTTTGTATTATTTAATAGATGCAACGCCTTCAAGATACTCGAGGTGCAGTGCGATGCCGTGCTGCACTAGCATTGCAGCGGCTGCAGAACCCAATGGAGCAGGATGACGAGGTGACCCGTGCCTACCGTTTCCACATGAGTTGTGATCCAAGCTCTTCTGTTAGAAGGTTTGCAAATACTGTGTATTAGTAGGATTCCAGATATTTTTTTTGTCCTTCCTAAGGTATTGCGACATATATTTTATATATATCAGAAATATTGAAATAGTAGTCTAAAAAACAAAAGTCAAACTAGAATTACAATGAATACTAATTATTACAATTGAAATTAATAATATAATGTGTTCATATATATATATGTATATAGTAAAACATGAAACAGACAAGTTAATAAAAAAAATTTTTTAATATTTATTAGTTAACTGTCAAAACATAATTATAGTTTAAAATGATTACATATTTTAATAAAGCTAATTATAAAAACTTATATAATAAACTAGTTTTCCGAATATAAAAGTAACAATATATTTTTTTAATATCTTTTATACCATTGTGTTTGGCATGTATCTAAAGTAATCTATTAAAACTACTAGCCATGTTAAGAAACGAACTTTAGGGATTTGGTCCGATAGCATATTGATGTTTATACATTAAAAGTTTATAATTGAATGGTTGGACAGATTTATTATATTGTTTTATTCTTCCCATAAAATGATTTATTTTTTATTTAACAGAGCAGTGGTAATGTCCATTGCAAAATGCACTCGCAATGTTCCATACGTATTGGAGCGACTGTGCGACGTTGACGAGGCTGTGAGGCGAGCCGCATTCTTATACATAGCTGGAGTTAATGTCACACAACTAAGAGTGAGACAACGAGTATTGACTCTAAAGGTAAGAATTTGTTTATATTTGCAATTAGTAATGTAGGACCAAAAGTTGTAATTATTTATGTTGGCTTTACGTATTTATTAATCTTACGTATATTACAAATGTTGGATACATTGTGTACACAACGGTGTCACTCTAATTAGTTTAAAATAGAAAATAGTTACTTAATGTGATTGATTAATTCATAACGACTAAATCTTTCTATAAAGTCTACTTGAATATTAAAATATTTGTTAGTGTTTAACTGTGTAATGACAATTGCTCGCAGGAAAAAAACAAAACAGTTATAGTTAAAAGAGGTTTATAAAATGTTTAGCATATCTGAACTGGATGGTATTCTAAGAGCAAATAAATATTTATATGACGTTAAAATACATATTGATGTTTTTCACAGGTAGGACTCACGGAGCGTAGTCAACGCGTGCGTCGTGTCGTAGAAGAAATCGTAATTCCTGGCTGGTTAGCCACATTTAAAGGCAATATTGTAGATCTGTTGAAAGCCATACGTTTAGATAACGCCCATGACGCTAAAGACTCGCAGTATGTCGCTGGGAAGCTTTTAGAATCGTTATTTAAGTGAGTAATTGTGAGTTATTTCGCTGTCATTAGGTTGACTTCTGTGATTTATGAAAATTAAGCGTAATCCAATTTCCAAGTGTACAGTTTTGAATTTCATATATTACCTATAACTACATTTCATGTTTACGAATAACTGATCTTTATTATACACTAGCTGTATCTCACAGTGCTGTCCATGTAAATACACCACAAGTTACTTACCGATACTGCTAGAATTTCTTTAATCTGTCCATTACATACAAAAAATCGAGTATTTCTCTTTTGTATTATTAGTATAAATACATTTTTAGACAATACGAAAAACAACTGGCTAATCAGGGTCAATTTGCCCTTGCCTCGTTGAGTATTATATAATGTATTGTGTTTTTGTAGGCGACTACCAATTTCGGAACTCCTAGAATGGTTGCCAATTGATAAAAATCTGAGACTGATACCTGCTGAAAGGCTGAATAAGGAAACGGCGTGGTACTGGCGTCATCTCTCTGAGCATCTGCAAAAGATTGATGACGATGAGACCTTAGAAATTATATTACCTGATTTGATAGTACTAACAGGTTATATAAGAGTGTAAGTATTCAATTGTTTACAGCATACTTTCCGATACTAACTTGGCATGGCACAATACAGTAAAATATCTTAATATTTTTAATTTTTATTTATACTGTTTATTGCATCAGATACAGATAATTATTAAAATAATAAGTTCATATAAGCTGATATAAAAGGCAGTGTATCACGAAGCAGTCTCTTCCAGACTGCTTTGGGTAAAGTAAGTAAAAATAAGAAAAATTGGTTCAGGAGTTAGGGTAAATATTTTCTGATTTAAGAAAATTAGGGGGTCACGCCGTCACATTATCACCTGTAATGAAGATAGATATATTAGTGTTATTTAGTTAAGCTAAATCTAAGCTAGTTGATGTATATATTTACTGCTGTATGCTGTACAACCCATGTTATTCACTGATACACTTAGAATACAAATGAAATTAGAATTAGAATACACTATTTTAATGATTGGTCAAATTTTTTGCGTTAATCTACATCATCACTCACACTCAATGTGAATTCACTCATTAAAATTAATGGATTTCTAGATGGTTTGATAATACAATTGGACCATATATGTAGCTCTGCTTTTCCAGGCAGGACAATGTCTTTGGAATCCGCTTATCATTCTAAGTTTTTTTTCTTCTATCTCTGGCGATTTATGTTACCATTAGCCAATTCTATATTTGAATTGCCTCTATACAGTATCGTGGAGTCTCCGTGCGAAACGGAGAGCTCATCTCCAATGATGGACACACGACAGTATGTGTTGCACGAGTTGGGCTGCCTGTTGCGAGTGTACGACGCAGGTGACCCTACCGGTCGCGCCGCCTTGCAGACACTCGTCACTGATTTACTCACAGGTACAGTAAAACATGCAACTACACAGGATTAAAATTCATCACGCGGTATCAATGGTGCCAATAATTCCTCCGTAAGGTAAAACCAAGACACAGTTATACTAATTTGATATAAAGAAAGCATTACAAGTATCCATATCGAGAAATAATATTTATACATTATTTTTCTTATGATTTAGAAATAGAATACTGTTTTATATCTAATAGCAGTACTTCCTAACCTATATGTAACAAATAAGGAAAGAATAACGGGAAATTCCATCATTTAACTAAACAGTTTATTCTATTTCTTCAGGTGACTTTTTTTTGTATATAATAATGAAATGGTGCACCCGCCCGCTAATGGTTTACGCTGGCGGGCCACCAGTGGAGGGTGATAATATGAGCATGAGGTCAGGTCAGTTAGCCCATCGTGACAAATCAACCTGTAATTTATCACGATGGTTTCCAGGTCGCGTACGTGCGTGCTCGCGTGGAGGTCAACCTAACATAGTACATTGCTAGCAATGGGGTCAAGGGTCCACATTACTAACAATCCCCTTCCCCCTCCTCAGGTGACTATGGACCTTTGAATTCGGATGTGATACGCGCCTTCGTGTCTGCATTGGAGCTAGTAGTGCCCGATATATCTCAACGTGTGGAAGTCATCAACGGTGTTATATCAGCATTACGTGATCCCCCCGAAGTTGAACAGTCGCCGCCGCCGCCGCCCGTCGACTGCGCGGAGGTCAAACTACAGGTACCTAAATACTGGCAAATATTGAAGGAAGGAAGAAGGCAAACCAATTGAATAATATGTAAATGTATAAACAAAAACATTTATATACACATGTTGAATTAGATAGTCTCTTTGCTTATATTATATTTAAACTAATTTGCTTTATAATTTAGTATGACTTCTTTACATATTTTTATTTATTAAACATTAACCAAACGCACCGGACGATTCATAGAAATTATTAGAAATATTAAACAATAAACTAGATTTTATGTGTAAATTATTTTTGTTACCTACTGGATTAAAAAATGATCAATACAATATTCACATGTCGAGCGTCATATATCATAACAATGATCTGTGATAAGTCTTTGAATATCTTATCTTATATTTCTTACAGAGAGCCAGGCTTCGTGTATCGCTAAATGTAGCCATAGAGGCGCAGGAAGAGGCTGTCAGGGAACAAAATTACGCCCTCGCTGCAGAGTGCAAAGCTAAAGTGAGTTTTTAAAGTTAAAGTAAAAATTAATTCATATAGTTTCGCCACTTATGCAAGTCATATTTTTTATAACTATCTCTACCATACAGTTGTCTAGCTGTTTCAGTTGAGAACTGATATGAAAGTCAACTGGTTCATACATTTCTTAATGTTTTTATTATTTTGTTTGTCAGTTTCTATTTTTAGTTATTAAATAGTAATGTAATAAACTCCGTTACATGGTTATGATTATACAAGAATATTTATATTAATTACTAACGTGATATCAAACAATAGTAGTTAATATAATTATCAGTTACTATTGAATAATTTTGATTTAGATAAGTACATGTAATTTGATTTATTCTTTGGTACAAACGAGCTGATCTCTCAAACTCTCTTCGAGCATGGCACCGAACTCACAATATTTAGTTAAATTCTGATATATATTGTAGTACACTTTCACTTTTAACTGTCTTCGTAGTCTGAAATGTATAGATGTAGGTAAAAATTTAATTAATCCAAATATATGGTAAATACAGGATTACATATATGCTTACGTTGTCTGATATAAAATAATTCTTTAGGTTCTTATTAAAATAATATATACTATTTAGGTGGAAGACATACAAAAGAAACTAGAAGAGTTGACTGTACAGGCCACGCCACCTCCACCAGCTACTATTACTGTAAGTTTTAATCGATTTTAATATGAATGTATTAATAGATGTAAATATATCGAAATGTTTTGGTTGTACAGGCGACTGATAAGAGTATGACATGAAATATAGATATATGAATAAATTAACAATGTGTCACAAATTAAAGAATGAATACATACATTTAATCATAAATGTATTCATCAGTAGTAATTACTGAAAATATAATATTAATGAGAAATTGCCGGCCTATATGGCAAATAGAAAATCATCTACATAGGCGAAGTACGTAATTCGCCCCTGTAGTACGAGTTAAAAATTGTTTAGTTTAAGTATGTCACACGAAGGACTAGAAGTGATATTAAAAAAAAAATAACCAAGCATGATGCGTGAATACAGTACCGCGTTCATATACCAACCCAAAATTATACTACTAGGTGATAATGTATCAAATTATAGATTTATTAGGTTCTAAATCAAATATGTTATATTGTTATATAACAGCTAACAAGTCGTATTTGGCTATTACAGACAATAAGAGAGAAGATTTCAGATACAGATACTCTTAACAAATGCCTGACAATACTTAATTGCTCACTTGATACGCCGCAACTGAAAACAGTGACACCAATGCTGCAAATGATGTTCAACGAGTTAGAGGTAATAATTAATAAAAAGCTTACAAGAAAGAGTTAAAACATATTAGTACTGATATCTATAGAAATTTATTCTATAGATTCTATTTTTCCCATCAAAACAATCGGGACATAATCGAAAATTATTGAAAGAAACATGTTACCACATATGTATTTATTATTTTTTGTCATTATGCAGTTCTAATCAGTAGTATCAGTAATCAATCTAAAATGTTTCCGTCATCCAAATCAACCATTTCACACGTGAACCTTAAAATCAAAGCACCTCTACCCTCCCCTTGTCAACTGCTGGCTAATATATAATCAAGCAAAATTAATTTTAGGTGGAAATTTTTCAAAATCCTGAAGTTTTGGTGAATGCTCTGGAAACAGTAGCACTGTTTGGAATGCTTGATATGGAGTTCGCAAAAGAACATAAAGCTTTCTTTTTTGCTAATGTAAGTATATATAGTTAAATAATATATTTTATGTAAATGCGGAACAGAACCGCGGTAATAGTCAGCAGTAAATAAAATATTATTTTTGTTAAAGCGAAGATTGCGGAACCATTATCTTAACATATAATTTTGTGTATTATCATATATTATTTTTATATATTTTTCTCTTTAGCATTAAGTTTCTTCATTTTTACTACAAGGCTCATATATATATCACTTTTGTTTCATTGTCAGATTACACTGTCGGCTGTAATACTATTTCATTGTCAGATTATTGGTCATATATTTATGTGTATGGTATATTTTTGTGTATATTTGTAGGAATATTTATGTATTTACATGTGTCTATATATATATTTATTCATGTATATTCTATAAAATATTATAATATTGTTTGCACCGCCAACAACTTATCTCTGCACAACTCATGGTTGACTGGTAGAAAATGCCATTAGGTGTTAAGTCCGCCATATGTACTTTTTACCTGTGTATGACGTGCATTAAAGTTATTTAAATAAAAAAATAAATAAAAATAAATAGTATTTAACATGTAATACTAAAAACTCTAAAATGTATAGTTATACTATACTTTTTAGAGTTTTTAGTAATTTTTGACCTGTTTGTACAGAATAACATTATGAACAAGTAATTATTTTATCTTTTATGCATTGGTTTGTCTTGTAATTGTTATATTTGTGTTGATCCAATTTTAATGTAGTGAATGATCAGTGTGTAAATGTTACCTGACAAATTAGTCACAACTACTTTTTTCTTTATATTAATGTACTCTATGTGTGTGTCCCCTTCAACGCAAGAAAAGTTTTATCTATTTATCTATATATTTTCTCAGCTAATAGACACATCGAATGAACCCGTGGTATCTCAAGTACTGCGTTGTATCTCGGACCTGCTGTGTGTACACGGCGCGCGACTGTTCGACGACGATACGCTGCCCGCCCATACGTCCCACACCTCGCATACCACCCGTCCCAGCTGTGGACTCTCCGATGCCGGAGAACCTGATGGTGATTGCACGCCCACATTTACAATAAACCCGTGTTCATATGACATACGTTAACAATAATAAGCTATCGTTGCCCATAGACTCGTATACCTATTAGATCACAGCCCAATGGTTATTAAGTTTGTTGGTTTCGTTAGTTTGCACAATTTTAAGAAATAACAAAAACAACTTTCTTTCCCAATAAGACTATATCAAAATATGAAGTACGAGCTATTAATCATGAGTTTGTTTGTTTCTGCAAACAAACTAAATGATTGAAATAAAAAATAATCTATCTTTATATCAAATTTCAATAAGACTCGACAGACAGACACACGGTCACTTTATATTATTAGCATATATCATAACTTTCTGTGCTTAAAATATCAATTTACCTATGTACAATTACAGACATATATTATTTACAGGTGACATATCAGAGTCGGCTATATCCTTGACTCCTTCCCACAGCACGGTCATTGAATTGCTACTTAAAATAATGGATAGCACAGTAAGTTTACCATAAAATTTTTAAAAATACAATGGTTAGGTTCATAGTGATCTTGCCGGTGTCAACTTACGTACTGGCACTCAACTTCATTTTACGACGATTTATGACATTTTTTTTTATTGCATTTATGATTTCCTTAATGTGATATAAATATGTATTTCTTTGTGTTTTGTCAGTTATTCTCAACTGAGGTAACCAATCTGATAGCGATAAAAGAAAATTGAGTATAAGTGATAAAAAATGTCTTTTATTAATATATTAGCTGCTCGCCCCGGCTTCGCACGGGTGTACATGTATTATACATATAATATATAGAGTGATTCAAGAGGAAGGTCCTCTTGAATTACTCTATCTATTAAAAGAAACCTCTTCAAAATTCGTTGCATAGTTTTAAAGATTTAAGCATACATAGGGACAGACAGCGACAGCGACTTTATTTTATACTATCTAATAATGATAATGATATAATTTTAAACTTTGTATTTAATAATAGAATATGAAATCTATTTCGAGTTTATTTATATTGTATGCCTTTAACTCGAGTAAATTTAAGATGGATCTAAATACTTCTATAAATAATATTTAGTATCTTTTTACCAGTGTGCGAACTACCGGTTAATCATCGTGGAAGGTCTCTGTCGGCTCCTGCATTTAGGACATCTCGAGTCTCCATCTATACTCAGCAGATTGCTGTTACTGTGGTTTAATCCTGCTACAGGTAAACTGTTGGAATAATAAATAAATAAAAAAACAGGATTTCAAACCTATTTCTGCATCTGTAACCTACAATTTCTTAGCTTCCCAGCGTCGTTTCAGTACGAACATTGTTATTAATAAAAATTATATTCAATTAATATTTATCTCCAATATCTTTCATTTAAGTTACCAATTTCTATAAAAAGTCTTTAAAAAGCGTATAGAAAAAGATATTATAGTTACTTATACTGAAAATTTCAGTGGAAGAAGACATGTTGAGACAAACTATAGGCGTTTTCTTCCAAACATTCCCTGCTACAGTTGACGGGGCTCAAGAACAAATTCAGGTAAGACTTACTTTATTATTAAATATAAAAAACGACTAACAACTTGATGAGTTATATAACGGAAACTTTTAATATAAATCATATAATTCAATGTAATTTTATTTATATAGTTAGGATTAATTGAGGAAAAATCATAATAAACCCCACATTGCGACCGCTTCACAAGAAAGTACAGTGGAATGCAATTTTGTAATAAATGCTACTTTTTAATGTTTTTTATAACTGTGTACAGTTAAGTGTCTAAATTGAGGTGGGATTTTGTAGAAACATATTGTTAGTTGGTATTGGAAGCGGCTAGTGATTTCGACAGCTCTAGGGACTTGGAATGATAATTTCATACGAATGAATTTGTATCCTTATTGGTCATGTAATAATGAGAAATTTATTTTTTGAAGAGATCATTAAGCTGTTTAACTCTTATTATACCGAATAACACACTAACCAGATGTAATTGTCTACAGGAAATCCTGTAGACAATTCTAAATAGAATTCAAAATTATAATTCAATTACAAGAAACGCTGATTTAGACGTCGAGCTCTAGCCAATAGTTGTTGTTCCTGTGTATCCATAGTTAAATTTGGACAAAATTAGTACTTCACATAGTGTAACATGAACTCTTTTAGTTAATAAGTTTGTTACAAAATTCATATATGTTCTTTTCAATTCGCAATTGAAAATAACATCTAGAATATTTTCAATCGCGAATTAAAAATAACATCTAATAATTTCTGTATAGAAAGCTACATTGCCCACACTGAGAACGCTAGCCAACGCGCCATCAAGTTCACCTCTAGCTGAAATAGATCAAGAAGCAGTAGTACGCTTCCTTGTATCACTCACTCGTGTAAACCATGAGGTAAGTAATGGTTTTTTTTTGTAATTTGATTAGCAAGCTGACTGCCCACCTGATGGAAAGTTGTCACCGACGCGTAGAGGCGTGACCATACGGGCCTTGCGTTATCTTAAACGTCTGTGATACCACTCCTGCATTGTCTTTCCGAAGGACTAAGATGTCAGGCCTCTCTTATGTACTATAATTTCACTGCCTTATCTCACCCTTCAACCGATACACATTGAGTGCCTATCCGTGGACCATATTCGCACATCTCATTACAGAGTAAAATTCCATGCGGACTATATAGATGAACGGTGTAGCTTAACAGAATAATTTTGCCACACACATCAACATACTGTAGTAGTATTTTTTCGAAACAATACAATGTAGAAAATCTACCATATTTCCAATTCCAAACCATATTCCCACCTGTAATTCCACATACACAACCAGTGGAATTACATGGGTTGTGGTAATTACTTTTTAGCTATCTATCTATATGTACATACTATACTATATATATAAAAAGGCTTGTATATTCGAATTATTACACATTATGTAAACGGGATATTTAGCATGTATTAAGGCAATATTAAACAAATAAAAAATGTATTTTTTTATAGTTAATGGACAGTCAGGGCGCCATGGCAATGGTGCTATGCAACTACGTGGTGCGGAGGCCCACTTGCCCAGCGGCGGGATTGGCTTGCCGCATGCTGGCATTATTGGCCGCGCCGCGTGACGCTCTACTTGCTCACGAGCTTGCTGCACGCCTACGGGACCTTTGCCTCGTTAGTATTATTTTTAATAATAATAATATTCACAAATCACATAGCGCCTTCTAGTTCCGATCTAAGCAGACTTTGTGTTATAACTAGACAATTAGTAGAAACACTGGTATCTGGTTTTGAGCGGACTTTAAAAGTAAAATTGGTCAATATATTTCAACTAAACAAAAACCTGTTGATTCGGCAAGTAATACACAATAACGAGTTCAGACAGGCATCATTGAAAAATATTAATAATAAAGTATGTTTTTTCTCTAAGATAATATAATAACAACCTTAAATGATTTATAGAAACTTCCGGATAAGCAGTCGTGCCGTAACCTTACACGGTATTTAGGTTCACTAGAAGCTATGGAACGGACCAGTCTCAACAAAATTTCCAATACAGGTAAGAAAACTGAAAAAAGTCAAATTAAAGCTATAGAATATTTATCAGTCATTATATCATATAATGCTTGTAGCCTAAATATATTTTTGGAAACGCATTACTAACATTTTCGTACACCCGAGTTAGGGTACTTTATGTATGATCCAGTTTTAGGCACTTCTTTAAATTCAGTTTTGAGGTATCCATCGTCACTGGAGCGAGTAAACTTTTATGATGCAGTGGAAACTCGGTACGAAATACAACCTGGTATAAAAAGTTCTAAATGTGATGCATGACTTAACCATCTTGTTTATAATTTTGTCGCTTTTTCTTTCAACTGAATAAAATAACTCGTCAGACAAAGACAAAACTGTTCTATACCTATAAATAATATCATAAGGCTTCAGAATTTTTATAAGAACTTTCAATTTGTTACTATTACTAGCTTCTGAAATTCTTATAATTCACTGAGTAAGATATAATGAGTTTTTATACATATTTATAGGTATTACTGAGGGAATAATACAAGATGAAGATACTTTACCGCCGCTCGGACGAGCTACATCTTCTTTACGTAAGTAGAATCTTGTACTTATATTTATAAATTAAATTATATGTTCATATGTATGGTGAGCCTAATACTATTTAGAAATTAGAGTAGTTGCAATTATAAAGAGACGTGAAGTGAAATTTTAGAGCGCAGAGGCATAATACCCTAGTCCTAATGGATGGTAAACCAAGAAGAGTATCATGATGCATAAAAAATAGTAGCAATGCAATCAGATGCATAAAAAATAGCAGAACCATTACTTATGCATTGCACGACGCCTACGACAATGTTACTACCCACATTTTTTTATAAAAGTCTTGTATGCATATATCGTGTATATACGGTATATTGTGTTTGTTTATTTATATTTTTTATGAGATCTCAGTAGGATTTTTTTAGATCATTAGGTATTAACGTCTCATTTTATCGTTTGTTTTAATTTGCACTAGTGAGACTATTTTTTATACTATTATGTAGGCATACAGTTCGAAAGTGGCCGCTTCAGTCGTCCATCCAGTGGGTGTTTCAGGTGGCTTGCGTGTATGTTAGGATTTCTTTTTCAATATTGTTTTAATAAATAGTAAAAATATGTATTTATAAATCAAGTACTTGCCATATTATCAACAATAACTATTTGTAGTTTTTAGTATACAAACTTTTGACAGTAGATAAATCATGACCGCATTTGAATTTAGAACGGGTGTGGAATTTAGATATGACTTAAGAATAAAGATGTACCATAAAAAAATAAATATATTAGAGTAAAAATATTTATACCTAAGCATTATGGAATATTTAAAATATCATTTTAAGGAAATTATAAAATTGTAGGCGAATTTAAGCAGAATGTTTATAGCATTTGTAGTAAATTACCTTATTATCTAGTAATAATTGTGTAGATTTTGATTGATTAAATAATACAGAATACACCTAACTATGCCAAAATTAATGTATATGTAATATATTGTTCACTATTTCTTTTTAATGTGTATTTAAATTGTACTTTAAAATATATGATACCATTCTGCAGCGCAACCTCTAGCACGCAGCACGCATGTCGTTATAAATGAAACGGTCGAGGAAGAAGTCGAAATCGATGAAACATCCCCTACAGAGATTATATCCAGGATCTCCGGAGATAAAGGTATCTACACGTTTTATATAAATCAAGAACTACAACCAGTGCAATCTGATCGACTGCTTAATACAATCAAATTAACATATCACAATCAAATTCACCAATTTCGTATTCCAGATGTTGCACAGAGTACCACTATAAGCAGAACTACCAGCACTTCACCGGGTTCAGGCGAAGTCATTGAGGAGGCGGCAGTTGTCGGCCCCAAAGTAATAGCCGCCTCTGACGAATCAGACTCGAGTGGTGTTTCACCAGTCAAGAGATCAAAAATCAAAGGTAAGTAATTACATACATTTTTTACGAAGCCGGCGTTGGTATCTCCTTTAGGCATCCGGCCCCTTGCTTCCTAATTGTGGTAATGAGAACAGGAACATTATAGGGTTTTGACGTAGACGAGGAGACGTTGTAAAAAGTCATCTGCATAAACACTGAAATAGTGGATAAGAGGTGACATCTTTGTCCTCTGGAATGGCAATGCATGAGTATCACTGTCGTCATATAAAAATATCATAATAGGTAGGTAGGTTTAAGTATACAGACGACGGTTACCACTTACCATTATATGGCCCATCAGCAAATGTGCCATTCCGTTTACATTTAAAAAAAAAAATTATATTGGTATGTAGGTCTTCTCAGAAATAACAAGGTTAACATTTTGTGTGTGGTTGTTACAACTATGACTAACTTTATTACAAATTTCAGGAAATAAAAAGAAACTTTCTTTAAACAAACAAACTGCTGATACTGGCAATACTAATGCTAAAGATGATAAAGACAACAATATTAGAACCAAAACTAAAAGTAAAGTAAAAGAGACGGAAAAGGGCGGCGTAAAGAGGAGTCGATCACAACGATCTGTGGTCGACATTGGTAGAGGTATGTTGTAACAATAATAGTAATTTAACTAATAATTTAGTTTATTCATTTCATAGTAATTTTGCCATCTATCTTTATATATTTATTGTTTATGATTATGATTTATTAATTTTAAATACAAATAAATTACATATATTAGAAATCTAATGAGAAGTAGCCCTCAAGTGTTAGTATTTAAAAATTAACACAATTTGAAAATTATTATTGAATATTATTTTTACATAGCTCAAAATAAAAAAGCAGAAGAAGCTCAACCAAATAAGAGTCCACCAGGACAACAGTCGTCACCGCCTCTGCAAGATCTAGACAGCACCAACGTAACAATTCGTAGATCCACTCGAGGAGTGCAGTCGGGCTCCAGCCCAGACTCAAACTGTTCTAGCGGTAAAAATGAAAAAAAGAATGAAAAGAAAAAAAATATAGGTATTCACAAATATATCTATCAGACACGATTAGTTATAGTACAACTAGTGGAGCCCCACACGGATCCCCCTAGAAATTGTTATATTAATATATACCTACCGTATATATAATAATATTGTACATGTACTCTTTAATTTCTCTACCATAATTTACATATATTAGATAGAAATGTATGAAAGAGATCGACACCACTGTAATATCTTGTTTTTTATTACGATGTTGTAGTTAACAGCTCCAATAAACTGAACTTTTTGTGATGGAAACGCGAATGTTAATAGTAAGAAGTGTTTATGAATTATAGATCACTTGCATTGTACTTCCCTCTTTTGCCATCCGCTCATGGTTCGTGTAAAAATATTACGATACTTCGTCAATCGGGTCTTTCTTTAATAATATTCAACTAGTTTACCAAACATTTCAGCAACTTTTTCAAATCCATAGTCCTTCGAGTTGGATATTGACCAGCAAGCAACCTATTGGTAGGATATTTATAAAACCTCTTCATTAATTTTGACAGCAAAGAAAAAGACTCAACCATCAAAGCGAGCCTCCAACAGTTCAATGTCCACACGCAACAGCGCAGGATCCAGAAACTCTATGCTCGAAGATTCTGCTGACGAGACGCAACTTCACACAATAGTTTACGAAAAAGAATTGGTAAATAATGTTGAATATATGTATTTGATTCAATAATCATCACCATATTATTTTTCTGATCGATGATAATGGAATGGTGCACTGGCCTGCGCTGACGGTTTACGCTGGCCCCCGCCAGCGTAAACAGTGGAGGATCATAAGTTGAGTATGAGGTTAGGTTAGTTAGCCCATCGTGGTAAGTGCACAATGAATTTATGACGATAGTTTCCAGGGGGGACCACATGGAGTGCCGGGTTGACGGCAATATACCATACATTTCTAGTAATGAGGTTATTAGTCCAAATTACTAAAAATCCCCTTCCCCCATATTATATAATAGAACTATGTTCCACAGGCTCGATAATTTACTATTTATTATTTTATTCAGACGACCGTTGTCTTACGTATTAGGCGAGTCTCTATTATGTATATAATTCGGGTCCTCTCTAAAATCATAAAGTTACAAAATGAATAACTGCTTTATCACATCCTTCAACCAAAACACTTTTTACAAAGGATGCTGCTTGGCGGCTTATTTTATTATTATAATTAGGTTAGACCAAAATACGCATTAAAAAATTAAACCACGTTATTTGTTTTTTTTTTGTTGAGGTGAATTGGGCTTTTATCAGGTGCTTAGACCTTTAGCACTGCAACCTACATAGATCTATTCTGCTCACCCTTTTTCTGCGTTTGCTGCCTAGACCTGTTAGGGACAAGTATTGAAGGATATTCTTAGAAGCGATGGTTTTTATCTCCTCCAGTTAAATTAGTGCAATGCAATGTTTTTGTAATTGTTATCCCAATCAATATTAAAATATCAATAATTTATTACAGGAACAATCACTACTAAATGATTCCAGTGTATTGGCAGACCGATCTAAAGGAAATGTGACCATACCGGAAACACCTGACGCGAGTGACGAGTAAGTTTCTGTTATTTATCAATATACAAGTATATTTCAGGTTGGCAGTTATACATTTAAATAAAAAGGAATCCTTAAAATCGGTTCAGAATTATAGAGAATCTTTTTTTTTTTTCTCATATTCATCTGTTCTGTAGATAATGGTCACATCTTTTTTTCAATTGAGCGGTGGTCAAACATTGTCATGTACCTGTTTGTTTTTTTTTCAGATCTGAACCTGAAATTAAAACCAAAGGAAAACGAAATGGGAAGAAAAAATAGGTGTTACTTGTATTAATTTAATAACTTAGGTAATAAAAATATTCTCATATCTTAAACTGGTTTTTTGTGTACTTAACGATGCAGAGCCCATTGAATTTACAAGCTTACACTTGATATTAACATAAATGATATGTTTTATTATATTATTCTAATTACTAGGAATGTTCACGATTTACAATTACTATTTCACAATTTGAGCAGAAATAATTATGAGTACTATGATTAACAATTTGTGTTGTGTAACAACAATTCAACTGAATCTTAAACGTCATATTAAAATGTTGTTTGTTTTATAACAATAAGTTTATTGAACAACAAAAAGTTCTAAAGAGTTTTTGTTACGACACTATGGTGCTGGTATTAAAGAAAATTATAACAAATATTATAAAGTTTCTATGGTCGATTTTTTAATCAGTATGACCCTTTTTGCGAAGGACAAAACAAGCACAAATATATCTGTCCTTATCGCTTAGTGGTATGAAAGCTAGACGCAAATTATTTAAAAATATAAAAAACATTATACATATACATAAGATATAAACAAAGCTCGAACTTTACTAGTAGTTGCTAGTAAATAGGTCAAACTGTGCGGTAAATTAATTTTAGAGTTCAAATACAAGTGATAAAAAGATGTACAAACATATTTTTTTTTATACTACGATGGTGGTAACGATGCATCTATTACATATATGATACGCCATAAGTATTAGGAACATAACGGTACTAATCTTTTATCTTGAGTTCTCATAGTTCTGAGTTTGCGACGGTACTTGATGTTTATACCATTCATTATTCGGTTGAAAATATTGATTTTTTTGGTCCCATTGTCTGTTGGTATGGAAATTCTTCTCCCACGGTTTCCACCTGTGATCCCAAGCGTGGAAGTCATGATTGTTTGTTAGCTTGTCGTCTTTGGCCTCGTTACTCGCGTAGTCGCCAAATGTCCACCTAAAATATAATAGATGTTACTCGCGCTTTCTTCTGCTGTTTATATAAAGTTTCGTCCACTATTACTCGAGTTCAAATTTAACAAATCCAAATATTTTTATACATGTAGCTCAATTACAAACTCTTATTATATATCAAATTTACCGGCCTTTTCGGAATCATTTCGAGGTGAGAAGAACTGACAAGTCGCAAATATTGTACTTATAAACCTTTCTCGTGAAACTTTCCTATTTATTAATAAAAATTGTATTAATACGTAGTTTAAAGGGTTTAAGCGAACAGATAGCGAAAACCACTTCATTTTATATTATGTAAAGAAATATAACCGTTGCAATAAATGCTTTATCTTTACAAAGATTATCGTCAATAGATGGCATCTGGAACTAAATACACGACTTGGGTACGGTACGGGTACGGGTAGTAGGTAGTATGAATAAATGGATCAGTCTACAACGGGATTGACTGAAACTGAAGGACATGGTAAGTACCTAAACAAACACTTACCTATTACCGTTGTCGCCTTCGTTACTGGCATAGTTTCCGCTAGCGTTCGTGTCCGTGTCGTCTCCGAATCTATTGGCGACATCACCTGGCTTGTTTTTAGAGCGTTGATGCCGTATCCGAATGAATTCTGCTCCGCGTTCGCCAATCATTATTGTTGGTGCTGCTGTATTTGCTGTCGATAAACATTGTCTTTATTAATTATACTTTAACATCAAGACCATAAAATCTAATTTAACATCTCACGAGCTAGACTGAGGTATACTTTGTATTAAGTCTTCTGCGTAGATAACTTTACCTCACCTTTCTCAGCCGCCAAATAGCATGCATTATTAAATTTGTTTCAGTTAAAACGTAAGAAATAACAGTGATATTACAGATTCTTGAATTTCGAAATAGCAACACGTAATATACCGCGGGCTATTTATGTCTATAATACTATTCACCTATATGAGTGGCAGATTCACTCCAAAGAGTAAAGTAAATATACCAATCAGGTTGGCGGTTAGCTCCTGAGATATATCATGTTAACAAATAGTCAATTAACAGTCCATTTCTATCACTAGGTTGTGTGCAAACTTACCTGATATCACTGTAGGCATTATAGAAGCATCCACTACTCGTAGACCTAAAACCAATATAATAATTATGAAATAACGTAAAATAAATTTATTTACCCCAAGTAGACATTTTCATACTGGTTCTAATAAGAAAACATAAAAAATGGTGATAGTTCTAAAATTTTTAAATAAGATTTCCTACAATTATTTCGCTCGGCCTGATGAATGAACGAATGATAACATGTCCCTTCTTCCTGACTATTCTACATGCAGAAAGAGTTTGTCCACCAACTATTACAAGACCAGTCCAAATTTACCTCCTGCACTTATACTTTTCTAGTTTCGCATTATAAATTTAATTTGTTAATAATGAATCCTCTAAAATAACAGTAGAAATTGATATAACCTAAATCTCACCTTCAATGCCATGAACCTTTAACTCCATATCTACAACAGCCATTGGATCCGACTCGGGGCCCATCTTACAAGTTCCCACTTGGTGGTTCTCTGGAGCAGTGTGGTGTTTCGCTAGACATTTGAAGAATTCATCAGTAGGGTTCACACCGCCACCCTGACATACTGTACCGTGCTCCTCGGACGGCGTCATACCGTATTTCTCTCGCAGGATCTAAATATCGAAACAAAAAATTAATCAGCGATACCTAACAAAGAAAATTTGCCTTCTTGATGAGGTATTATGTATGAAAAAATATTTCTATTCAAACTTACTAAAAATATAATGCATCATTAACCGTGATATTATAATATGAATTTAAATAACTCCTACTAAACACCAAAACCTAACTAATTTATATATTCTTATTTATTACGCTTAATTACGCTTAAATACATTTTTAGGTATGTTTATTAGAAATAATGTTAACTAAGAGATCTCTTCCAGTCAACCCAATAGAGCGTGGCATAGGAAGTGTTAGGTGGGTCAAATTGTGCGAATAATAATTTAATAATAATGACAAATATCTATAACTAAAAATAAAAATAACCAAATAATTTAAGGCGATAAACATATTTTTTCTGATTGGGTACCCCCAATTTATGGGTGGTATTTTCCTCCTATTTCCGCCAAGCTGCAGGAGTATCAGTAGCTAGCCTCAAATGCCATTCGTACGTGCCTTACGGTAATGATGACGATTTAAAAAATATATATAACGTTTGTGTCAACTTACCGTAGAATTCGCTAGCCTATAAGCTATTCTTCCAGCCTCGACTAGCACATCGAGGTCGTGTTCATCCAAAAAGTAGTTGGGCTGCATCACTGGAGGTTGCAAAGGATCCACCGATCGAATGCTTATATACCCTCTACTGCGGGGGTGCAGGTTGATACCTGATATGCTAAAATAAAAAATTACATTATTAATAATAACCCTGGACAATCCACACAGCGTTCACACCGTAGCAATCCTAAGTTAAACGGATCTTGTGTTTGGGTACTTTTTTGTAATAATAATATGCACAGAAAACACCCAGACCACTACCAACGGTCATGCTTATGAACACAAATATTTGCATTATGCAAGAAATCGAACCCGCAACTATATGAAGCAATCTAAACTGCTTGACCACCAAGGCACGGTAAGGCATCAAGAATGCGGAGGCATAATGTCGTAGTCTACGTATTGCAATGCATATAGGACAGTACCGAGGCCACATTGATGACCTGAGGTCTCACTATGTATATAGACGAAGGGTGCCATTTACCACTAGGTAGGTGGCCAGGAATGACAAACCTATTCCAGTTACAAAAATATAAATAAAAAAAATAAGTACTTACGAAACTTCTCTTTTGTCACTTAAGTCAGATTCTGGATCTATGATATCACCGCTTCCACAACCGGCGTAAAATCCACCAAAAAAGAATTGCAGGTCGGGATCTCTGCCGCCCGATGAGGCGTATTTAGAGTTCACTATACCAGTTAACTAGAAAATAAGCATATTTATAGTTCATCGTACCTATTTATTGACAGTACAAAAAATTTTGTACAACAGTAAATATAAATATATTTTTTTGAAGGAAATTATATATACTACCCCAAAAACATCAATTATTCTTTCTAAAGAAAATATTTTATATATACTTTATCAAGAAATTTATGCTGCGCTTTATACATGGTACATCTACAAACTGTAGTCTATACTGTAGTCAAACTCGGATAATGTATTATTTAGTAATTGGTTTGATCAATAACGACAATTTGCTTAATCTTGTCTTGTTTGACATTTCTAGAAGATAATTGACAAAAAAATCATCCTTTGCACTTGACACGGTTTTAAGAAAACGGAAAGACGCACTAACTTTAATGTTGAAATTAAGTTCTTGTCGATTTTTTCTAGGGTTTTTCCAAAAACGTAAAACCTATTATACTTACTATAGGAATTTATAGGGAATATTAACTATTGAGCATCAAAGTAGCTAGTTTGCCACGATTATGTTATATAAAAATCCTGGCAGTGAAAAATCACAGCCTCATCTAGTTTCATATTCAGCAGAACATTTCCTATTTTTTTAATATATAATATACATGGAAAATATCCAGATATTATAAATTATAAAGCGTTTGTATCGTAACTAAGGCGGTGTGCGAAATCACTAGACCATCAACAACATGAAACAAAGATTACCTGTGAAAGTCCAGTTCCAGACAAAGGTCCTTCCCGTTTCAACATATAGTCCATTGCAGTAGCCCAATTCAATTCAGGTACTTCAGCCAGCTTGTTCAACGTGAACTTCATTTCTAGACCCACGTGGTTCTGCAGATTCTGACCCACTCCAGGCAATTCCTTAATAGTTGGTATATTGAACTTGTTTAGAGTGTCTTTAGGGCCGATACCGGAGAGCAGAAGAATTTGTGGAGTATTTAAAGTGCCAGCTGATAGTATCGCCTATAAAAAATGACAGTTTTTCATTATAATAAACTTTTGTTGTGCACAGAAAAGAAACAAAAAATCGAATAAAAAAAATTGTAGAAGGAACAGGTCACAGGAACATAGGTCTTTTCTGTAATGCTGTAATCAGTCTTTTACAGACAACCTGGTAACAACAACGTAAATTTTCATTTTATTTTAAAAATTGGGAATAATGTAGTATTTGTATGAGGTTTCTAATATTTTTGTTCATATATGGTGTGTATGTAGGAACATAATGATATATACATTATATTTATCAAAAGAATACTTTTATATATTAGTACCTAAACCAACTTTTAATGTTAATCCATTTTTTCACATTCTTTAAAAAATAATAACTTGGAAAAAAGACGAAGAACTCCAGACACTCCACCACAGTTTTTGCGATAATGTTAAGTGGTGCCCACCTCTTTATTTACTCGTACTGTTTTGGTTTCTCCATTCTTAATATACTCGACAGATTGGACTTTCTTGAGAACCGGGTCTACTATTACTCGTGAAACATGAGCATTGAGCAGAACGTGAAGGTTGTCACGCTTCGCCCCTGGCCGAAGGAAAGTACGTGCTGTACTGTATCGGGATCCATCACTGCAAAAGTGGTTTAAATAAGTAATGGTTGACCGAACCACAAGTATATTTTCTAAGAAAACATCATATTCTCAGAAAATATAACTGGTTTAATTTAAATACAAGTAGTATTGTTAGGTTGTTGTTATTGATGATTAGGTACTGTATTTATGCTGCAAACTACAAAAAACTTTAAAATTTCTCACATGATCGCAGCTTTTGTATGATACATAATTATTTAGTAGTACTTGTAAGTACTATTTTTTTTAATTCAATTCAAAGAAAAGTAAAGTCATCTCCGACTCGATTCTTTTATGTAAAATAAGAATGACAAACAAGCCTGCCCAATTGTAACCCTCTCCTATGTACATATTACGGCATTACATACAGGTATTATAAATACATGACAACCGTGATATCACTCATGCGTAGTCACTCGTGAGAACTCACATATCATGCATGTTAACCTGTAATTTCACTGACTAATCTAATACTACAACCGAAATACAAGTTACAAAGCAAGTTTTGGTGATTGAAACAGATAAGACTGAGGTACTTATGCAAACGAATTTTAGACCGGTATAAACTATAAGTCTAACCTGGGTAAATTATGTAGATAACATTATGAGTCCCAATCCACCTTCATGAATACTCACCTCATAGTCTGCGCTATAGTGAAACCTGTAATAGTTTCTCCATTTAAGTCGCTGGTAGGCAGATAACCAATCTCAATAGCAGCAGACACCACATCGTGAGCGAATTGAGGCGCGTAACGGAACTGAAATATAGAAAAAGAAAACGACTTAATGCATCTCAGTATTGGACGTGTTAATGTGGACAATAATGAACATAATAGAAAAGCTGGATCTGATTGTTATGGTATCTCAAGTTTACAACCTCAAACAGAAATTACCTACTTAACAATGTAACAACCCTAACCTCAGAAAATTGGGAAAGTACTTGCATGATATGTGATAACATTGATTTAGTTGAAATGTTTATGCGGGTAGACACTATAATTACGCTAATAAAATATTTACGCCAACTATTGCGTTCGATTCCTTTTTTGAAGACCTGAGAAAAAGATATCACGTTCTTACGATTACTATTTAGAAAGATATATAACATACCTTCTGAACTGGCAATGGTCCACCAGTATTATGATATTGGCCAGATATTCCCCTCCCGATTTCCTTATTGTCCTCGCTTTTGAGGAAGTATGGTAGAACATCGAACCAAGACCAGCCAGCCGCACCGTTCACTGCCCATGCATCGTAGTCTGCACTGTGACCTCGTTGGTACATCATGCCGTTGATTACCGAACAGCCCCCTATCAAATGAATGAGGATAATATATAACATTCACGACTGTGGTATACCTAAGGTATGCCTACATCAAGGCACGAAGTTTAAGTAACGAAACCAATTTCTCGATTCAATTTGGACTCATAGCTAAAGGCTCACGCTTTTTGTGACCCATAAATCCTAATACATTCGGTCTATAAAGAAGATTCATTAAAAAAAATATGATATATAGACTATACCTTACATAGTGTAAGATCTACATGTATTTACATACGAGTGTACAACATTTTGAGCATGTTATTTAGTGGTCTTAGCGCGACGTTCTTCGACTGCATTCATGAACATTTTTATAGATACTTATTATACGTAAACTTCTACTATATTATACGTAAGTAGATACTATTTATACGTAAACTTCTGATTTAATTGAAATAAAATGGAATCACATCAATTTGTAATTACTAATTTCCGTTTTATTTTATTAATTGTTTTATTTTCTACTTTTACACTTTTTCTAAATTTCTTTGCTCTTAATATATCTCTACCATTCCGTCCATACGAGACGATTACGTTACATATAGCTACTACCTACTCTTGAAATCAATTCCAAATGGTCAACATTGTAATGTGCTATTTTACACCTTCTTGTATTGTGCATGATAAATATATTAGGTAGTTCCTTATTTCGTTGTTATCGAATCGATTATCCAACATAGTCATCGAAATATTTATTTTATTATATTATTAGGTAGGTAATAAAGTGGATAGTATTCAAATTAACTTGACCTGTAATTTTGCATAGATAATCAACTACTTACCTAACATTTTCCCTCTAGGCCAGTAGCATTTACCCTCGTCTTCTAGGCATGCCTTCTCTTGAGGTTCAGTGTAATACATCCAATCAGTCTCTTCTCGTCCCCAGTATGCTGTCACCCATGCTGGGACAGATGAGGCAGTTGGTTCATCGCCACCTGCCTCTATTAATAACACCTGCAAAGATAATGACCTATATTTATATACTGGTTTTGCTCGCAACTTTCTGCGCGACACGTTCGTACAACTGTCGTCTACAGAGACGTCATCTCTTATATTAAATACCTAATAAATAATCAATAATATACATATATAATATAATAATATACCTGCATAGATTTGTTATTATTCTTGAATAATAATAAATCTATATAGGTATATTTTCCTCTATTATTTTATTAATAAATCCTTATATAGGTACAGATAATAAAATCCTAAACATGTGATAACACATTAATTATATCAATTTATACGATTGTGTATTAACGTTAGAAACTGCTGAGGGGAAGTAATCTTTACAGAAGTTCATGTCGTCTCTATTTTTCTCAGCTTTCTTTAGTCTATATACCTACTTAAGCTTAGAAAATGTTCATAAATGGTCTACAAGTTATATGTACTTAGATATCATGCGTCCTAATTGATCATTAAACAGTGATCGAGGAAGATTTAAATGCTTATCAATTAGATATGCGATGTCTGACAATACAACAATGTACGGATTCTCGCTCGGTCCGACATGGATGAAAAGCTTTTCTGAATGGGAGGCCTTAGCTATCTGTTAAATGACATGTTGTATTAAGTCTAATGCCAGATATTCATCATAAGTGGTCAGGTACCTAAGACTATATTCATAGTTGAATAAATAATATCCAAACAGAATTGAACGGGATATCCATAATATATATATCTCAACAAAACAATATATCTGCATAAGAAGTCTATTTTATTTTACCGCGCAAACTAAAAACGCAACAGATTCATTACATCATAGGGCACGCAGCCGAGTATGAAGTATTGGAATAGAATAGAAAAATCTTTATTCAAATAACCTTACACTGAAGCAATTTTGAATAGTCATTACTTTTAAACTGCCGCTCATTTGGAAAGCTCTCCCATCACAAGAAGAACGAACCAAATTTGCCTGTTGCTCTTTTAAATAATTTAGTTGTAATTTTTCATATTTTTTATTTGAAATATGTGAATACATACTACCAAATAATAATAGAAACCCTAAATAATTTTAAATACACAACCAACTGGTTCAGTAATAAAATAAGAGTAAATCAGTCGTAGTGATTAGAGCAAACCAGTCCCATCCAGTTTAATACTAAGGAATATTAACATCCACACTTCCAACAACAATAAATCTTGCCAGTCAGACAATATTAGCAAACGGTGAAGGATAGACAAAATAGAAAGTATATTTTACTGTGTAGTCGACATAATTAGTCTTTTGTAGGTATATAAAATATTTTACGTAATTACCTTCCACTGAGGATTCTCTGACAATCTTCCAGCAACTACTGCTCCAGCAGTGCCACCCCCTGCCACTATGAAGTCGTAACTGTCATCCAGATCTTCCCTACTTGTGATCCTCTGACATGGGTCTGCGAGGTCGCAACGACTGTTTACAAATGCTTCCAATATTGTCATGAATAGTAAATACTGGTTGGGACACGACCCTGCCATTGACGGCCCCACTTCTTGAATTGGGCACGCACATGCCTGAAACAAATGTATTTATAAGGCCTATTTTAAATCTTTCGTGTTCAATATACATTATTAATATAGTTAACTGGGTATATGCAGGTATTAACCTCTCCGGACGTTTCGACTAGGTTGGTAGCTGTGGCTAAGAGTTGACTGGAATACAGCGATGTCAATGGCGATAGGTGTCAGCAGTTTTTTCAACGACCATATTTCTTTAAATGTTTCGAATAAATTTTTATTTATCATAAAATTATTCGTCTTTAGTTTATAAATAATAATGAGTAATATCCAATAAATAGGTATATACCCTAGAACTCAGTAGCGCCATCATCCACAATCTACTTAATATAGATTAAAATAATAGTCCACATTTGAAAGTAGGCTAGAATTAATATTAATTTTATTTAGACATCGTTAGAACAGTACCAGTTCTAATTTACTCCTAAAAATATAAACAATCATCGGTCCTAATCAAAACATTCCGTTCAATTAGACTAATTTCATTATTCTACGAATTATATTTTATATGGATCCCCAAAAGAATTTTATGAAGTTTAAATCTGTATAATTAAAATAATGTACATTTCAGTCTTTATAAAAAATTTACCTACCTAAACCTCAAAATAATATAGTGTATGCACTTGATTTTACAATTCTGTATTTACAGTTGTATTTAACTACAATTAAATAATGTCCTATGTCCAGCAGTGGACGTCTTCCGGGCTGCGATGATGATGATGATGATGAATTAATCACTGTACTTATTACCTCAGATAGAAAATATCGATTACAATAAATTTATTCAAATTGAAGGTATTTCCAACGCATCCAATTCGCAAATGAGTCTATTGTCTCGATCTGAAGAATTCAACAAAGAAATAAATCAATACAATTACGAGATCATCACATAATCAGATTCTAAAACAAACTACTACTTATTATGTAATTACGATTATTAGCTACGTTTTTTATTTATTGATTTTAGCGATCATAGGACTTTGAACAATTAGATGTTCTGTGGTCTAAATTGCTTGCTCTATCAATGATTAATGCATAATGCATGTACTTCACCTCAATCAACCGCAACAGCTAAAGTAACATATTCTATCTCTTTATAATATTATTATAGATTTATATATACATTAAAAGCAATAAAATTATTGTCTTCCAGAGATATCACAATACATCTCTGGAAGATCGAAGCACCTTCACAGATAATACAACGACAAGCAACACGAACAATTTATCTACATCTACCTATTTACAAATAATATTTTGCTTGTTCTATTCTCTATATATGTTCTATAATTTCACCGTATATTATAAACTGTTTCATTCTGTGTTTTTTATATACAATATATCAATGCAAATTTCTTTGTAATCGATTTGAGTATCGCAAGAGTATTTACACTTCTATTTAATTTGTTACCTAGATATTCATTCTGCACAAATACTTGATACGTTCGGTTTACTGGTGTATACACATCAAAATATCTACTATAGATTAAGTTTAAAGATGTATAGCATAATAGTTATTTACGCTAATACGATTTTAATTTCGGTTTTTGTTCCACACAAAAACGACTCATTTTGAAATAGCGATGGTAATTATAAGAATATTAACAGTCTCGATGGTCTAGTTGTTCTAATACACCTAGATGGCACTGTATGAATTGATATAGATATTAATAATAATAATTAATTACTATTAATAAATATCTATATCGTATCAATTACATAATTAACTAATAAAAGGGTTATGACAACGTGTGTCTACAATGATGCGAGAGAATTGAGATCATAATTTGTTTAAAAAGAAACTTTTCTTACATGACTAGAATAAATTCCTTTATTGCACTACCATTTGGGAGCACTTAGATGCCCGTTACCCTGTAATTTCATTACCTACCATACATTAATTTACAAAAATACAGCATATGTAAACTGTTTGGCGCCAAAAATAGATAAGACAGAAATACCCATGCAGATCGTACAAAGTCTACCACGATAAGAAAATTGACGATAAATAGCTATACAATTTACATTAATGTGTCATTAAAATATTTATATTCAAATTTAGCTTATTTTAGGATGCCAAATTACTTAACTACCTACATACCTACCAGCTACATTTTTTTAAACACTTAACTACAGTCGTTAAAATAATTACGACTAAAACATACTGGCCGATAGTTAGGTACTCCAGAACTATGAATTAATGTATAATAAGTTATTTTGTTATAATAATACAATCATTCATAACAATGTTTAAGCTGTTCTCTGCTTAGCAGCTCCTCAGCAGTTCTCTACATAGGAGAATTATCTGAGAATTTGGAAGGAACAAGCTAAATAAAGATAATAATAGTAAAGTAAAAAAATATATAAAAAGATGATTATGCGATAAAAAGAATTAGGGCAAACGAAGAAAATAACAAAAAATGTTATTTTATGTATAATATACATGTTTGTTTATAAATCTCACAAATAAGTTAGCTTTCACTATTTATAATTTTATTGACATTAATTAATATGTATCTAGGACATTATACACCGGGACACCATACTAACACATCTAACGGCCAAACCAATAGTTATTTTTGGCATACAAGCAGATATTATTCGCGTTGAAAAAAACTGACACTACTTTTTATCCAGATTAATATATATTGGACAAAGTGGCTGGTAAAAAGTAGTCTAAATGAAAAGTAAAGTTACCCTATCTTTATTGATATAAAAGTTTTCTTTCAATGCTGACTAACTGAGTTGTCTTCATCTTCATCCTATTATCACTGCGTACACATTTAGTGTTGTCGTTGATTTAAAAAAGGCCTCATTACTAACAATCCTGTTTACCATTCCGCAGTTAATATAAGTTTTTTTCATTAAACGATAGATTAAGAAAGGTGTCGCGTATAATGATGGTCAGGCTGACATAGTCATGATCAGAAGGGAGTTGTAAAACAGTTTAATTGATAATAATAGTGCGCATCAGTGTATCAGTAAGCTTCTACTCAATTTAAGTCTGTTTATTATTCATCAACATGAAGAAGTGTAAATACTTTATATATACAGTTTCGGATAACTGCACTTTACCATTGCTTTATAATTTGAACCTTATGTCTACGCAATAACAGTATCGTGAATACGTGACAAGTTACATTATTACATTTCAAATGTAATCATGCCAAACCGGGTTTGTAATAAAAAGCTACCGATTTGAAAATTTAAGAAAAGTAATAACTATTTAATATCTCTATTGTGTTTGTGTGAATGATTATGTAATATTATCTTTTCTGTGATATGGCATATGAATATACTAACTGCCCCCGTGGATTCACCCGCGTGAAATGATATGTTATTCTGAGCTATATTACAGTAAAGTTTCATCAAAATCCTTTCAGTAGTTTTTGCGTGAACGAGTAACAAACATCCATCCATACTCACAAACTTTTGCATTTATAATATAAATAATAATAAGATAAAACTTATTTATTTAAAAAATAAACAAATCCTTATTGACAATTTAAGTACTATAGAAACATAACCCATGATTGGAAAAAATAAATTATAAAGAAATCGCTTAATCACAATCATATTAAAAATGTTTTGTAATCAATTTCAATAATTGTCTTGAATGAAATTGGTTTGGTTGGGTACATGGTAAATGGTACCCCCCAAGGGGGGAAGGGAATTGTTAGTAATATCGACTGATGACCCTATTGCTAGCAAAGTACCATGTCAGGTTGACCTCCACGCGGTTCCCCTTGGAAACCATCGTGATAAATTCACTAGGAATTTAACTAACTTACGGGCTAACTGACCTGACCTCATTCTCATTCTATCGTCCTCCATAGGTGCCCCGCCAGCGTAAACCGGTAGCGCAGGCGGTTGAACCATACCATTATCATCCATAAAAAAATGGGGGGTTGTAGATGATAGACAAATTATATTTATAAAAAAAATATTTGTACTTATTTATAATAGTTTCAAAATGACAATAGAATATATTATTGTTTTATAATTAGGTTGATTACTATATTACTGTGAAACACTTACCTCTGGAGATCTTAACATTATGACGTCACTAAAACCACTGTAATTGAACCTGTAAAAAAACAACTAATTAAACTTATGTAACAAAGTCCTTAACATATGACGTATTAAACATGGAGTAATAGATAATTGATTACGTAATATATATTCTCACGTGTTCATTAAAATTGCATACACTGTCTAACTATTAAAAAAATATATTGAAAAACAGAATAATTAGATACTATAAATATATAATATAGTAGGTGTATACGTAACATAGGTAATACTCTTAATGATATTACCAGATATTAAGAGTGCAATAGTACAGAAATGACGGCTTGGTGCTCTAGCGGATTAGCACACCTACCACCTATGATCGCAAGTTCAATTCCTCGCACGATACAAATATTTATATTCGTGTCGTGGTTATATGTATTGGTGTGAGTCTTTTTAGGTTTATATATTTACAAAACAAAATATTTAAGTAGGTATTTCTGTCATTTGTTTAGTACACATAGTGCAAGCATTGCTTATTTTGCATTGAAGCATTGTTTTATGAAGGTGGGCGGTTTGTATGAAACATTCCCCTCGTATTAAAAAGTGGGTTCGAATCTCGGTTCTGGCTATCGTAATTTTGGTTCTCATTTCAGTGGGACTATATTCTACAATCTCCATACGGACCTATTAATATAAGTAGATTATCAAAAAAATATGTGATAGCTACACTAAATATACATATACAGTACAATAGAAATGCGGGAGGTTAGGAAATATACATAGATAGATACTATTTACATATTATTTAGATAATAGCATCATTATTTTGACATGTAGATAGAAATCGATGCATGAGTGAAATAATATTGTATGCCTTTATTATAAAAGGAATTTCAAGGTTTTATATATATTTTGTTACGATATTTTATAGTATTATTACGTCCTATAATAAAATACATTTTTATGTAAAATATATACAGATTAATGTTTACCAACCCCACAGTTAAATCGTACTAATTAGTATCCAAAATTGAGCTCTAGTACATATATAGATTAGTGATATGTAAGCACTGGATTATATTTATGCTCATACAGTTTTTATGCGAATTTGAATCGATTTTTATGATTTTTTTTTGCGTTTGGGACACCCATTGTTATCCATACATAGTAATTATGATGATGAATAATATTATTAATATAATTAAATATTTTTGGTATCATGTGAATTTGAATATATGATTTTGATGATTCTTTGTGCGATAGGGAATTCTCCCGTTTTATCCATACCTAGTAATAATGGTATCAAAATTAACATTGTAACTGAAAACTTGTCTTTTATAATATTATATAATTATGTCATACAGCAAAATTTCTTCCTTTTCCCAAAATATGTAAATGTATGCAACAAGCACAAACAAACCTTTATCACTAATAAACTGTTAGGATTCACTCCTTGAGAGTATAATAAAATCTGTCACCGAACTCGCGGATACGAAAGCACGCGACGCATCTGCAGCCGAGAGACGCGCACGTTTGCAGACGAACAAACGACGACACGAACTGTGGACGCACATCTTTTGTTTTTATGGGCAGATGGACCGATGGGTAAACACGGGCTTTTTTGCCGCACGTTATCAGTCCACCATCATTAAATTTACATACTTTAAATTAATAATTTTGCCAAACAAAAAATCGATGGCGGCGCGTCGCTAACCTAATGTTAATGTGCCGTAAAAATTATGTAAAGAGTATGATGGTATCTGGGAATAAAGTTATATATAAATTATTGTTTCCCATATATAGATTTGTTACTATTAGATAGCATAGGTATATTTAGATCTTCATGAGTAATATTAATTGTTAACACTAGTATAGTCGATCTCGCACACCAGGGTTCCAATTAAATTATGTAGATATCTATCTACATAATTAATAATACAATTTATGTACATAATATTTTATTACCTATACGTGAAGTAACCTATTTAAATGTAAAAGAAATAAACGCTAAAAAATATGAGTGATCTTTGATTTCAAAATTTTGTGATGTGTTTTTGGGTTGATAATTTCTTAAATACTGTGTCAGTTAGAAAGATTTTAACAACTAATAAAATTTCTATTATTATTTTTTCTGCAATATGTATTTAAATTATATAACTCTATCAGGTGTAAATAATTTAATTTTTTTCATTCTAGAAACTTCGAAGAAATTGATACTCATATCACAGCTCATACTAAAGCTCTGCCTAGTTTCAACGTACGAACGTAGAGGATATAACATATAGTTATATTTATAAATTTATTATAAGGAATTATTTATTACAAATGACCAAAGTATTCAATTAAAATAAATATACAAGTATAGTGTATAACAGTTGCGGTTACTTTAGGAGCGCAATCCTGTTTTTTTTTTAATTTTAATTATTATCAGTAACTAATGTTTTATGTTATACATATATATCTTATAGACTAAGAAAAATATAATTTTCCATATACTCACAACATTGACGATAGTCTGCCACTATCAAAATAAAAACATCTTTATTCATGTAGGTCTATTACAGACTCTTATGTCAAATCAAGCGACAGACCGAAGTGCTTTCTAGCTAAGAAGAAATGACCAGAAATTATTATATTCAAATGTGCTTGTACTTGATTACAAAAAATAAGAGTATTTATTAATAGTACTATAAAGCAAAAAGAACTAAAATACCTTTTTTTTAATTGGTTAGGTAGAACTGCTTTAGATAAATGATTGCTTATTGTGCTATATATCAAACCATTTACACTAAGTCCAGTAGATAGGTTTTTACTCACATTGTATTAGCAAACTCATTACTACCAGAGCCTCGTAACCTGCCACCACTAAAGCATAATAAAAACACAATACTTGAAGATGGGATTTCGTTTAGCAAAAAATATACTTGAACATTTTTTGCAATCTTTTAATGGGACTGGTTTGGTGAACATCTATCGGTCGCGTCGCCATTTGTCGTCTTTATTAAATTCATAGCAATTTCCAATATGCTATGGTGTCCAACACGTAATTAGGAAAGAAATTGATTCATTGTTTTTTTTTTGTAGGTACACGTAAACCGTAAGGCCGATGGCCTAACCAGCTACGAGTAGTTTATTTATTTACAAATGAATCTTTTAAACACAAATTTATAAAATGAATATTCTGTGGGCTAGATACACGCGCTTAGATAAGTACAAATGTTGGGTGTACTTAATGTAAAACTTTAAGTACACCCATTCGTTAAATAAACAATCGTCTATATTGCTTCTAAATTACTATTATTATTTTACAATAAAAATACACTGGAAATGAGAATTGCTTACATTTCATTCTTTGTTTTTAAAGTCGTGAAAAGATAACAGATAGAGAGACGCAGATTTAAATATCGGTATAAACTACAATAGTATGGATAGGATTTTATATGTATTTCGAATTTCTCGATTAATATGTAAATTTTTTTTAGTAACCACTTAATCATGTTAAATAATAAAACTACGTAGGCAATATCAATTGTTAGTTTATACTTGATAGCTTTTACATTTAAATACTATCTACTTGTACTAATAAATATAGTATTTATATTTAATAGGTGGAATGCTAGAAGGTAAAATTAACTGTTAGACCAAATAAGTACCTACCGGATCAGAATTCTAAGCGATGTATGTATATCTAAATTAAGTAGAGCTTATGAATGAATGAAATTTAATCTAAAATCTCACGCTATGAATGTTCTGTTAAAGTTAATACTTTGTGCGAGTAGGTAAGTCTTTTATAATTAACTTTAATTAGGAAGGGTTTTTGCTATATTTTGCTAATTAGTGATAATTTTACTTCTAAAACCATTACCTTGAACTGTGTATATGCCATTGTAATTATTTAATCAGTGCTGTTATATGAACTTTATTTTTTGTCTATTACAAAATCCCAATACCTACTTATTTCTATAAATAAGAAGATATAGAATTGCTGTAAACATAAATATAGGTACTTTTTTGGTGATTTAAAATTTTGCTTAACGTGAAATTTTATATAAGGTTTAGTAGGTTGAAATCTTTATCAGTTTGCTTATAAGGTCTTTTAAACGGTCGAATAAAAATATATTTACGGAAATAATGGAAAAGGTTTGATCTTTTCCATTATTTTCATGAAGTAATATTAATAGTAACGGAACGGAATATGAAATATACACCACTCTATAGATTTTTAGATTAGCAATAAGGGTCTTACACTTAAAAATATTCGTGGTAGATATAATCTCTCTTGTATACATCAGCACAAATATTTACTTGATAATCAGAGACAGTTTTTTTAATATACCACGAATATGTTAATATAGAGTAAATAGACGTAGCGAATTCAACCGGAACACATTAAAACACGGCCTCGGAAGTGTAAAAAGAAAATTAAAGTCTATATTATGTCAATTAACCCACAATATACATAATTTTATTTCGTCATAGTAACATGATAGAAAATCACTATACTGTACAATACTAAAAACCCGGAATAAGTGTGTTCCCATAGATAAATCGTGACCATTACTAATGAATAAAATCCGGTCTCGACCAGACCAGACAAATCGTATTGATACGTTGAATATCTACCAGTCATACAACAACGAAATACAATAAAATACTGCTGTTTTATATTACACATACGTATACTCATTATAGTACATATGCGAACAGTAAGTTTGTATGTACATATATGTTTAACGACACCAAACTCATTTTTTATTCAAAACGAATTATTGGATTTACCACGTTTTTCCTCTAACTGTTCATGCAAATGGAAACCTCAATGAGTCACAGAATAATAGCTTATGGTTTAGATTTTCTAAAAAAATTGTTATGTTGTGGTCGATTGCATAAAACATGTTATTATTGATAAGTGAATGACGCTGAATCAGGAGTCAGTGTTATTCTTACTAGTATACTAAATGGGTAGCTGATGGTCGATAGTGGACAATTATGCAAAATTATGGTGAAGCTGATGAATGAATGAATACCTCTGCTCATCATCTTTATATGATATAGATATTGGGTATCGTGCGGATGAATATGTTGAATTCCTTTGTATCGTGTTATACTAATATTTTCAAATAAACGTTGTTCTCGAACGCTCTCGGTATACATATAATTTTATTCGGCGTCAAATTACTGAAACAAAAACGTAAGTCAAACGTTCAAAGGCTCACAAAACTCAACAAAAATACTGGTGTGTGGCCAATTAGGACACACATACAAAGTGAAGTCTTAATACAAATATTTCAAGAAGGGTATATTAAGGTTTCTTAAGGGTCGGCAACGCGCACGTCTGGTATTTCTGGCATCCATCGGCTATAGCAACCATTTACCATCAGATGAGCCGGAAGCATGCTTGCCACCATTGTAGTATAAAAAAAGTTGCAAATTGAAATATCCAGATTCATATAACGGAATTCTGATTAAAATATATCTTCTAAACTGTTATACGGGTTGTCCCAGAGGGGTAGTTAGAGGTACTGTCAGTTGTTGACGTCGAGGTTAAAGTTACCAAGTTTTGCTATGTACATATGTATATTTGAATCCAACGTGGTGGAGCAAGCCTGGGTTGTATCCAAGATTAATTAGTTCAGTTTGTTATGGGTGTTTACATCGGTCAGAAAAATAAAAGGACACAATTTTTTTTAATGTTGCCCACATTGAACACTTAATCTCTTAACCACTCGCCTATGCGCTCTTTATATTTAAGTTTAACTTGATATTCAACTTAGTTTCAATTTTACATTAAACATATGAAAATATATTGAGTACAAAACGAGATTGTACCATACAGTGGGAGCGGGTCAACGTCTGCTTTATAACCATAACGTTTTCACGGCTGTCAGAATTCCTGTTTTATGTCCTGCCCTCACAAAGTAACACTAACGGGACTACACCTACCTACCACGACATGACGTCACATTGTTTCGGCATGTTTTGTTCAATAACTATGTTACTGAACACAAGTTTACACATTAACACAAAAGCGAGATACAAAAAACATCTCTTGTGTTTACATTATAGACGCTAGCCGTAACAAATTCTAGGTAGCACAGAAGTGCCTTGAATATCTAGTAATAATATCTTTATGCCTGTTATCCCAGATGTAACTCTCAGTGAGACTATCTCAGAAGTTAATTTGACTTTATAGTGAATGCAAGATTTGACATATCTATATTTCGCTGGATACATTTGAATCCATAATATTGTGGTCCGAGGCTATCTGGATTAATTGAGATTGTTGTTAGTAACTCTTCACTGGAAAGTATAAATACAAAGAGACAAAGCATACTTTACTATAACAACGGGGTTTTAATTCCTATTGTATAAATGTGAAAGTATATAGTATCTCAAATTAAATACATAGGATATTTCTATTTTAACTCAAATATACAAAGGTGTTGATACGGAAATTCTATGAAAATTATTTAATTACTTAATTTTAACATGTAGAGCACGCACTCTTTACCACTGCATATTGTTACGGGAATACCTAACT